GACCATCAACAAGTAACAATAATTCGTCATTTTCATTATCTTGTGGACATAGATTGTGGGATTATCAATTGTCGTTGATTACTTACGAAAACTAAAATGGATACCAATTGTCGTTGATTACTTAGAGAGCCATGCCATTTACTCTTGTTTAGTTTGCATTATATTCTTGCTGCCTATTTAATACTTTAGGGCTCGTTTGGAAGTTGCGATTGTTAAATAGATGTATTGTTGAGAATGCATGTATAATATTATACATGTATTGTCGAATCTGATGCATTGTAGAATATAACGTTTGGTATGTGTGATTGTGTATGTTGTAGGGGTGGCCATACGATCCGGTCCGGTTAAATTGGACCAAATTGATCCGGTCCCAGTCCGGTCTTTTCGAGAATATAAGGACCAAAGATTGTATTGGATACAGTCCGGTCTTGACCCGGTCCGGTCCCAATTTTATCTTGATTTTAGGTGTTGGGGGTCTCTTATCCGGTCTTTATCCGGTTTTTTACCTCAAATCTAAACCCGGATATGAGATTGCATTGTTTGCTATCTGGTCCCAGTCCGGTCCCGGTCCGGGTTATAAGGTCCGGTTTTGGGTAAACCCAAACAGTCCGGGACCAAATTGCCAGCCCTAGTATGTTTCATCATCTAAAAGCTGATACAAAACAATCTCAACTCAACTATCTCAACAATCACAACTAAAAGTTGAGATATAACAATCACTCAAAATGAGTGATAGTTTCTGTCACATCACAGAAACAATCCATGTATTGTTTCTGTTAAAAAAACAAAAAAACGATGCATTGTAAATAATACATGCATAATAACAATCTCAACAAAACAATCGCAACTTCCAAACTAACGCTTAGTTTCTTAACCTTTCCTAGGTATGGGGCCATGTGTGATTGTTAGTTTCTTTCCCGGGTGAAAAAACGAGTCAGCCTGATATGTGGGCCATAGAGCTGGAACATGCAACTGGAAGTGTACGCCAGGTTTAATTATGAATGTGTCGAACGAGGTTATCACCACCCCTACTTCCAAATTGACTTGAATTTTGAAGTATTTGGATGGTGCCCGTCTACAGCTTAACGTATAACTAGCTTATTACCCGGCCCATTGGCCGGATTACGGTATGTTACCCACTTGTGGAATGGGAGAGAAAGCAAGTGAGAGTGAAGGGATTGGGATTCCACTTGATTAGGATCGACCCACTAATCCGATTCTTCCCGACCCGCCCCAACCTAAAGGGTCAGAAAGAGTCAATAAGAAAATACGAACGCAGAGGATTGGTCATATATCTTGACTCTTCAGAAGTGGGTCAAACAGGATCAATGTTGGGTGAGGGTAATTTTTAGCTAAGCAGAGTTCTGGGTTGAATAACTTTACTTAGGCCTAGAAATTGGTGCTGATGCAGACTGCAGTTTTTATTATACCATCATCAATCATCATTGAATTAGTCCTGGGCATCCCTCCCCGTTGTCGGTCTGAATTCTAATGATGGCTTCATTCCTTGCACCAGCCATATCAGCGAGTTGTCGTCTCGAGCATGATTTGCCTATGTACAAATGATACAATTAGAGTATGAAACTGAATTCAAAGAAAAGGAAAAAGAGAATTCTATCACATGCCAATAAATACACACATAATAGTTGAAGCTAAGTGAAAGTCATTACTCGCATATCAATTCTAAAAAATTACAGACTAAACAATGGCTAGAATGGCACTGAAACTACCAAGAATCATGGACGAAACAACTTGTCAAATTAAATAATCCTTATACTGAAACTACCTTCTAACTTGAAATAAGACATGATCACAGTTGATAGCTCTCTTCTCACTATGAATTGGTTGCAGCTCGTCCTTATCACTGCCTCCCAAGCTCAATTCAAACAGAATAGAGACTGTTATGTAAGATAATCATATCCTTACTAATCATAATTCCTTTCTTCACTCCATTTTTGTCGGAGAAAAGAGTTATCCCCCTCTCCTGCATTTCCCTTTCCCCCTCTCTTCTCCCTCTTCTTCACAAACCGATCCCTAAACCAGCAACAACAACACAAAAATAGCCTTCGCCTCTACCATCTCCATCTACTAAACGCGTTGGTGGCAAGATAGGACTGCAGAAGCAAAATTTTCTAAAATCAAACTAAATTTTTTGAAGGAGACTCAACCACGAAAAAAGAGTAAAGCAACAATGCTAATAGTTCAGATGGTTGGTTTTGATGTTATACGTTGCTTTTGTTCTGGTCTCCAGTATATCAACTGCAACAGAGATGTTTCCTCCAATCATCTTTAGTGCACGATTTAGAAGCAAGTCCTCCTGTTTGTGTCAAACGAAAACATTCATGGGTTCTTAACTCCCTTGTTAGTGTAAATGCAGAAGCAGCAAAGAAGTTTGACAACACAGCAAGCACCCAGGCAAAATGATACAATGCAGTAGGTGATATGTGTCTCGAAGGTTTTGAGTTACTAAAGTTCATGTTAAAAATAAACATGAATTAAAATGGATTATTCTATTAAGCAAACATCCCCTCTAATAATACAAAGATCAGATATCTAATTCACAAACAATTAAGCCATAAAAAATCATCACACATCCACCACCTTTGATTGCCTAAATTTGGTTTTTCGCAAAGTTATGGACTCTTAAGGGTAACGTTCATGGGTAGTTTGTTTCATAACTCTAGAGAGCACAGTAAGCAGCCACCGGCCAGACACAGTGCGGTAGGCGAATATGATTTTCAATTCACAATTTCTCACCACCGGAAGTAAGAACAGACCATAATAAGCGTAGCGTTCATGGGTGGTCTGTTTCATAGCACTACTACACAATTTGTTAAAAAAGAAAGAAAGGTATTTAGCATCACGACTGAACAACTTTTACAGGCCAACAACGACAACATGCTGCAACCACCAGAACTGGTATCACAACTCATAGGGAAAATCAAAAGATTTGCTCTCAAATTAAGTAGTTACAACATCGAGCAATCGTCAAGCACATACACCATCACAAAAGTCACGGAACCTGATTCGCAAAGCATTCAAACATTTGAGGACATTTCTGCAAAGGTACAACTTATATGTCTTTTTTCCAAGCCATTTCCATCAACATGCTAATAAATTTGCAATGCATAAAACCAACGGGCCAAAACTTGAAATTCAGCTTGTTTGACCGACTCATGCCAAATCCTAATTATTCTTTAATTTTAAACTTTCTATTTGAAAATAAAAAATAGTGAAAGAAAAGAGATGACTGCAATTCGCCATTTGCACATCACTTATTCGGGATTAAAACCATAGAAATTCAAAAGGAACTGAAAATGTTTAGGATCGTTTTAATGTTTAAAATAACCAAATAGATCTTTCTGTTTAGTTTTTACTAACAAATATCAAACGATTCCCTATAAAATACACTATAATTTGATCGTTATGATATCAAATAATTATATAATATATATTTGAAATGATAAAAATTGGACTAATTGGGTTGGTCGAGGTTGAACCATTGAATAACTTTAAAATACATTATATTTTAGTCACTAAGATATAAAATAATAGCATAATATATATTATGCCAGAGAAAATAGCTTGTTTTAGAATGACAAACCAATGATGTTCATTTGTTTTACTTGATGGCCAAATCCCGTGTAGGTCAGACCCATTCAACTCTTTTATTTTATGGTTAGCGGTTAGCCATTAGATACCATTCATTAGTTTATTGTTAAATTTTTTATTTTTAACAATAAAAAGGAGTATTATTTTTGCCTTTTCATATATATTTTATCACCACGGAGAAATAAAAGGGCTTAAAGAAAAAAAATTGACACTCTTGGACCCGTTTAAATCTGCATGTGTACGGTAAGTTGACCCATTCCACAGAGGAAAGAGAAAAAAATTGACATTCCCTATTCTACCCTTCCTACAAACGCTCCTGGTGCAGGGAATTTGAAATGGGGGAAGAGTTTTTTCCTCTCTGCTATTATATGTTTTTAATTTAAAAAGATACAACAAATCTACTTAGTGTTATTGGTTATGATCCTTGCTTTTCTATAAAATAGTCATGGTTTGAATCCCAGTACGTGTCTTTTTAATGAATAAAAAAAAGTTATTGTGAAGACCAAAATGTCCTTCCTACTTTCACTCGCGTTGCAGGAAATTTGAAATAGGGAAGTTGTTTTCCCCTTCGGCGTATTATAAATATAGTAGATAGATTGTTCTTCGCTTTCCAAATCTTGATTGGTTATTGATAAATGACATTGTTGATTCACATCCATTTTATAAAACTATAAAAGATCACACATTTAAACAACACATTCTCCACACTACAACTCAGTCCCAAAAATATTCCTGTTTTGAAAAAATTTAGTTACATGAAAGCTAGATTACTATATCGGTCCGAAGATATAACTTAATTCACTTCGAATTCTACAAATTGCCTCCACATAAAAGAATCAACTCGACATTAAAAGAACTAGCCAGAAATCAATGTTACTCACATTCTCTCCATATTTAAGAATCACGTTGGCATTCAAAGAAGAAGAAAGGAATTTGATGTAAATTTTATTATTAACTGTTCTTTTCATCGTTTACATAATAATTAGTCTTCTTTATCGCAATTGATAATCGTAAAGAATGATAAATTACTAATTATTAAATGAGGAGCTTCATCTTAAAAAGTTTAACCCCCACTCTCAGCCATTTCTATGAAAAAATTTAAAATGATTGTAGAAAATAATATATAACTAATCATGTCATGAAATGAGCTCCACTCCCATGAACAAAAAAAAAAAAAAAAAGTTCCAAAACCATACCATCAAAATGAGTTGACCGGGAAATCCAATAATTTGGCCCCTCCTGGGGCTCAGAGCCCATGAACATTATCCACCAAACCTAACCCTAACCCTAACCTGATCATATAAATACGCACCCGACAACAAATCCCTGTCCGAGAATCTCCGCATTTCTCTCATCCCTAAATCCACTCTCAGATAGCTCGTGAGAAAATGGCGGCGGAGGCGAAGAAGCTGAAACCAGCAGCAGCAGAGCCCGACACCGACAGGCTCAGCGCCCTCCCGGAGGACATCCTTCGCCACATCCTGATCGCCGCCGATCTGGACCTAAAAACCACCGTCCAGACCTCCGTTCTGTCCCGCCGCTGGCGCCACCTCTGGCGATCCGCCCTCCGCGAAATCCGCCTCGAAACCCCGCGCCGCCGCGACGCCACCGTGAGAAACCGCCACCTATTCACCGATTTCGTCGACAACCTGCTGGCGGCTCGCGAGCCCCGATCGGAGCTCGCACTCATCTCCATCACCGTCAACGACGCCTTCGACCCGAAGTACGACGACCTCTTGGGCCGGATCTACGGGTCGGCCCACGGGGCCCGCGCCTTCCGGCAGACGATCCGGGCCCGGCTCCGGACGATCGTCGAAACGTTTCCCCACGGTTTCATCCACCTCTGCCGGTCCCTCCAGGATCTCGACCTCTCCCTCCTCAGTTTCGATTTCGACGAGCTCTGCCTCCGGTCCTCCAACTTCGTGTGCCTCACTGCCCTCCGCCTCTACCGCTGCGAGATTTTCGTCCCCCCGGCTCTCTATGCGGCTGCCGCCGCCGGCGACGACTATGAACCTTTCGCGGGGATCCCCAATTTGAAGAAGGTGGTGATATTATATATATTCAGGACAACTGTTATCGTGGTAGCTAACATTAGGCTTTAAGAGTCAAAACTAATCAAAACATTCATACTCGAAATTTTTTTTAATATTATAATGTTCATTATATGAATTTCGTAAGTTACACAAAACAAGTTTCATAAGTGTTTAGAATTGAAAACAAGCAAATGGTAAATGATATTTGTTTAAATTCACATGTTTTCTAGTTTGTTTTTCTAAGACGGAAAATTGAGATTAATTCTTCTAAGATGGATGAGATGATCAAAGATTAAAAGATATACTTATGATGTGCACTCAAAGTCGAGGGTATGCCATGTTTCTAGTATTGCACTCTAGTTATAAGTAGCCTGTTGTGGCTATAATACACTTTTAATTTCGGACATATACGATACTTCGTTGTGAAAAATATAGTTGATGTAAGAGTTTGATAATTTGTTAAGATTTGCATTCTCTTTGTTACTCATCTACAAACGAAATTGAACATTTTCTACACTAAAATTAAGTTGCATGATCTACTTAGCTTGCCCGTATTCAATTTCCATAAAACCATCTTTCATCAGGTGGTGCTGATCGACTGCGTTTTCGAGACGAAGAACGCGGTGAAGGTGTCGGGGGAGAAACTGGAGGAGATCGGGATCGAGTTCTGCTACGAGCCACATCTGTTCGTGATAAAGCTCTGCGCGCCCAAGGCCACGAAGCTGACGCTAGGAGGAGTGACTCTGAGTCGATTCTCGGACGTGGAGCTGCCGTCGTTGGAGTTGCTGGACATCGACGTCTGGGTGAGGCCGCGGCCGAAGACCGTGGCCGGCCGGGCGAGGCGCGCGCTGCAAGTGTCGTGGGAGCAGGAGTGGGATGCGGGGTTGAGGTTTCTCTCTACGTTTGAGAAGTTCGGGAGGGCGATGTGTGTTAAGCTGCGGCCCCGTGCTATTGAGGTAATCAACCTATAATTAAAAAATAGGTTTTCATTAAGCTCGTATATATCTAACGATTGAGATTTTTCTTTTCGTGCATGGGTATTTATTGATTTACGGTAAATAGGTCAGTTTTATTGGTACGTTAAACTACATGCAAAAAAAGGTTTATTACGTACGTACGTAGCGTGTTTGATTTATTAAGTTTCGATTTAACGAATACACGTAAAAAAGTATCGTAAGGCTTTCGTAATACATCCTGATGATTAGCTGTTCCCTTGCTTTCTTAATGCTTTTTATTGGGTGGTCAGGGGCTGACCATGGTTCCCGGTCTACTGGAAGGACTAGCTTCTCCGTTTAAGAGAATAAAGTGGGTGGAATTCTGTGGATCTCTACCCTGCTGCAGAAGTGACTTCGTCTCTTTGATTGGTTACTTCTTTAATCAGTGCCTTAGCGGCGGAGCTCATATCTCCCAACATTCTTTTGCTTCACAAGGTACGCTTTACAAATTTTTCTTCTAATTGATTTGGTGAGTTTGTGAATTATTTGCACTACAAAAATGAGTATCCCCTGAGTAATGATCATTAAGTTATTTAAAATATACGTCCTAGCTTTTAACTAATATCATTATTTGAATTGGAATTACAACTGATATGTACATTCTTACTATAATTTTACGCACGATGATGATCGCAGGATAAATTTTTTTTAGGATGTATTCGAAATATTTTTTTATTGTTTGGATGGATGAATTGGAAAATGAGGCAATTTTTGATCAATTATCTCATTTTATAAATCAATTCGTTTAAAACGACTCAATTCGAATCATTCTCATCGTAGAGAATTATAATGGTCTCAAAACAAGTGAATTCAAAAATTCTCGAGACCAAATTGCATCATCCATATTCTACACGGTAAAAAAGATTAATTTGACTTAATTGCCTCAATGTATAGCTCAACATGTATTAATTAATCTTGTCGAGTTTGTTAATTTCAATTGTGGTGTGCAGAACGCGGCGCTACCGATCGACTGGTCCTTGTCCTCCGCAAAGACGGCGACGCTGATTAACATGATCGTCTTCCTATAAAAATAAAATGAACAACAAAAGAGCGAGCCATGCTGGCTAGCTATAGATATGGACAAGTTTGCTTTTTTTTATATCCTATAATTAGCAGAAAGACTACAGGAATAATCATTGGATTAGTACTGCTTCGGAAAACCTTTTCTTTCACCAGTATTCTCGGCACCAACAATGTTTTATGTTGGACCTTAGAACATTAATTGTTTATATTGGGCTGTTTTATGTTCTATTGTAAACTTGATGCATGTTTGTGGAATTTGGTTGTTTAATTTTTATTATGCATCTGTGTCCTTTTAATAAATTTTCAAGGAATGACATATTATTTTTTTGGTTATATATCTCCCATGATTGATGAGACTGGAATATATATATAGCACAATGATTCTGAATATCAAAATTAGATAAATATTTATCGATAATCTTGTACGATAATATTTTATGTGAAACTACAGATGTTCAATTGATTATAAAATCACTAATTCAATCTATCTACTAAATATTCAGCAAATTCAAATCCGTTAAATTACTCCAATCCAATGAATTGGCATTGAAAGTGTTATACTGCATTTTAATGGAATTCTCTAAAGTTACAACTTAATACCCACATTTGGTATACTTCCCAGTCTAATATCGACAACTTCCATTTGCTTAATCATCTCACAACGTTAATATCGAACCTGATTAAACATTTCCCTTAACAAAAAACATTTAATTCTAACTAGTGTCTAGTGCTCTATAATTAAAATTGCAATCAATTAGTGCTGTATTGACACAGCACTAACCTCTTCTTCTTCCTCCTGAACTTCCACATCTCCTTTTGGGTTGAACCGATGATGGCGCAGCTGCTGCCCGCTTCCTCTTCCGGCTCTTGGAATGTGACGGTTCAACCAAGCTGCTATGGGCCACAACACTATCAGAGGTACCATCCTCGTCACTAGAAAAACCCACACGGTCATAGGTTGGAACCGGGATCGGGGTCGGCCAGAACCGGACCTCCGGCTGAAACACATTCCACCGGAACGTCGACTCCACCGGTAAACCGCCGCAAAGCTCGAGCTCCTCACTCTTCAAGTTGCACGACACAGCGTAACAGGCACCAAAATTTCCATACGCCAAGTACACAATCTCTGGCTTCGATGGGTGGATACCCAATATCCCCTTTACCTCCAAACCATTCATCAACCCTCTCCTACTCTTCTTCTTTGGAAATTCGAATCGTGCCCAAATCGATTTCAACGACACTCGATTCTCCAGCTGCCAAGCCTTGCTATCGTCTAGGCTCCAGACGCTCAATCCATCGATGGAAAAATCATCCTCCGCGGCGTCTTCCAGCACAATCAGATGCAGAGCACCTTGTGAGACCCCGATGTCGAGTAGACTGACCAATTGGGGGGAACGCGAATAGAATTCGGAGTAGTAATCGATGGTTTCCAGTTCTCCATTGATGTCGAACGGATCGTAACCGACCAATTCACGCGAATCCTCGCACTTCCAGTAGAGTTTCCCGTTGAAGCAGGGCAGAGTAATGTGGTAGCCAGGGGTTACATAATGTTCATACCCAACTTCGAAATGGTCGACCCGGTCCACCCAGCGGCCCAATTCGGAGCAGAACACCTCGCACCGGTAATCGCCTCCGGTTTTGTACAAAAGGACGACCCTGAATTTGAATTGGGAGTCGATCAAGACCTGGTCTTTGAAATCGCAGTAGCTGTAGCAGGGCTGGCAGACGAAACCCACCATGATTCTGTCATTGGGGAGAAATTCGGTTCGACCGGTGTAGGGGGCCAGCGGGAGGATGACCCATTGGTTCGTGAAAGGGTTGCCGACGTAGAACCAGTTCCCTACGGTGTCGTTTGTGGTCAGCCCGCAGAGGATTAGGTCGTCGGAGGACGCCAGGACGCGGAATTGGTGGCGGCAGTAGGCTGGGATCGGGAGGAAATCGAGGGTTTCCGGCTGGGATTGCGGGAAGACGAGGGGGAATTCGTCTTCGCCGCCGCGAGTTGCAATGCGGCGGAGGAATTCGGGGCGGAAGGGAGGAGCGGAGATGAGGGAATTCCACCGCTTGCAGACGGATCGGCAGCGGAAGGCGGATCTAGGGTTTGGGAGGCGGGTTAGGATTTCGAGGATTAGGTCGTCGTCTAGGTTGTTGATGTGGGAAGGAAGCTGTGATTTTTTCGGTGGTCGTCTGACGGCGGTTGGACGGCGGCGTGCCATGGCGGTGGCGCTGCGAGGATTTTGAGAGGAAGGGGAAATTGTTTGGAGAAGATTGGCGTGGAGTGTTTGGTAATATAATATCGAGTTCGAAGAATCCGAATTGGAGATGGAAAAGGAGGGCAGTGGAAGGTAAGAGACTAATAGTCATTGCCTCGTCGGACTTCTGGTGGGTTTATATAAGGCGGGAAAATTGTATTAGGAAAGCCGAATCCGTTCAGGGCAAGGAAAAGGATGAAGTTGCTGATGCCTCTGGTGGACTGGTGGGTCCAGCTAGGACAAAATCTACTATCCTAGTGGTAGATAGCGATAAATGGTGATTAGTATATTCTCGTTATAAAATATATAATTATTCTCCAATATGATATATTAATACCACTTTGGTATGTTTTCATACCACTATGATGTAATCTTATATGCTACCAAGAATTAACATTATGGTATACACGAATAATATGTTTTTTTTTTTGAAAGTATCAAAGTCAATTTCATTTTGAATAACATGATTAATCAGAATTTTTATGCAAGAAAATTTGAGTTTCAACTTAAAAGAAAAGAAATATAATCTTTTAAATTAAATTGAATAAAAAGTTATACATAATCAGTAACCTAATTACTGACCACATCTACTCCCGCGTTAAACAGTAAAATGAGATTAATTTGTTTGTGACCTCTTGGCATGCGCAGACCATAGCTACCAATTGCTTCATGATACGTAGGATACTAGCTAGCGACCAATATGTACAATATTAGTAGCTTTTTCACTTATTCATTTTAATGATATATCAAAATTTCCAATCGACTAACAAAATTCAACAAATTCAAAATGGATATTTTGGGGAAAATTTTATTGAGACTATCATAATTCAACAAAAAAATTAACTTCGATATTTCATTATAATTGATTGTTCGAAGCTATAAATCTATTTTCTCCAAACCACATACGAGTTAATTTTAGAATATCATATTATAAACCCACCTACTTTTCATTAAGGCGATTGTTAAGATTTGAAAATCATGGATAGATGGTATATAGCATAACTGTTGTACCTAAACTCGTTAGGATGGGGAGACTTGCTTTTTGTTTCTATTATGAAGGATAGAATGATAATTAATCAAATTGTAATGAAAATACCCCATCATCCATTCCATTATTTCCAAGTACCAAAAAGAATTTAGGACAATTAAATACCAAATAATAAGCATATTTGAGATTTCACAAATAACACATTCAAACGAACTAAGAAAATAATTCCAACTCGTGAGCTCTCAACTCAGTCATGGATGGTCAAGCCCTAATAAAGAAGCAAAGTAGTTTTCAAAGTTCAACATCACAATTCACACAGTGGATACCAATATCACTCTAAGCCATATCCCTACATCTGATTCTTCCTCCCTCAAATGAAGTCTCCTAAGCAGCCACTTCTTCCTTATTAGTCTCCCATCCCCAATTCCAGAAACGCCCTCGCCCTCTTATCATCACCTTCAAGAAGATCATCATACGCATCCAACTAAAGCTCATCCATCTCCTCTGGCCGCTCTTCTTCGATGGTGGTGGAACTAGTGGTTCAACCATGCTGCTATGAGCCACAACACTACCTGTACCTTCATCGTTAGAAAACTCCACACGGTCATAAGTTGGAACCGGGACTGGGGTAGGCCAGAAAGTGACCCCCGGCTGGAAAACATTCCAACAGAACCTCGATTCTACGGGCAAATCGCCACAAAGCTCGAGCTCTCCACTGTTCAAGTTGCAGGACACAGCATAACAAGCACCGAAATTGGCATAAGCTAAGTAGACTATCTCGGGCTTGGATGGGTGCATACCCAATGTCCCCTTTACCTCCAGACTACTCATCAATCCTCCCCTACTATTCTTTTGTAACTTGAATCTCCCCCACATCGATTTCAACAACATTCGATTCTTCATCTCCCAATTACCCTTATCTCCTAATCTCCAAACACTTAAACCATCTACACAACTAACATCATCGACGGTGTGCTCTGCCACAATCAGATGCAGAGAGCCCTTGGAAACCCCAATGTCGACTCCACAGACCAATTGTGTGGGATGTGAATCCAGCAACCCAGAGTAATCGATGAATTCCGGTGCTCCATCGATGTCAAATGGATCGTAACCAACCAATTGATGCGAATCAATGGCCTTCCAGTAGATCTTCCCGTTAAAGGAAGGCAAGGTGATATGGTTCTCAGAGGTTACAAAATGCTCAATCCCTTCTTGGATAGGGTCAAACCGTTCAACCCACTGTCCCAATTCGGAACAGAACACATCACACGAGTAAGTACCTTCGACTACGTACAAGAGAACTACCCTGAACTTGAACTGGGAATCGATCAATACCCGATCTTTGAAGCCGCAGTAGGTGTAGCAGGGCTGGCAGACGAAACCCACCATGATCCTCTGGCGCTGGAGCACTTCTTCTCGATCTTCAATGTAGGCCACTGGGAGGTTCACCCATTGGTTTGTGAAAGGGTTGCAGACGAAGAGCCAACTCCCGGCACTCTCATGCCACTTCGTTGTCAGTCCGCAGAGGATCAGGTCATCGCAGGATGCCAGGACGCGGAAGTGATCGCGGTAGTCTTCTGTGATGGGGAGGAAACCCATGGTTTCCCGGTGGGATTGCGGAAAGAGGAGGGGGAATTCGTCATCGCTGCCGTGAGCTGCTATGTGGCGGAGGAAATTGGGGAGGAAGTAGGGAGTGGAGATGAGGGAATTCCACCGCTTGCAGACGGATTTGCAGCGGAAGACGGATCTAGGGTTTGGGAGCCGGGTTAGGATTGCCAAGACCAGATTGTCGTCGAGGCTGCTAATGTCGGCAGAAGAGAGCTGCCGAGATTTTGATCTCGTCTGTGGTCGGAGAGCGATAGTGAAGGGAAAGAAGCGGGGTGCCATGGCGGCGGATTTGAGAATGGATGGCTATGGAACTTCTGGAAATTGGGAGCTTGAGTGTTAAATCCAGGAGAAAACCCTAAGTCGAAGTGGGAAAAGAAATATAGATAATTAATGATTCTCTGAGGCTTTGCGGAATCTGTTGAAGTTGAGGCGGAAAATCTTGAGAGTTGTTACTTGTTAGTTGCTAGCGCCTGTGATTTTCTAAGAAAAAAATCAATTTCGAAAGAGAAAAAGATATTCGGTGAAAAACAGGTTTGCAAAAACAATTTCCCAGTGAACGTAGATAATGATCCGGTTATAGAATTAGTGTCGGTTATGGTATGGTTGCTAATAAAAAATATCATAGAATTAACAATTAATTTGTATATGTATCTATTTAAATAATTATAAATTATCAAAATAAAACTATGGATAATATTAAAATCATGGATAAACATTGCATTAAGTTATGGATACCTACTTTTTAATTATGTTATTATTTAATAGTGATACAAATTAGTAAAATAGGTAGAGTAGTGCATATATAATTATATTAATCATAAATTATCAAAATTATTTATTAATTATAAAGATTGTATAAAATTATGGATGAATAATTTTTTTATATTGAATAGTGATAAAAAATACTAAACTAGTTAGATTGGTTAAACATTTTACATAGTATAAATTACACGATAAATTAGATCGTCCCTAAACTATGTTTTATCACACTCTATCAGAGCAATCAGAGCGCAAGGAGACTCATTGTGAGTTGTGACTTGTGGAAGGCCGGGCAAATACCTCTTTTTGCAATATCTCGAGCCAACAATGTGAAAAAATAACACGTAACATGTAAACCAAACACCTATAACGACATTAAGGGTGGTTTTGAAGAAGTACAGAAGTAACTTGTTGATTAATCAAGTATACCACAAAATGGATAGCCTCAACCCAGAAATCAGGTAAAATCTAAGTGTATAAAAAGAGCTCGAGTCAAATCTTGACCATGACGATACTTTCGTTCGACCAGATAAGATTGTTTGGAGAGGATACCATTTTGTCTAAAAAAACTCCAATGGTTGAGCTGAATTAAACACTACCGGATCCATACAAAGAATCTTAACAGTTTTAATACGTACAGGTAAGTTATGTATAAAATAAATACAAGTATTTTATTTTGTCTCTAAATGAATGGTACGTTTAATAGTTTGTCAATAGTTAGAAAATAATAAAAGACATTATTTTAAAAATAAATTAATATATAAATAATAGTTAAGTTAGGAATTTAATTCATTAAATACATATATTAAATGTGTTATACAGGTTCTATATGTGTTTAATACAGGAGTCATCTAATAAAACGGAAAAAATGAAACTTTACAATAATATGGATATAGAAGTTTGAAACATATAAAATACGTATGGTAATATATACGTGTAGTAAAAGAAGTATTTACTAACTATATTTCTTAGTTATGAATTCTTCTGAACTCACTAGTACGACTCGACATGGCTTTGTTTGGGGGTATTACTCGACACGATAGCATGAGACGGGCAAGTGTATTGCTTCAAACCCCGCCCCATCTTATTCTTGACCTATTCTATCATGAATTATATCAATATTTACCTATATTTATTCTCATATTTTGAGCATTCTAAATATTATATTTTCATTCCAAAAAAAATTCAAGACTCTATCTTTCAACTATTAGACTCAATTATTCATTCTATTATATCGGGTAGTTATCATAAATGGTCACAATTCTATTCACTTTGCACAAAACGGTCACAATCCTTTAATTTTGCACGTTTCGTTAAAAAAGGTTGGTCAATCCGTCCAATTCCTTCCAAAACTTCGTCCCAAATCGCCACATCAGCATGCCACGTCATTGTAAATAATAGTAAAAAAAATGGGTTAGTCAACCCACTTAACCCGAGACTCCAACCTGTCGAAACCATCCTTTACCCATCCCAAACCCAGATCGTATCTTCGGTCCGTCATTCTTCCCCAAAATCGCGAGTTGGAGGCGCCCTAAGGAGACAGAACGTCGTCACTCGTGGGAGCGATTCGGCGCCGTCACCAAGTCCTCCTCGCCGGCATCATCCTCTTCTCGAATAGTGGGAGACGTTTTCCTCGCCAAGTCCTCCTCGCCGTCACCAATCCCCGAATCCTCTCGACATAACTCTTCGACGGCCGAACTGTAGAGATTGGTCGCGATTCTTTTCCTTTGCCAAGTCATCCTCGCCGGTGCAAACTATTGGAAGCCATCTTGTATCATCCTCGACGTGCGGGAGAGCGATTCCTCCTCTCAACCTCTTATCGGACATTCTCCTGTCAACCTCGGCGAAATTCCTAAAGTCACCATCTGAAAAATTCACTGCTGCACCGGCTACAGAGGAATGGATGAGTGGAAGCTACGTTCGGCCCGGAGTCGCCATCTAAAGCCAGATTATGGTAAGAATTCCCACCTTTCGACAAACTTTTAAGGGTTTACAGCATGTGTGGTGAGAGTTTTGTTGCTATAAAAGAATTGATTTTGTTGTCGGGTTGTGTAAGGGAAAGCATCTAGTCCCATTATCCTATTCGTTTTTCCTTGATTGAAAGCAGCTGGTCCCATTATATAATTATGATTATGGTGGATTCAAAGTAGTTGGTCCCATTATACTTTTCTGATTTTTATGGATTGAAAGCAGCTGGGCTGGTCCCCATTTTTTTATTCGAATTAGTTGACACAATTAATGGATTTCATTGCTATTTATAGGAAATTCGGGACTGTTCACCATTGAGATCAACAACATGGGTCAGTTTGGCGACACGAGTTACAGTAATGGGAAGACTGATTACATTGCCTTTGTCGATGTTGATAAATTGTCAATGCTGGAAATTAAAGAGATGTTCAGAACAGCAGAAGTGGAGCACGCGATGCAGTTCTTTTGGTTGATGCCTGGTGTGGATGTGCAGAATGGATTGAAGCTCTTGGAGAGTGATAATGATTTTCTGGAGATGGGCGGGCATGTTTCTGAAGACAGAGTTATCCATTTGTATGTTAAGCATACAAATTCCAGTTGTGGCAGCCTAAATACGACTCACTTGGTTCTCACTAGCAGTGAAAGGGAGGTTGAAGAAATTAGAGAACTGTCGGTTTCAGTTCAAATGGGATGAGGAAAGACTTTGATAGGTGGAAGGCAAGGTAGATGTTCCACAGGTTCATCTCATAAAAAGCAATCATCTGCGTCTAACATCAATGAAGGTGTTCTAGATGAAGATGTTCTCGAGAAAGACGACTTGTATGCAGTGAAGGTGAGTTATTGGAGAAGACTAGATGGGGCAGCGAAGAAGACGAGGATGTGTTCAACCCAAACACGATTTTTCCTGAGTTTAGGGCTGAAAGGGATATGGAGATGCCCGAGTTGAAGAATGGTCACCTATTTGGATACTTTGACGAGTTCAAAACTTCTTGCAAGTCACATGTTGTTGTGCAAAGGAGAGATGTGAAGATTTCCACCAACGACAAGAAGCGTTGCATCTGTGTGTGCTCATAGGACTGCAGGTTCAAACTGTATGCTGCAAAGCTAAGAGATTGTGACACTGTGAAAATCAGGACTGGGAGTCTGGAGCATACGTGTGGAGTTGATGAAGACATACGAGCTGCGGCACCATCATTTCTAGCCAAGAAGTACCTAACTCGATTTTAGGTGGATCCATCGTGGTCAATACCAAGCAGTTGGCTTTAAAATTGGTTCATGGCGAGGATAGCCTCTAGTTTGGGAAGCTTTATGCTTACAAGAAGGAGTTGAGGGTAAGGAATCCTGGCACTACAGTGGTTATAGAACATGCTGAGAATGTTTTCCAGAGTATCTATATATGTTTGGGTCCAATCAAAAAAGGGTTCAAAGCTGGATGCCTGAAGGTGGTTGGTGTGGATGGGTGTTTTCTTAAAGCTATGCCTGGATGACAACTTCTTTCGGTTGTTGGTATCGATGGTGATGACTGCATGTACCCAATTAGAGAAAGAATGTCATGATACACAGGAATGGTTCATGGCACATTTGGGACAGGACTTAGAGATAGATGACTCACCAAATTGGACTTTCATGCCCGATAGGCAAAAGGTAAATTTCTAACTTTTGAGTATGTGTATGTACTGTAATTGCTTGTTTAATAGCTATATGTTAGAGTATGTGGCCCAACTTCTTTTGTTATATTTCCTTATTCATGTGGGGGAAAATTTGAAGAAAAGAAGTATTATCAGTCCTGAATATATCTTGTGCAAAGCAAGCAAAAGAAAACAATATATATCTAAGGATTGCTATGGACATTGTAATTGCTTGGTTCTTACTGTACAATATGATATGTGATATCTGTATTGTCTTGCTTGCTTTTTGGATCCTAGGGTTTGATGAATGTGATGAACTCTATGTACCCAAATGTCGAGCATCGTTACTGTGTCTGTCATATGTTCGTGACCTTAAGTGGCAAGTTCATTAGGTCCAAGAGGCTCAGGACAATGGCATCCCTTATAAACATGCCATTGCATGGATGAAACTGAACAACGATTCTCTGGAGCGGTATATGTATGATTGTTACCGTGTCGACACATGCAAGAAAGCATACTCTTTTGATGTCCGCCCTCTCAATGATTCCAGTTAATGGATTCATGATGACTGCATTGAGCTTGAATCGCCTATATTTTAAGAGAAGAAGAGGGGTTCTAAATAGAAAAAGAGGCGTAAGGAATCATGGGAGGTGGAGAAAGCAAAGAAAGATAAGCGGGGAAGAGCATACAAAGTTATGTCTAAACTCTAAAGGTAGAAGCGAGATGACATGCACAACATGGCACGAGAGAGGACACAATAGCCGATTCCATGACAAGGTGAGAATTTGCCCATGTTTTCTTTAACATTAATTTTATGAAATTTGTTTATGGTTAGTGGAAAAGATGCTTCCATGTTGACATCGTTATTTTTTTCCAGAATTCTTGCGGTGACGATGCAACAGGTCCATCGGCAGCATCTCCTCAACACATGGCAGCCTCTCCTCCACACATGGGAGGCTCTCCAGTGTGTGACCATTTTGTTACAATCACCAAAAGTCCAAAACATTGTGACCATTTTGTTTCAGTGACGAAAACATCGTGACCGCTTTTTCTATTAGTGATTAATTTTATGACCATGTTCTTATCGATAAGGAAGATATATGACCATGAAATATAACGTTTCAAACTTAGTTCGAAAAAACAGAAACATAATTACAACATGATTTCATGTTCTACACTACACATATACCAATAACGATACCTACAATCACGCAAACGACTACATAAACTAGATTAATTATCCGTGCAAACAGATCTTCACTTTGGTTGCCCCTTCTAGATTATCCATTTTTGCATGCAGTCGATGAAAACGAATTCGTGTCATTCAGCATGCTCTCTTCCCTTGATCTTCTTTCCATGTTGTTAAGCTTCTTCAACAACCCATTTATGACAGCTCTGGCCCTATCTTCAACTGGAGGGTCGACCCATTCAAAGAAATCGCAGTGGTGGCGTAATTTCTTGATAAAATGAAAGAGAAGAGAATGGTTACCAAATCTTCATATGGTGAACACAGAAATCATAATCAAATTCAACATCCTTACCAAGTAATTTCTCTTACAGCGGAGGAACCTTCTACGCGGATTATCTTCTGTCGACGATGTTAACAAAACAACTTTGTCTTGACACTTGCAAGTAGACAGGGAACCCATTTTGGCCTGGGGCTTCTTTTACTTGAGATGATTTTGATTTGGGATTTTAGGGTTTCTTCATTCAAAGGAAGGGGAAACAGAAGTAAGGTGATTAATGAAGGTGAAGGTTTCTATTCTTATAGGGTGTGCATATCAAGCCATGAGGTGATGGGTAAAGGATGGTTTCGACCGGTTGGAGTCTCGGGTTGAGTGGGCTGACTAACTATTTTTTAGTTATTATTTACAATGACGTGGTGATCTAGGACAGAGTTTTAGACGGAATTGGATGGATTGACCATTTCGTTATTCGCTCAAACCTTTTTTACCAAAACATGCAAAATTAAAAGTTAGTAATTGTTTTGTACAAAGTTAATAGAGCGCAACGCAGATGCCAGTTCGGTGGTAAGATCCGAAGGATGGTCAGTTCGGTGGTAAGATCCGAAGGGGGGATTCACAGGTTACTTTGGAAGGTGGGGAAGGAAGAGCCATTGGGCTAACGAACGGGCACGAATAAAACAACAATGGAATTTGTAAAAGTCCAGAGAAATGGATTCAATACTAAGACGCCCGACAGAAAACTATCTATAAAAATAAATATACGTTATTTATTACAAAAACTCCCATTATACGTTATTTATTACAAAAACTCCCAAGCGAAAGCGTGTCGTTCCTCTCCTTTCAGTCAAGGAAAGAATATACTCAAACGAGGAAGTGAAATTGTGACCATTTATGATAACTGCCCCTATTATATCTCTCCTTTCATTTATGACCCAAATCGTAACATACAATACAAATATCATTACTAACTGCAACTTGGATGTGGGCCTACAATAACCCATATCCAAGCCTGACCCAAACGGCCCATATTGACTTTTCTAATTTTACAAACTTGGGCTTTTCTTTATTCTTTCACCAAGCCCATCTCCACTACTCAACCTTCACCTCTTTCACATCATTCCTGTTCTTCTCGTCGCCGGTCACCTTGGGAATGACCACCTTCAGCACTCCGTTCTTCATCTCCCCCGTTATCTCATCAACTCTATACCCACTCGCCGGAACATTCAGCTTCGTGTAATACTTTCTCCCCTCGTAATTCCGCCCTTCCACCTCCGTCGACGATGATTCTTCGACTTCTCCTCTGATCACCAGCGTGTCGTCGCTCTCCACGTACACCTTCACATCCTCCTTTCCCAACCCAGGCATCTCCATGGTTAGGTAGATGTTCTTCTCATCCTCCCTCACCTGCCTTCCACCGCCGGGGGTTGCCGCCGTGGCGAAGAAAGGGTCCGTCAAGTGGTTCAATAGGTCCAGCATCTGGGTAATTGTCCTTGTTGGTGAAAACGGATCCACCATATCTGTGCACAATACCGGAGGTCAAACCTTGACGCGAACCGAACAAGAAATTATAGAAACGGTAGCTTGTTTGTACCTCTGAGGAAGAAGCCAGCTGGAGCAGAGTCTCGCCGGGGATCAAGTCCACGGTCCGAGGAGGAAGAGAGGCCCTGGCGGTTGGAGTCGTCGTCGTTGCGGCGGCTGGGGGCGTTGTCAACCTGAACGGTGTCGTTTTCATCTCCGGCGTACCCAGGTGTTCCAGTGTTGAAGGAGCGGGAACAAGCAGATGAGCGGCCTGCAGTGAGCCTCCGGAAGAATCCGGCAGGGGCAGCGGTCGCTTTTCTAAGAGCTATGAGGGATGCCATCTATGGATTTTGTGTTATGGTGGAAAGGAAGTTTCTGTTGTTGAGGGGTTTGACATTTAAGAACGGTGCACCGAATGCAAAAAAGAGTGTTCCAGAGAAGCGGTGGGAAACTGGTAAGAACTAAGAAGCTTCCAATCCGGAAAATTATTATATACCAAAATTGTAGTAACATCGATCGATAATGTAAACCGTAACAAACTGCATCATATCCGTGTTTATTCCAATTTTATCCGATGTTCTAACGAATACAACACTGAACAACTACTTAACGTAGGTAAGCAACAAATTTGGAGAATATCACCAGACTTATGGACGAATGTGTAAAGATTATTCGAAGCTTTTTAGTATCAACATTACCACAGTAGTGTGTCTAATATAGAATCTCCAGAAAGAAAAAAAGGATTAGAACTGAAAAGAGAAAAGAAGACTTTTTAAGTTACAAAAAACAAATGCATGTCAATCTGAAGAACGGCAAACACCAAATAGCCTGACCTAAGAAAAAACACAAGATTCTTTTGGCTAATAACAGATCCAGTTTAACTAACAAATGGAACCTTAAGAACTCTGTTCATTGGAGTCTTTCTCTTTTTTTTCGGTTACCCCCTTCATTCTTTGAATGCGGTATGAGAGGGGAATGATGATGTTGAAGACATGACAGAATGATTTTATGTTCAGGGAAGGATGGATGAGCTTTCTGCTGCGGGTTTACGTCTTCTTCAACAGGTATCCCAACAACATCCCCAGTAATGCCACAATGACGACGAACATAAATGACACTCCACCGCGGCTTTTGCTTCCCTCACGCCTCATCATTTCCTGCAATCAGAAAATCCCCTTTCGGCATAAGACGAATTCTTCCAAGAATTCGGTAGAGACGTAAATCTTGATTCCTTTGAGACCTCAGGCAACATTTTCTAAGCAATGAAGCCACAACACAATTCATCCACTAAAACCGATTTACTTTGACATTTCTAAACAACTGAATGATATATATCTCATGGCCTTCGAGTGACCCTGCCCTCTGGCTTAAATCTTAGCGAAAAATAATCAATCATGAAAACCTCCCTTGTGATGGCATTTAAACATTCACAACCATACTGTGAGCAGCTACCCGGCAAGACACAGGGCATTAGTTAATTCTGTGGTCCACACTACTACCATATCTGACCTAACAGGGGTGTGCCTTAAATCCAGAGAGAAGAAACCAGAAGGTATTTATCATTTTGTGACTTCCCCCTTATCTACTGGTTAGATCCTTAATGTTATGGCACTTGACAATTGCATAGGGAGAAGTGACAACTCTCGAGGCATCTCACCGAGATAGAAATGTGAACATCATGCATCACGATACTTGAAACCCTAATCCCCCCTTATGTGCAATGACAAATAAAGACCATCAAAAAGAGGAATGGAATAATCAACTTACTAATTCCTGACGAAGCTTGTTGTTCTGCTGAATGGCATTGTTCTTTTCCTCAGTCAGCTTTGAAATAAGGGATTTTGCCTGCCATGAAATCAATATAAGCAGGGCTTGTAACAAAAAACTGTTTGACCAAGTGCCAGGATCAAACGACCAAGATGCTTGCCGCAACTTATCCATACAAAATGAACCAAAAACCATAAAGATGAGGACAGGAGTGGGATTGCGAATATAGCAATGTGTTCTCGGTGTGGATAGCAAGTCGCAGGGAATTCTTTATCAAACAACATATCAAAGAGGTAAAAACGCAAATACCAATCCCTGCCCTCTATGTATAGTGACAGAAAGAGAAAACACAGAATGAGGGGTGGAGCAGAACTTGAAACTGCACCAAATATTTTGAGAGAACCATGATCTAGACAGACAAGCACGAGAGCCATTGCACTACTACTACTACAGAAGTCAAAGATGTACGCCAATTCAGACCTCCAGAACCTCATAACGCAGTTTCCACAGTGTTAAACCACTACCATTAAACTGCCTCAGAGAAGTAAGAGTGCAGCAACAACCAATGGAATAGACAGTAGTGGGGGTTGAAGAATGCAGCAGAAAGCGTGAAAGATAGAGTCTGGCACAGCTAATAAGCTAAAAATACCATTTTAAATGTTTATACAAAAAAAATTATCACAGTTTGTCAAAACCTTTGCACACATCTCTTTTGCTCTCATTACCAGCCATGTCACATTGATAAAAGCGCAACAAAAAGAACTACATTTCAGATCATGTTGCACCTTTCTTCACCAGTTGTCAACATGTGGCATGGCATAGTAATCAGAATCATGCATCGACTCTACGGATGCATAATAAAACAAAATATGTAAACCATAAGATTTAACTAGAAATTTCTTCCCCTATTCAGAAACCACCAACTTCTTAAAGTCCTTACTATACAACCTATCCCAAACACAGATTCCAAATATCTACCCAAACAAAAGATTAACCATTGGATATTCACACACAAATACAGGAAAGCCTACCGGACAAATTATCCTCCATGAGATACAGCTTGAATACAGATTCGAACTTTTACCTCAGGAGACTTCTCTTCCGAATCAAATCGCTGAACGAATGCTTTTGAAGCCTGCAACCACGAATCATGAGGCCCAGATTTTCAGCACAAGATAGCACAAATGACCAAAACTAGAAGTACTATCAATAGGAATAGCAAGTACTCACAGCAGCAAACTCAGCACCGTTTACATGTCCGTTGTCAGACACGGAACCGCGTGGTGAAGACCCTTCCTCTGAGCCTTCAGGAACAGGAGAAGGTGGTTGAGGTGGAGCTACATATACAACCTTCAACTTGGTTTCCTCAACCTGGTGTCCTGCCTCCTTGTTGAACTACAGAATCCCAAAGTATCCATGATCAATAGCGCCACAAACAAGAATTCTACACAACCAGCAGAACATAAACACAGTAGCAGCAATATAAAAGTTGTACCATCTCAGCAGTGATATCCTTTGCAGCCGAACCATCGGGAGCTTTTACGCTCTGGAGCAAAAACTTGTCCTTACACTGCATGTCAGCAGGAGCCTCCTTTTGCGCTTGCATCGTAACTGAAAGCAACACGTAGGCATGCCATAAGCAAAGTCGCCCCAATCACCAACCCACGCCATAAATCCTACCAGCAATAATCAGCAATCCACAATCGAATACCACGGAGATTACCTATAATGTCACATGTTGATCGAGGCAAAACGACCCCTGCATTCGGCCGAACGCAGTACTTCTTCGGATTAGTTGTTTTGACCTAGATGCAACGATAATCAGTTAATCACCATTATCTTCTTCTTTTTTTTGTAGAAAAATCACATTATCTAGCACCTTAAGAGATCCCCCAAAAAAAAAACAGCTGACTAGACAAACAAAGAATCGCATATCTACATTCTGCTTTTGAAAATAGATTTCGAGCTGCTTGGAATCGAATTGCCGCGAAAGGGAAATGGAGCAGAAAGAAAACAAACACAAACAAAAAAAAAGTACAAGAACTCAAAAGAGAGATAGATTCAGAAACTCCATTTTCTCTCCCAAGCAGCAAAACAGAAGTGACACATCACGAAAACGACCAGAATTCGATCTCGCACCGGACGGGCAGAAATTGAAAAGAAATTCCAAATCGAAACAAGAGAAGAAAATCGCGGGGAGAAGGACGAAGAAGATTGAGGAAGAAAACATCTCACCTTGAAAGCCACATAACTATCGGTTTTGTTGGATAACTGAAGCGAACATGAGATCTGCTTCTTCAATTCAACTGATTCCACAAACAGAAAAAAAACAACAGAGGTGAGGGTCAGGAACGAAGAACCGGCAGAGGTGAACATCGCAAAAGGAATCAACAACAGAGAGAGATCTGCGGGCGCGGAACTGACATGGAAATTTGAGCTCTAGAGGTTCGATGCTGAGGAGCTCTCCCGTGCTCATTTTCGCTCGGTCCTTGGTCTTTCTTCGTTTGTTCCTCCTCCTTCACCTGAAATTCGTAGGAGAAGTTTTATTCTCGGGGTGGAATTTCGGGGGAAAGGAAAAACCAGGAGAAGAAGAGAAGAAGGAGAGAAGATCCGGAAATATATGGGAAGAGAGAGAGAGAGGAATCTGTTTTTGGAAAATATTGTTTTCCGGTGGGAGAGAATTTTAAATGAGCGGAGAGATCGAGAGAGAGAAAAAAAGGAGGGGTGTTTGTGTCTTTTACTACTGTTCCAATTTCTCTCTCTACGGACGGGTAACGGTGGCAGGCAGGCAGGCAAACATGAATTGCAAGTTTGCAACTCGATAATGGAGGTTTCTGCGCTGCCGTGGCCCTCTTGTTTTTGTTTTTTTCTCTCCGATGATGATACAATCATAATTCATACGAGCTTGTATCCGTTCGTAAAAGCTATCGTATTAGTGGTCTGATACTGATAGAGAAGAATTTTATCGAAATTTATATTGGTAGACGGTTTTTAGCGGGTAAATCAAAATTAAACCATAATTTCAATATAAAATACTTTATTGTTGATTTTTCTGGAACAACCTCCGGTACAATGTTATAATTCATGGTATTTGTGTATCAATATTGTTCCATTATCTCATTGCCATAAAAAAAAATAGTTTACTTTACAAGATGGACTATCGTCCAAATACTACAGTGCGTCACGTTTGTATTTTATTTTCTTTTGAGCCGATTGTTGAAACTCATATTTCATTTCCTTCTTATGATCGTTTTGAGGTTTATGGTATGTGAACTGTCAAGAACGTTCATTTTCTAATGAAAGAATGTTTATGGAGTTTGTATTGATTGAATTGCTATATGATATGATGAATGTTTTTTACATAGGACCAAACTGTCTTGATGTATGGGTAGGAAGTGGATATCTCTCATCAAACCGGTTTGCCAACAAAAGAATGCAGATTATACTATAAATTGGGCCATCATTAACACTCATCCTCGAATTAATTAAATTACGTGGATTTAACGGTTAAGAAAATAAGTGGATATGCGGTCGAATTTCTCATATAACTTTATGTATACGAAGAGGAAATTAATAATTCCACTTTCTAGAAAATATCAAAATACATAAAATCTAAAGAAATTAGAAATACAAAAGATTATGATACGTGAGAAATGAGGAAATAGTTAAGGGAGATGTGAGTTTAGAATTTAGATCACCTCTAGATCACCTCTAGATCAACCGGTAATCCATTACTGCTTAAATTTTAGTTACCATAATCACCTTTAAACTTTGAGGTGTTCTCCAGGAAGAAAAAAGTCAAATAATCAAAAGTGTGCACTAATGGGATTTGAATATTCCACAAAAGTGTGCAGTGCACTAATTGAATTTGAACAGACGGTACAAGGAGTCATAATCACAATTAACAAATAAATTGGCTATGCTGCTTAAGCAGTTATGCCTAATCATACTCCCCACGTGTATCAAACATGCCTATTTTTAATTGAGTAACCTTTGGTTACCGGTTAACCGGCCGGTTATTGACTAATCGGTAACCGAAGTAACCGAACTTCGGTCGGTTATCGGAGGCTGGACAAAATGGTTTTTGGTCTTAAAAGTGGTTTGTTTAACCGATAACCGAGAAACCGAAGCCTATTTCGGTCGGTTTTCGGTAGAGAATGTGGTTATTTTGATTAACCGATAACCGGCCAATCAGTTACCGGTTATAACCGAAATAACCAAATTGCCACTCCTAGAGTAACCCTATCATAACCATTGCTTACCACTAGTGAATCATCATTCAAATATATGTTAAATCTTTTTTAGTTGTGAGAGTTCTCGTATTCGACTCGTCGTGGTACTAATATATCTGTCGTTTTATTGAATTTTTAGTTCAATTTTTATGATGTAAGAATGCAACGTTGGTGGTATGACTTAATGTGATGTTTTTTTTTAAATTTTAAATGAAGGTAGGGTAAAGGAGAAATTCTCCTTTGTCTTTTGAATGAATAAAGGAGGGGGGGGATTTGGATTCCTTTTTACCAAATTGTGATTGATATAATTTGCCACAGCTTTAAGGGAGTTTAAAGAATAGAGTTTATGGTTTGGAAAGTGATGCTTTCCTAAAAAAATTTCATTTATCAAAAAGATGCTTTCCTAATTAGTTACAGCTTGTAATTTTAGATGCCATTTCTCTCTCAACAGCCTCTCTCTCTCTCTCTTATACCTTTCTTCCCTCTCTGTTAAGCAAACCCATTTGGTAGCACTAATACAACAAACCAACAAATAAAGATCATAATAGCCTTTGATGGTTGCATGACATTGTATATATGTAAGAAACAAAATAGTGACACAAACTTCAAGCTAGTGCTCTTCTCCAAAGTGCAGCTTTTGTCCATTTGGGCAAAGTAAGCCGCTGTATGGAAAAAAGATAGATGGGGGTTGCAGGAAATTATGGGGGCACAAAGATGCTATGTTCTACCAAATGTTGTTGGTGGAATAGGAAAAAACGCCTCCAATTGTCCATAATGGTTATTGAAATTTGTCGCATCCAACACGTAGCTGATGCATTCATTCATTCATTCTCTGTTTTTACATTGAAGTGAAAATGATGGGGGCAGGAAATTCCAGTTACAGGAGGGGAGGGTTCATAAGCTGGAATATCATAATAAATCCGAAACTGGATGGTCAATAAATTATTTAAGATTAGAAATTGGATCTTGATAAACAATTTAAGTTATCAAGATCAATAGTTTGAGTTAGTGGAATTACTGATTTCTAGCACATAGATGATTGTCCGACTGAGCTTTACAAGGCGGTATGGGCAACATTTGATTTGCTTTGTTGGTCACTCTTGATCGACTTAGTATTTAGGATTGTGTGCACACACGGGGATTCAGGGTGAATCATCTTGTGTATTGTATGTGTGTGGATGGTATGATTGAGGGTTAGAGATCACACTTTTTTTTCCTAAATGATTGTTGTTTTCATATTTTACTCGAGAGCCTTTTTGTCGAGAATAAATGGGGTGAGTAGGTTTAGGGTGTTGGTGGTATCCCTCCTCCGGCGGATGACAGTTTTGTTGCTTTGTTGGTTACCCTTAATCAACTTAACGTGTATGGGAGCATACTTGTGGCAATCCTCTTCTTGTCTGTGTGGATCGGATGTTACGATTTAGACTCAAAGCTCTTGTTTTTCTCAACGACGAGTATTTTCTTATTTATTCTAGGGTTATCGACTGATGAATTGTGAGAGCAGGTCTTCGTATTATATATTCTCTTGTACCTACTAACTTTCAGTAACATTTACAAAAAGTTCCAACGGACATATCTATCTTTTGATATAAAACTATCGCACACGCGTGTGTTTGAGAGGAGAAATGAAGTATGATTTATTGTGATCCTCAATTAGACACATATCAAATAACTAGCAGGGGACGAAGACAAATTTTGCGTTACAGGTTGCGAGTAGTCTACATGTTACGCATCAGCTAATGAATTGGAACATTGGTACCAGCTAAGTTCACTCAGGCTTGCAGTTGCAATTGACTTGTGTATACCCTATTTGAATTCACTTATCATGCACTTTTGAGAATAGATCATTGTTCACCAAAAAGAAGAAGGAACAGAGAAAAAGAGAGTGAAGTACCAAACCAGCCTTGAAGTGCATGGTTTTTGGGAGCAACAATGATAATGACATAATAATTAATCTATGTAGAAGTTGAGGGTTTGATGAATGTGCTGTGAAAGTCCCTTGACTACCTTCTTGGTATCTTCAAGAGCTGTTTCCAAGGCTTCTAGTTTCTGGGCAAAACCGGGGGAAAAAAGGTCACTTCTTTTTGGGAAAACCATTTGAAGAATATTAATTTCACCTTGACCAGGCAGGCAAGTTGTGTTATTATTATGTTATGTTCACATAGATTGACCAATGTTTTTCACTCACTGTGTTGGCTTCCAGGAGTGCAGCTTCCAATGCTTGAATCTTTTCAAGCTTCTTAACCACTTCTTCTTGCCTTCTCTGATCGATTTGGCCACTGCCCGGTGTTGCCTGGAAGAAAAGAAGGCAGGGATTTTCAGAAAGTGAATTTATCTCTTAAGAGGATCGTTTTGGCTTTCGAATCACTCGAGTAAGGTGAATGTTATCATTCTTATATTATGATCGATTTCTCGACCTAAGAATCTTTACTTACTAAGCCGTCTTCTGAAGCTAAACTCGTGTTATCCGCATCATCGTAGCCTTCTTCAGTTACAGCAAGTACCTAATGACAGATGAGAGAAGGGTACAAGTTTTGAGAATGCTTCAATTTGTCATTGTGCAACTAAACTATTCAGGGTAAAAATGTAGGAACTGAGGTGATGAGTAGAAAAAAACCTGAAGCAAGTCCTGAATTTCAGGGTTGTTCCATGGCCCTTTATCACTAAACAAGCAGCCACCATGACCAGAACAGCTGCAGCTTCCTCCCAAAAAGCTTGGCAAGTTGCTGTCTCAGAAAGAAAACACCAAACCCCACCTTTAGGCTTTAACATAAATTCCTAAGAACCCTTTCTAATGTTCATTAAGGCCGTCATAATAGGCAGAGTTCAGGACTCACCTTGGATCAACAGCTTCAAGAAGTTCACTTTTGTAGCTATCTCCCAACACCTGAACAGAACATTGTTGAATAAACCAGAGCTTTTTTTCTTCTTTCAAACGTACTTCTGCATTATGGAAATGAAAGTGAGAAAAGTGGCATCGATCTTGCCTGAATCTTCTTCAGTGTACGGACATCAAGAAATGGCTTCAGTACTTTCCACAACATTCTGAACCCAGATCCAGCATTCACTATGTACAGCCGATGCAAGGTCTGTGTTCAGCAGTGATATGCCAAAGAAGCATTATAAGTCCATCACAAATAAGCATTTAACTGATAAAAGTCAATTGAATTGGAGACCAATGTCAGTTTTTCCGAATAATTCAAGTTGTTGGGAGTTAAAACTAATGCCTCTACAATAATTTTTTTGTTTAAGTAAGTCTATTAATGTAAAGTTGTTAACTAGTATCGTTAAAATTTGAATACAAGGGGTCAATAAAACCCTAATACAATGTAAAAGTCGAACGACTTTTAATGCCTTCGATTATTACGACACATCAAAACAATCAATCCGATATAATTTACTTAATAATAATGAGCAGGATCAATTGATTATTAACCTCTGGATAGTAGTTGCTGTCAATCTTCTGAATCTCCATGAAAAGGTACCTAGCTGGCTTGGAGAAACTGGACATTCCCTTAACCAACATTTACAAAAAGATCCAAAAATAAGCAGAGCATTAAGATCCAATTTTGCAACATGTCACTTTTGAAGTTGAGTCTAGTCTCATAATTTCAGAACAAAGTTCATACCACTCCCTTAACATCCAAGATGCTGGTGGTGGAAGCTATGTGAGTCTTGGCTATGATTGAACAAGCAGGGTACCTCAAATTCATGGTCTTCTCCTGTTCACAAACATGGTACTTCACTAGCCTCTCCATTTTGGTCACTTCAAGCAAAGCATCCATGTTCACCATTCCAAGCCTTTCGATGTACACTGGCCTCCCAACTCTGTCCACTCCATGGAACCCATGAGGGTAGCATTTCTTCACCTCCCCAGCCTCCTCAAACTTGAACTCCTACATCAAACATCCATCGAACCATATCGTAATTGATATCAAAACATATAGACCATACAATGACTGGTATCTTAAAAGTGAAATATCGATTGTTTCGACAAAAGTTTGGATCTAAAATACCCAAATTGAAAATCAATTTTATTTGTCATTCGACTGCTACCTGAGTAGGATAGACAATGTTTGGTAATTGATGAGTTATGTAAATACTTTTAATTGATCTTTTTTTTTTACTTGGGTCAATTAGTTATGAATGCACTAGGTTGTTTAGGGGAATTCAGTTTTACCTTTGCAATGGCATCAACCCTATACTCCTCCCTCCACTTGATGTAATTCACAAACATGTCTTTTGCCTTTGGAATATCAAAATCCCTCATCCGAAGAAACCTTAAAAGAAAATACGATCAACCCAAATGAAACCCACCATTTCTATTTAGGTTGCAAAAAAGTTAGATCAATTGAAAATTTACCGCAAGAGGGTATGATAGTCATTTCGCTTGCCTAGCAAATGACCCTCGAGAAACAGAACTTCCCGGAACTTGTTCACGACTTCTTCATCGTTAGGGTCGTGAGCTCCTTCCAATGTCATCTTCAAACTCGTGTTCCTCCCAATTCTCTTGAGCACCGACATCATGCTCGAAATCGACGGTGACGAGGAACGCCTCTCGCTCTTCATTGCAGGGAGGATGAAGTGGGATTCGATGGGAGGATGGATAATCTTCTTCTTGTTAGCCTTTCCTTTGATAAGGTAAGGAAATTTACTATTGTTCCACCCTGAAATCTCTTGATTGTCTTCAGCACGACCACTACCGCCTTTTGATATGACGATCTCCCTCGATTGGTGCTTTGGCCTAAACATGACCCCTAGCCTCTCCAGCCAAGATCTTCTTCTCTCCTTCTGCTGCTGTCACAAGAGGCTGAGAATGAGATGAGGAAAAGCCATTATTGTTGGAGGAATGAAATTGAAGAAGATGGGGAAAAAACCCAACTGGGAAGAAGACTTGAATTCCAAGAGCAAAGGAATCTCTTAAGGCAATGCCTTTGTTCTTGATTAAGTGGCTTGCTGGTTTTTCCTTGGAATATGTAGCAGACAAGTAACTTGTTGTACTTGTTGGCGCCAAAGACAATTCTTTTAACTGCAAATTGGAATGGCCTGTGCTATATGGGCTGAGGGCATGATGGTTGGGAGAAATGGGCCTTTCGTGGCCCACTGTGAGACAAAATGGGCCTTTTGTTGCCTTACTTACTGGGAACTAAATGGGAATATTACCTTAACCTTGGGGTTTGTTAATTGGATCCGTTGGAGTCTGGCTCCAACCCAATCAATCTTGGAAGCGGGCCTTTTTGTTGGTCCCTTTCTTCGTCTTGGTCCACGTTAGGTGGCGGGAAAAGGCTAAAACTTAAAAGTTAAAACAGTAGAAAGCAAAGTGTGTGTGGCCAATGAGTCCGAAATCAAAAAGTTTTTCCATGGCCATACGAATACGTTACGTACCAAAGAATTATGGGCACAGCTGGACAACGACTGTAACGCCTTTTTCCTGGATATGTGGACCAAATCGAAGTGAAGAAAAGTTACCGTACCCAAAAAAAAAGAAGTCAAATGCCAACAAAAACGGATGTGGTTAATGGTAATTGATCACAATCATTTTGGGTTTCTGATTAGGGATCTACCGGATCTGCACTATAAACCAAGTTGAAACCACTTTCAGTTGTTACAATCAACTAGGAGTTGATTTGTAATTTGTAAAGACTGCTGACAATAAAACAGTGTTTTTTCAATGAAATGAGGAACGACTAAGAACAATTGGAGCTACGACATAAACCTCTTTCAAAACAACTATTTTCTTGGGTTTTCAGTCTCCTTTCCACGGACACATTATGTTGAGTCTTCTCGGACTCTACACAATCTAAAAAATAAAGGCACAACATGAGAAGAATCACTAACCGCTATCCTTCAAAATGACAAAAAGTTACTGATGAGTTTACACTAGAAGTACGATAGTAAACTCCTATAAAACTTACAAATAAGAGAGTATTGCAATCAAATTGATCCAGGCCAACAAAATGAGCAACTAAAAGGATACATAATATCACTCCAAAGTCCAACTCCACGCATCCATTACTGGATTTCTGTTGCGGTTACACAAACGTTCCAGCACAGCTAATTAGGGTGTCGGAAAATACAAGGATCAATATTAGGTCAAAACAAATAGTTCAGGGACTTTGGCAGTAGACATGCGATAGTTGGGGGACTAGGATGATAATTAAAACCTTTTACTGGATTGCTATTCGTCGCCCTAAAATTCAATTTTTGTCGTCCTAAAATGCATCAAATTGACAATCTTACCCTCTAACTCCAATCTCTAACCAAAACCCTAATCAAACAATCCGTTACCCTGCCCAGACACTGCCAACCTCAACCCCGCCGCTGTCGCTGTGGATTCTTCTCTCCGGCAGCCGCCACCAACCTCAACCCTCGCAGCATGTCCGTTCCCATGGTAAATCGGGCGGCAACGAAGATGGGTGACGTCGGAAGCAAATTACGGCTGCGCAGAGAACGAAAGTAGAGGTTGGCGGCTACGACGAGCGAACTTCTTCTTCGGTGCCGACGACGAGCGAAGGCAGACTCAAACTTCTCCTTTCTCCTCGGCTCGATCTTCATCTTCTGTCTCGCCTCGCACTTGCCGAGCAGAGAGTTTTTTTTTTTGTTTCCAGCCGCCCGGAAGGGTTGAAAACCCATCTCCGGCGCTTCTAGCGGCGAGTACGAACGTGCCTGAGTTATTTACATTTATTCCATTTTTTTATTATTTTGGTGTATTTGTAACTTGTAATTCATTAATTTCGCTATTTTATTTTGTTATTAAACATAGTTGTATGTGTTTGTTACTTTGTTTTAGTGTTTATATATGTTTTGAAAGATAAGAATTAACTTAAGGATATTTAAGTAATTTTAATAAAAGTTAGGGCGATGAATAAGGTATTTTAGGGCGACGAATAGCAATGCCCTTATTTAAAGGTTACACGTGTGATAGAGCAGTGTGGCCCACTCGCCAGGGGGGATGAAAACGTGGAGAAGTATCCGGAAGCACACGTACGTATGGCGACTGGCAGGGCCAGCTGTTTCCAGTGCACACAAACAAAACACACCCACCCATACATTTCCACTTGGGAGTTGTCGAGTTGATAACAATACAATAAAATAAGAAACACGCTTATTTTTGTTCTTTTCCCGCTAAATTCCCTTCATTTTGACGTCACTCCGGGCTTTGTTGCGGCGGCGACGGCGTTTGTGGCCTGTCCTGCTGTGTTACGTCTTACGTGTAATGTTTTGAAGATGACCTAATTATTTACGGTACATCTTTGTTTTAGATTTATAATTTCAATGTGATGAGAGTACCCATCTTTTCCAATATCTATGTATATGATAAATGTACTTGTACTAATGTATTCTCCACTACTTGAATATATGTCGGGTCCTAGAGAGGATGGAGGTTTTTTTTATTTTTTTTATTTACAAATGTAAGAATCCATTCATTTCAAAAGGCCATTGTGGACTTGTGGTACAAGCTAATCCAATTACAACAATGGGTAAATAATGTCTAAAACTTGAATCCGCTCCTGGTGAAGTGACCCTTTTGCTCCTTCTTTTCAACCCAATCCACACATTTGTTCTCATTTGTTGGGCAAAAAGCAAATCTTGGTACCACCATTCGCATGGAGGATTTGCCTCATCCATTGAATCCACCCTATGACTTGCCAAGGTCCAACTTTGTTAATGTTAAGAATCGTCTCGACCAAGATCTTACAGTCAGAGAGGATGGTAGCAGAGATGCCCACAAAAACCACATTATGCGTTAAAGTCGGAATAGCCTTAGTTTTCGCAACAATCGCCGACAAACATATCAGAGTACCAACAAAGCCATCCACAACTAGGCCAAGAGGGTTTTTTATTACCACTCCATAAGCCGCCAACTGAGATTCCAAACTGGAAATTCCATCACAGTGAATAACCCAATGGTTAACACAAGGCGGTTGGCTGAGTGTAGGGTGACATGGAGCATTCTGGTCACGAGAAGTAGTGAGGGACAATTGATCTTGACTCGTCCAATCAGAGAAAAAACTCACTGCTTAGTGCTTTCAGAGGAGTACCATAAGTACTAGGATTGACTCCTTTAAACACGCTCTCGTTCCTCACCAGCCAGATTGCCTAGAGACAAGCCACAACTGTCGGAATCGAAACAAGTGAGATACTTTCAGAGATCCTAAGTAACCACTTCATAATCTGGGTGGAGTCGTGGGGAGAATGAGAGAATGAAAGTTAGTTTGTCAAACCCTCGCATCATGTGAACAATGGAAGAGACCGTGTCTAATGTTCTCTACCTCCACTTCATAAATGTAGCAAACCGGGGAAGAATTGCATCTTTTGAACCAAAGACTTGTCTTTGTAGCAACCTCACTCCTCGAAAGTCCCCAGATGAACGACCGGATCTTTGGAGGAAGCGATAAGCTCCATAACCATTTCGACGCTTTAGTGGAACAGTTCGGGTGATTTGGATCTTAATTCCCAAGCATATTCATTTATGCAACTCTAAAACAATGATAAGCAGTCTTGACCAAGAAGATACCTGATTTTTCGTGGTGCCAAACTCTCAACTAATAGGGATTCTTCTGATAGCTTCCACGTCTTCCTTCGAGCAACTTTGTCTAATGATGTCCAAATTCCATTCCCATTCATGACCCAGTACTGGAAAGCCCATAATTGCTGGCGCTGATTCGGTTGAAGTTTAAAATTACTGATGCCCAGAATCCACGAATCACCATCCAATGCAATAGTCCTCCCGCTTCCCATATTCTTGCTTGCCCTTAACTCCAACACCTTTTTAGCCTCACAGATGCTAGCTCTTATCCAATATGGTCTACGACCCTTATTGGCCGCCATGAAGTACGAGTTTGAAAAATACAAGCCTTTCAAAATCTGAATTCATGTCTCTTCCCCACTCTTGAGGATCCTCCATCCTTGTTTTGTAAGCAATGCCATATTGAATTGGTGAAAGTCCTTCAATCCATAGGATGGAGTTGGTGGTGCTATATAGATAAATAAGTGTTATGGTTCTGATCAATGATTTTGTAGCCGCAGGACTAATGAAAGATGCATGCTAATGATTAATGTAAGCAATAAAGAATGGATCATTTTGTTTCATCATAAGGTCGAGCTTTATAAGAAAAAGGGAAAAAATCATGTCAAAACTAAAATATACATGTGACGAATATATATAAGTTAGTTGAATTTTATTTTTAAATTAATTTGTCTCACTTTCTCAACACAAAATCTTTAAAAATTTGATTCTACCATAGACAAAGTTTCAAACTCCAAAATATTTTTCAGGTCGTTCGTTCTCGTCAAATTAAATTATGTCATTAAGCTATTGGTGTAGCGAGGTCGTGGCCCCATGGCACCCCCTCTCCCTTCCAAAGAGAAGTTCAATGTATAATCAAATGCGAAAAAGTTGTGTAGTTTATGAAGTAATATTGGTCTCCGCCCCGCTCCTCTCATCTCAAATGGTTCAAACTTTCTAAAATTTTTTGGCTCAAATCCTTTGATGAGCTTCATTTATATTGTCCTTCATCGCTATCGTATTTTTAGCTATGTCACGAAATTATATGCATCAACGTCTATTTACTTTCGCTTTTGTTGGTTTGAAGCTCTGTAAATGTGCACATAGAATTAGTTTGAAGCTCTTATAGATCCAGCTCATAATGCATCACATCGAAAGTTACCATTGTTATTTAAAGTTACCGCGTGGGTTCAGTTGAGATTTTACCCAATTTTACCCCTAATTATTGAAGAGGGGGGCAGTGATTGGAAGACAGCTGGTTTGCAGTTCCTACATTGCTACAAACTAGAGTTTATTAATACATGTATCTTCTTGGGCTAGGCTGAGGCTGACTAGGCGGTGACATATATAGGACTGCTTCAAACAGCTTCAATTCAATTTTTTTACTTTTACAGCGCATACTAGTTCAGAAAATGAAGTGCATGAAACAGTAATAGATGGAAGAGATAGAGAAATGTGGATTAGAATCCCCAAGGCTGCCAGCCTGCCACCATCTAACTTTTTTCTGGTTCTAGATCTAATTTTTTGTGCTGCCAATGCCAAGCTTCACGCTAACACAAACAAGCTGCCCCTTTACATCCTGTTCCAATTTAATAGCCCTCCATCCATGCACAATATGTACACCAACATTTCCCCACCCCAAAATCGCCCTATCTCTTTTCGCTGGTCATAGCTAGCTACTCTCCAAGTCAACGAGGGAGAATTTTTCTTTATTTAACGAAAAATCTATGATTTGACTTTCCTATAGAATGATGCTCGTCGAAAACTCATCATATAACCTTTTTTTTTTTGTTGCTAGAACAATAGGACCCTCTTTAATTGTACTCATTAGTAATCACATAGCATGTTTATGATGTCTTGATCATGTTTTAACCGTCTTGTTTCGCATTTGAATCTAGGTATTGTTAGAGATAGATTAGGAATAATCTTATATTTCCTTGTCCTTATAGTATAGTTCTTAGTATTACCGTGTCCTTTTAGTATTGTGTTTCTCTTACTTATTGTCCAAGTCTTGTAATCTATATAAACCCCTTTGTGGTTTCATAATAATACACACTACTATTTCTAAAACTCCTATAGGTACAACAGTTACGAACCGTCGGACGCAATGGGAAGGAAAATGCCAAACTGTTGGACGATAAGAATGGTCCACTATTGGAGTCGTCTCTGCCTGGATTCTTCCCCTCTCCTCTCCTCTCCGGGGCCGAATCTCTTTAATATACTCACTGCAATTCCAAGGCTCCTCCATACTTAACCATTGAAATTGAAGAACTCTTCCCCATCCAACTTGTGCTAAATGGTGCGTCGAGTACAGCTAAGTAAGTTAATATCTGACGACTCCTTTGAATGAGTCCAAAAACTGCCCAAAATTTGAAGGCTCAATTTATTATGTGCCCTCAGTTACTCTCTTCCCCAAGCACTGCCTGCTTCTTACTTCGATTTTGGGTACTGCATCCCAGCTGCCATTTCATTATAACTTTCTTTTCCTCCCCCTTAAAATAGAAAAGATAAATAATAATAATAATAATAAAATGTTGATTTTTTTTTTTACTGCTGTCATTGAGTGTCACACGCCCACCGTGGGGCTCGAACCCACGACCACAAGGTTAAGAGCCTTGCGCTCTACCAACTGAGCTAGACGGGCTGTGGTGAAGCTGTTAAAATTTTTGCTTCTTGGTGTCAGGAGCTTGATGTGTAAGATTTTTTTCTTTCCATCCAATTGAAGCAATGTTATTATCATGTATTAATAAACCATGAATGGTTTGGTGGATGTGGCTCTTCTCTCCTCCTTCTCTACTTCTCTTCCTAGGTGGGGTGTAACAGAGTTGTAACTTGTAACGTCGTCTCATTAAATTATGTTTGGTTATATTATCTTGTCAAATTAAAAGCCATCAAATACCTGAAAATTACATACAACCATTCCATATTGCATATAAGAAAGACATTTTATTGTGATAGGGTACTTGGTCCTTGGACCGACCCATTTGTCATTTGAAAATTAATTTTTTAGGATGACAATTAAATTAGTTGGCGAAGTATGAGCTATGATGTATGCAAAAGTTAAAAAGATCGAATATGTAGAGAGATAGACCAAATACGCAGTTACAATCATAAAGAAAAAAAAAGTTAGCCTTGTTCTTGAAAGACTTCAAAGCCTTTAACACTGAGCAAGAATTCTAATGGTTTTCGACGAAATCCGAAAGCTCAGCTCAATGACTATAAACTCAGAAGTCTTTCTATCCATCATAATACAAGTTCTAGATGTTGAAATGAACAAACTCATTAACAATTTTGCACAAAACAATTCTTTACATTCACCTTCATTAATCAACTAAACCAAATAATTCATTACAAGAATTTACATTCACCATTCGTACTTCTATTTTTTTACCTTCTCACATTCCACTTCACTTCTATAGACATTATCCACCCATGTACAAAAATGTTGATGAACGGTAAAAATAAGAAGTACACCTAGTCCCCCATCCACGTATTTACTTAATCACATCCGAGACAGATCCCCTGCTCCCGACCTCATCTTTATTTCCATGCACTCCTTCAAAAAGTCAAACCCCCACTCCCCGGCGCACTTTAGCCTTGGTTCAAGCTCTCCCACAAAGATGCGCACTTCCTTCTAGCAAATCCAACCTTCCTCTTCTCCAAATCGTAAACCACCTCAAACCCTTGCTGCTGGTAATTTCCCAAAGTAGCCCCCGGCCCACCGCTAAGCTCCTCCTCATCCCCACCGTTCATCAACATCAAGCACCCAACTTTCCGCTTCCCTTTCTTTCCATCCCCACCGTCCACAAATTCATAGAAATAGTTCTTCCTAGGCATCACCACACTAGATCCATTCCCGGAGAAATGCAGCACAAGGCTGGGAACGCTCGCGACGGCGTCGTTATAGTAATAACACGGGCTCAACCCGGTCTTCGCCTCTACTTCCCGCGCCCGCTCGTATACCCGCCCGACCCGGTTCTCGAACTCCGCCACCACGGAATTGTACAGACCCGCGGGGAGCATCGTGAAAGTGGTACCAGAATCCACCACCAACCCTCCCGTCCCACCGCCGTCAACCTTTTTGAGAAACGCCGGCGCCGGAATATTCCTCTTCCCAACCGAAATCCCCTCCAGCCCCACCGTGTAGAAATACGGATGCTTCGGATTCTCCAGCAAAGAAGTGTACACGTACCGGGTCGGGTCATTTCCCTCACCGCCGCCGCCGCCCACACGCTTCTCCTTCTCCTCGTCAAACCGGCCGAGAATCAGCGGGCTCGGGCGGCGGACACGATCGGAGTCGAACGAGTGGGAGACCAAGCAGTAGGAGAATCGGTTCCCGAGCTGAGGCGAATCGGCGGCGAGCTGAGCTGGCAAGGAAAGCACTCCCCGGCCGAACCCTGCGACCCCGACGGGCTCCGCCAGCGCCGTGTGAGCGCATCCGAAAGTGAAATTCCGGAGCTTCAAAGACGGGGACGCTAACGGAAGGGTAACGGCGTCTGTGTACAGCCGCGCTACCAAGCTTCCGTCGCCGTAAGCGTAGTAGAAGGAAGGGCAGTTGTAGGACTGACAATCGGAGGTTTCGATTAAGTCCAAGGGGCAATTGGCGATTGCGCAGAGGTCGGAGGAGGGGAGATTGGAGTGGGCGGCGGAGCAGGCGGCCGATTTACAGGGTACGGCGGCGGCGGAGGAGGAGAGATTGGCAAGAATTGCGGCGGTGGCAGAGGATTGGGTTTCGGTCTTGCCTTCGCAGAGGATGCACTCGAAGGGGCGGCAAGGGAACCAGACGAGGTCGCTGCCGGTGTCGAGGTAGAGAGAGACGTGCTGGGGAGGGCTGGAGTTGAGGGTGAAGGAAAGGGTGTAATCGCTGCCTGGAGACAGGGGAAGGGAGACTTGGCGGTGAGACTTGTGATGACGGTGGTGGTGGTGGTGGCGGGCGGCGGAGCGGGCGGAGGCGGATTTGAGGAGGTGGTGGGTGGAGGTGTATTTGGTTGTGGAGAGGGAATGGGTTAGAGGGAGGAGGAGCTGCTGGGAATGGGAAACAGAGACATGCAGGAGAAAACAGAGGAGGGTAAAACAGGGGAAGAAGAAAGCAGGGGAATTTGGGTTTGCCATTGTGTGATTATTTGGGATAGAGAAGGATTTAAGGAGTGTGTGAGAGAGAGAAGGGATTTATAGTGGAGAAGTGGGAAGGAAGGGGAGTTGTGGGGTTTATCTTATGTGAGGGAGGGCAGGGAGAAGAGTAGGTTGGTGTCAAAGAGGATTTGTGGTTTTCATTTGATTGTGGACTATAGAGAAATTGGAAAAGAAATGGTGATAATGATTGGCAGGGAAAGTTATATTAAGCAAAAACAAGGAAATAATTGGGGGAGTTTAGATTATGATTATTATAAAGTGAGGATATGGATGGTTTGAGAGCAGAGTTGTTAATTTGGAATAAAGAAATTGGGAGGTTGGTGGTGGTTCTACTTTGCAATTTATTATCTAATCGTCACTAATAAAAATAGCATTTTAGAAGTACATCATCAAGCCCCACATTTTTAACTTTAAACTCTTACAAGAATGGGAAGGTGAAGCATCCATAGTTTGAAAGGAATAGGATACCAGTATTGTGAGTCATTTTTGCAATATCTTACCATTATCAAATAGTCTAACGAGATTTAGTCGAATTGGTCTTCTCATTACTATACAGTTGCGACATATGGTTGAAAAAAAAACTAATAAATTTGACTCTATTCTTTATGTGCTTTTAAGAAAATAAACCTTTTCGTTCAATTTGTTTTATGGTTATTTTACTTTAATTTTTTAACTATTACAAATATTGTAGTTTTTATAATAATAAATACTTCATTTTGTTTTCATAGTTGAATGAATTATATTACAAACAAAAAATTTAACAAAAGATAATTAGTTTGAAACAGACCGTAAAATGTCATGAAATGTCATCTTATAGCCTCTTTCAATCCGTTAGAGTTATCTTAATAAACATCATTATAAATTTATAATACTTTAATTATAATCTTTTTACATTTCAAATCATGCATGGACATCGTTGAACAATAATGTTAAATGTTTAAGTACAACTATCTAACGATATATCAAGAGAAATTGAAAGATATATTTTCTTAAGAAAGTCCTTATGACCTCTTTGTCAAACCTTTGAACAACCCCATATATAGGAAGAAAAAATTATGATATAATACGTATATGTGCGCTATTGACATCAACAATCTAACAATATCCAACTCAAATGTAACCCCATAATATATTATATCCCATTGGCATGCTCTGTCTATATACATCAAACGACGACAAAAAAAAAATAAGCAGCGATAAGGATGAGAGGAAGCAAAGGATACACCTTCGCTTTCACAGGGTACTGAAAGGTTGGTGCGGAGTCAAAATTGAGCGACACTTCGTCTTGACGTCTTGTTACCAAGTAATCCCTTTCATAAACTCGTCTTTAATCGGTTGACTAATGGCTTGCTTAGATAGCGATATTGGTAATTATGGGATGTAGATTATGAGTTGATTTGTTTCTTAATTTGACTCAATTGACTATATGAGTATTGACCGGATTCAAATGGATCCATATGTACTTTTTTATGGTTTTGGATTCGGGTCAGGTTTGAAACTGTGAATTTATGTAATGAGAAAGGAGCAGTGGAGCGCTGACAGAATTGTTGGACAAGTAGCTAATCCAGATTGATGCAGGATTGCATAACGAATAATGAGCTTCGAGTGAAGACTATTAGAAAAAAACATTTTAATCCGAGATGTTTCGTTTTATTTGAAATCTATTGAGTGGTAATCCGTCAATGTGATTTTTTGTTTTGTGAAGATGAGCCCATTTTCAATATGAACAAAAATGGAGCATATGGATTTGCCTTTGTTGTCACAAAACCTAGGCAACATTTGTGGGTGTACCCCCACGATTCTGATGGGTCCATTGAATCTATCCCCACTATCTGCCTCCTCACGCCCAAAAAATTTCATCCAAGTTTGGAGATGGTAGGCTCAAAGATCTGGATGTGATTCTTGTGCTGGTACACATATAGCTTGATTCAAGTGACAATTGGTTGTTTTGCTTTTTCATCATCATGCATGCAATGAAACACCGATCGAAAAGGAAAAACGAACAGAATATATAAACATAAAATAATTCATACAACTACGAAAGTATGCAATGGTTGATTGTCTTATTGTTCAAATATTTTTCTCCTGATTATTGTTTTACAAGAATTTTTTCCGCCTTTTGGACCAGTAAGATAATATCATACTTCTTTTCAGATCTTGTAAATTTGAAGGCTAAGAAAAAACATTGCACATGAAATTGGGAGATGAGGTTTCCAAGTTTTGATTGTAATGGAGAGACAAACCACCATCGATCAATACAATTCGTATTCTCTCCCTTCTTCTCTACTCTTCCTTCCAAAGTCGCTGAAACAACCCAACAAATGCATGATTGATTGAAGGGTTCATCTATATTTGTAAAGGCTACTCTTTCCACTTTCTAGCAGATGGAAAATTTCAACTGCTCCTACCAAAAAAAAAAAAAAAGAATTGCAAGTTTGCAACTGCTCCCACCTCTCTCTTGAATTATGATGAGTGCGATCATAATTCAATGAACTATTCAAAATGTTGTTACTAGTAGAGTGTGATGAGTGCATATGGGAAATGTCCAATTTCGTAACAAATGTTACAGAATAGAGTATACAAAAAATTGTGAAATCTCCAATTTTTTCGGTTAGTACAAATATTTCGCGTATAAAATCATTATGAAGACCTTTCGAATGATCCAAAATTCAACAAATGAAGTGATATTGTTTCAACTCTATGGTAGTATTGGATGATGATTACTGATGATTGATTAAGAAATTAACATTACGAAGATTGATATACTTATATTGTCAAAAATCAAAATAAAATTTGTTTGGTCTGTGTTTGAGTCTTAATTGGTATTTGAAAGTTAAGCATTTGTTTAATTTGCTAGTGGTTTGATGCTGATTTTCTTACTGTTCGAGACAGGAAAATGACTATTTAGTATTTAGTCTATTACCGGAGCATATGGAAATCCTGAGAACTCAAGTCTTGAAAGAATACCCAAAGAATAGTGCTGTGCTCAGGGTGGTGCGGGCTCAATAATTTATAGTGGGCCCTTGAGTATAGTTAGGTGGGTCGAACTTTTTCTTACGCGCGAGGAGCCGGCGCTACGGGCTGGCCCCCAACACCCGACCGTGACATACCAAAACACAGGTGTAATTCGGATAATACCAACGGGCTCGTTTGGAACCTCCAATTCCAGATATTGTATTTTCAGTATACATGTATTCGGAGAATAACACGTTTTTTGACTTGATGTAATAACAGAATGCATGTATTCGTAATCCATGTTGTATTCCTAATATATAGAAAATGATGTATTCATAATCTTACATTTTTTTTGTGAGATTTTAGTATCCATAGTTCATTTAAACTATAATCCATGCATTCTTGTATGAGTTCCAAACAATGAATTTTCAAAATCACTTATTCTTAGTATACACATAATCTTTAATACACACATTCTCACAATACATCATTTCCAGAATCAAAGGTTCCAAACCAACCCCTTATACCCAGCAAGACAATTGGACTTTCGCCCGACTTTTTGGTTGGTTTTGGATCGTTTTCTTTTGATTATTAAAAAGGCGATCATATATACCATATGTTATAATGTGGATGAATCGCTTCTTACCATATTCTACAGATGTTTCAATTTTTTTTTATTACTTACTATATTGTGGATGAATCCGACAATCCACCGCATAATCCGCTATCCACCTGACCCAACCCGATAATAAATGTAGGTGGGAGGCGGGTTGAAAATTGCCAATCCGTTCATGAGTGGGTGAATTACTTTTATAGTAAAAATCCACCCAATCCGCTTGCTGCCCACCCCTAGTATTGAAGTGGATCCTCTGTCTTCTACGTACAACGGATCAATCGAGACCGAGACTTTCCAAAAAAAAAAAGAATACATGCTCTATAATAACCCAATAAACAAAATTAACATCACTAGGAATTTCCCAAGCCAATTAACCCAATTAATAATTAAGTAATGATTGAAACTGAAAACAAATGAACCAACCAACGCCACAGCCGTCCATAATCAACCATGCTCGAAAAGGACATCTCCTATAAACCCAGCCTTTTTTTCGTGTCCCCCCACTATAATGTATAGCTGCCAATTTCATATTAGGCCGATGAACACCTCAAAATTCAAATACACAAGTCCTTTGTTTCAGGGGAAAAGGCAACGTCTTTGATTAGATTAAATTCATGATAGCTATTCTCTTTTGACCCGTCGAATCATACCTACCAATTAAGCACATACTAACTTTTAGGGGAATCAAACGGACCTGTTATGTACTGTGCCCACTTGTTTATTCATAGCAGAGCTTAATAAAGATTTGGTCGATTACCTAATGGAGGAGGGTACACCTGGCTACACCAACACCAGCTCTCTTCCTCTTTTCTGGCATTGGAGGGCTCACCTACCCTTCAACTCAAGGGCAACGCGTCCTGATGACCCCTGTCTTGTCGTTTTTTGCTAACACAAATGGGTTCAATACTTGACAAATTCCTTTTGTTTCTTCCAATCCACGTCACAGGAAATTTTTAAAGAAGCAATGGATAGGAAATTCAAAACCAATCATGCACTATATATATGGACTAATCTGAACCAATACTTTCACCACGAGAGACTTATATAGCATCATCATTAATAGCTAGTCATCAGAATGTGAACTCTGTGGTATTTGAACCAACCCACGTTCTTTGAAGAAACCCTAACAAAGTAGAACTACAAAATCATTATCATATATACATGAATACGATCGAGTTGGGGGGCTGAGGGAGCAGCCTTGTAGGAGCTGGCTCTCCAGCTCCATCTTGGCTTGACATATATATATGTTCATCAACTTGATCCGGAAGCCTGGGTTCAGCACCGTCAGGAATCAGGATCGCGGCGGATTGATGCTGGGTGTCGAGTGTCAATAAGCACCTGGCTCCTCAAGCATGGTGTGTTCGAAAAGCTCCGACGTCGATCGATCGATCGCCACGTGTCCTTCCACCGTCTGCTGAGGAGGCTGCTGCATCTTGCAAATTCGTTCAACCTCCGCAGACGGGAAAGAATATCCAGGGTCAGTTCGTCCGGCAGCTTCGGCCATGGAAATCTTCATCACCCTCCGCCTCCGATGAAGGCATTGCGATTGCTTCCATGCCGCCTGGAGGATGTTTTTTTCTTTCTTTTCTCGTTAAATTCGGCCGCCTTCGCAATTCAAAACACGAGTGAGCCCTAATTGTCCACAAAGAAAACTTTACCCTCTCTTCCTCCCCCTCTTTATATAATAATAACAATAAATAAAATTTTATTTATCGATATGGTGTTACGCTCTACTGATAGTAATTATTATAAAAGTATTATACAGTAAAACTTCTATAAATTAATACTCGATAAATTAATAATCTAGTGTAATTTAATAATTATTTCGGTTTCGATTTGGGCCACTGTGCAAAACGAGCAAATGATAATATAATAATTTTTGAGAATCAACGCAAATAAATACATGTACGTATTTACAATTCTATCAATTAATAATTGTAAAAATATAATTCATAAAAAAATTAAAATATAACTAGGATAATATAGAAAATATGAATATATAATTGTTTATTTCTTCTTGAAGGTCAAGTTTATAAGAAGTTCATCTTGAACTTTTCTCATTCCACTCAAAATTGTCGATGTTGTTTTCTCTAATTGCATTACAACAATTATTTTTGAAGAGTCAATGCGGCTTTAACCGCTTCATTTTGCATGACCGGTTTCGAAAGTGTTGAATCATCATCTCTCTCATCCTCAATTGAACTACCAATAAATTCACCCACTAATTCGTCTAAAGTTTGTGCCTTGATACATTCATCACTTTCACTTGGATACTCCAACAACTGACTTACATCGATCTTGTTAGGATAAGCCATACCATTAACAATATACATTATAACCTGACAAAGTAGCAAAAAGGAGAAGAAGAAGAAGAGAAAAAAAAAAAACCTGCAGAAGGAGGAAATAAACCCCACTCTTCCCAGTTAAGTCTTATACCCAGTCTGTTAACAGCTTGTTCCACAAATGAAACCTGACAAAGTAGCTTCTACTGCATTATCGATATGTGAAGTTGATTAAGGGGCTGACAGAGCAGTCCAGCAGTTGGGTTTCCAACTCCATCTTCACTTCATAGATATCTCCATTGAGTGGAATTCTGTGTGCAATAAGTACCTCGTTCAAGCTTGGTGCATTCATGATTATGTACGCAGCAAGCTCCAATTGGGGTTTGCGAACACTGAATTCAACCGGCCTAACTCCATGCAGTCGAAGCACTTGTAGAGAGTTATGCTTCCAAGTCGACTCTGCACCCAAGTCTCGCCTCTCCCATTCTCCTCTCCACTTAGCTGCTTCAGGGAACTGTTTGATGAAAACTTGGTTAAGACGTTCATCACTGGAAAAAAAAAAGTTACTGATATAAGGAAGAAGGAAAGTGGAGATTTTAATTTGGTGGGTAAGTGGTACATACCCAAATTGACAACTCTTGCAACAGCGGGGCTGCCCTTAGCAGAACCGTGCATTCCAAGAAACTTGCAGGATTGGCTGTCATACACATGATTAGATCCAACCTTTTGAGCTTATCAAATAACATCCACTTAGAGGCGCGGTGCTGCGAATGCTGGTTCCAAAGGATGCCACCCGAGTTCGAGACCGAGGCGCTGCAATCGAGGTGCAAATCTGTCGAATTCTGAGCGAGACCATGGAAAATAGTTGCTATGTGTGTGGAGCGGGATCCCTGATCCACCAAACCGTACCTCTCGAAGATGGGGAAGGTCGCCAACGAATTTGAGCTGCGTGCCGTGGTCTCCACTGAACTTGAAAGTACGAAGACTGGGAGCGGAGATGAGCTCGATGTAAATGCCACTGCAGCAATCCACTTGAAAATCCAGGCTCTGGAGGTTGTTGCTGGAACGAACTCTGACGACTAATCCCGCCGCTGCACGAGAGAAATTGCGGAGGGAGAAGCATCGCAGGGAGGGGCAGAGGTCGGAGAAGATGTGATCCATGGCAGATTGAGAAATCTCCGAGACGCCCTTCAGCTGCAGAACCTCCAAGCGGCTGAGGTCGTGCTGGCAGAGGAATTCAGAGGTCAAGAAAGAAACAGAGACTTTTGGGGATGTGAAGTTGGACAGTAAGGCCAGCTCTTTGACCCTCTTGGTCAACCCGAATTCGATCCACCTCGAAACCTCTTTCGTCTCCTTCAGGTAGTAGAACCTTACTTTAAAGGCGTCCAAGTTACGATTGTGATGATGAACAAGGCAGGTCAGCGCTTGGTTGACCCGATTTGCGATTTCTTCAGGTGTGGTGTAGAACAAGTTCTTCTTCCTCTGCCGTAGCTCGTCGAAATCCAGGATCCCGCCGTCGATCGATCGCCATATGTTCCTCCAACGTTTGCAGAGGAGGCTGCTGCATCTTACGGCCTCGTTCAGCGTCCCCAGGCGGGAGAGAATCTCCGTCGCTAACTCGTCCGGCAGTTTGGTCAATGAATCACTCGCCGCCGACATTGAGATTGTTTCCCTGCCGTCGGAAGGATTTCGGTTGCTTCTTTTCTGGCTATTCTCCACCATCGCAAATTCGCAATACAATACCAAATCATCACCAGACCCTGCTGTTCCTAAATCCTAATTGTGTCCAGAGAAAAAGTAACCTTCTGTTCGTTCCCTCGTCAGGTAAGAATCCTTGTCCCTAAAGAATAAAGATCACTTACTACTCTAGTTAAGCCGTGACGTACGTTACATCACATAGATTATTTGGACTTGAAGTCTTGAAGTGTAATGTACGTTCCGTGGGGGAGTTATGCTAAAAGTTGTCTTTAAGTAAGGATACGTACACCAAAAGTTGTGTATCAACAATCACCTATTGCATTTCATCAACATCCTCTATTTTTTTTTATATCCAAGATAAGCCACAAGAGCATGGCCGGACAACAAATATAAAAGGCAGACAGTAATAAAGAATGGTAGTTCGTATGCAACCGAACTCCCGATGAAAGAGCTTTTTTTGCCACTAGGTGGGCAGCTTTATGAAAGCTCCAAGAAGCAAGAAGACACGATACTGACTCAGATAGAGAGAAAGAGGAGAATACTTCCTCGCAAATACCATGTTTGAGAAACCATCATGATTACGGCCAAATGCTAAGGCGAATGAAAGATTTTCTGCAAAACAGAATAAACAAAATAGCCCATACATAGAGATACAAAACTCTATCGCAAGAGATAGAAGCGAGCCTTCTAGGAAAAATTGGAATTGCCGAAAGCAAAAACAAATTATGTTTTATATAACCAACAAGTGAAACAACCATCATAACAAGTTCATGATCAACGGAAAATTATGCTATATCTAAGCAAAAGTAACCTCACATTTGGGACATAGCTATTAGAGACAAAAGGATTACAAGTTCACCCATATTTCAAAAGAGAATTCTCTCAGCATCCATCCTAACTAGTCTAGAATATCTGCATCAACAGCAAACTGTGCTTATCTAAGCGAATAGGACTTATAAACCAGCGACTATCCTAAGCAGAGTTTTGCAATAAAAGAATGACGACCAATGGATCGGATCATGGTCACCCTTGCTCGGTGTTGTTTGAGCTACGAATCATGAGTTGTTGCGCTATGAGATAGAAAGTGAATCTTTCCCCACCAGTTTGAAAAACAATCAAACCATCTAGAGGCATGCCGAGATGGATGAAGGGCCCGTTGATGGTGGGGTGCTGAATCGAGTACATGACCTCCCAGAATCTGCCATTAAGATGTGGGGGTGCCAACAATATTTATTATCTGGCTAATTTCAAGTTTGGTCACTACAATTACAATAAAAGTTCACGTTTGTCACTAAGAATATTGACTTTCATGTAATCTCTTCCAAGTTCCAATTCTATATAACCAACAAAATTGGTTTGACTCATAAATAATTATTAAGAAAAAGTAAAAATATGCATCAGTGATCCTTTAGTAATTGGGCCCAAATATACCAGGCACCAATATAATATTGGCCCAAAAAATTAGGGTAACGGTGTTTTTCTTCCTACTGGCTCCGTGCCGTACATGTCCGATGAGTCCGAGCGAGGAAAGCGCTGCGTTACAGACTCCTAACGCGCTTGTGCTACATTGACCGAGTTCCGAAAGTTAAAAAAAAAAAAAACCTAACCGGAACATATCTTCTTTTTCTGCCCACCCTAATCGAAAAAAATTCAGTGGGATACCAATCGCACCATCGTGATGGCGGACGCGTGCGAGATGGAAAAATTGGATTTGGGAAAGGCAACTTCCGGCGCCGACGGCGACAAACAAATTGCAGGTTCGCAACAGAGGGAACTGCTGGATGAATTAGTGGCGGAGATTCTTTCCCGCATGGGGACGCTGAACGAAGCCGTGAGATGCAGCAGCCTCGTGTGCAGCCGGTGGAGGAACACGTGGCGCTCAATTTGCGGCGGGGTTCTGGATTTCGACGAGTTCAATGAGGCGCTAATTCGGAGGAGGCACGATGGCGCCGCCGACGACGAAGAGAAGAACCGGTTCGCAAATCGGGTCGACCAAGCCCTGAGCTGCCTTGTTCATCATCAAAACCTGGACGCCCTGAGAATCGGGTCCGACCTGCTGGAGATGGATCGAGTCGGGAGATGGCTAGAATTCGGGCTGGCCAAAAGAGTCAAACAACTGAGCCTATGGTTCTACTACTTTTTCTCTTCCCACTCCCTCGGTCTCACCTTCTTCACCCCTGAATTCCTCGCCAAGCACGACCTCCGCCGCCTCGAGTCCTTGGAACTGTACGGCGTGTCGTCGATTTCTCAACGAGCCGTCGACCACATCCTGTCCGAGTCCAACTGTCCGTCCCTGCGGTGCTTCCTCCTCAACAGTTGCGTGTTCCAGAAGATTAACGGGGGAGATGCCGTTCTGAGACTTGGTTCCAGCAACGTACTACAACGTTTGGAATTCAACGAACTTGCCAACGTTGCCAGAGTAGAGCTCATCTCTGCCCCGCGTCTCCTCGATTGCTGGCTGAGAGGATTCTCTCTTTCGCAGGTGGAGTTTGGGGATGGTATTCCTCAACTTCGAGACGCGGTGTTGTGTTGTAGACAAGGCTTGTTGCTTCAGTGGCCGTCTCGCGATCAATTCGACAAGATCGCACCTCGATTGAGGAACCTCTCGATCGAAGTCGTTGGTTCTGACCTCCTCCCCAACCCTGCTCCTCCGCCAGAGTGGTTGGTGTTCAAGAAGCTTACAACATTGGGTCTGTTCGTGCACGTAAAACGTGCGCCTCCGAGTTTCTTGGAATGCACTCTCCTGTTAAGAGCGGCTCCAGTGTTGCATAAGCTAGCCATATGGTTCGGCGATTTAGATGGCGAGGGTGAGCCGAGAGGATGGGAGGGGTGGGACTCGGATGCAGCTCGGTCTTCGACGTGGAAGCATCACTCTCTAAGGGTGCTTGAGCTGCACGGGGTGCATCCACGTTGTGGAGCTGTCGATTATGTTCGCAAAAGCGAGCTGGAGCTTGCTGCTAACATCATCATGAACTCGCCCTCTCTGAGCCGAGTCGTTATCGATACTCGTCGTCGAGAGTGGCTCCATGGTTTTCGTGGCCTGATCAGGTTTTCCCATACAACTGAAGCTCTTAGAGGTGAAATCAAGATGGAGTTGGAAACTCAACTTCAAGGCTGCTCTGCTACCTCCCGCATTCACTTCACTTATCAGTGATAACGATGGTAACTTGGGAAGAAAGAAAACTCTATCGTGGACATGACAAGGAGGTTTTTTTTTTGTTGCTCGTTTTATTTTCTCGATCTTGGCACTTCTTTGTTTCGGTTTGATATAGTTTTGTTTTTGGACTTTTTTTTAGAAGGGGTCGGTTTGATATAGTTTATTGAAATGTGCAGCCTGTTTTTTAGAAGAAATTATCAGTTTCATTAGTTGTTAATCGACATAACTACAAATGTTACAGGGCAGGCCGTATCTTTTCTACTCTATGTTCTTTTTTCCCACCAATCCTCCTTCTCCTCCCCCAACGTGAGGTAAATGGTAGTGTTGGATGGCGGATGCCTCGATGGAGGAGCTACAAAGATAGAGAGGGAAAGGGATTCAGCATGAAGATGGAATTTTTTTTTATAAAACTAATTTTTGAAATTTTAAAAAAAACTATATTTGGACAAAATTTTTTTTTTTACTAGCATGGTGAACTAATGTCAGCAAGCTCTGTTGAGTTACTAACGGTTAAATGATTTTTTTTTAAAACGCTTAAATGAGTTGATCGTTAGTGTTACCGCAATAGAAACATAATAATTAATATCAGTTCATTATTTTGAAAATTAGATAATTTTTATTATTATTGAAAGTTGAGACAAATTGTTCATTTACACTATTGGGGTCATATTGGATTTTAACCTAAATGTTACACTTCCTAAAATGTCTACAATAAACATGTTTTTACTCTGCAAACATTAAAAGATTAGGCTTATCTATAGTCTAGCCATGGAATCTTTCTTATATACATATGCGGATCTTATCATTCAATATTTACTTGTAAAACGAAATAAACTTGTTTGTAAGACAAAATAGGTTTATAGTCTGTCGGTTAACCTCTTTATAAGACACCTTGAGAACTTTGGTTTGTGCAGTGTGTTTGTCAGACAATTATGTTTGTATTTTCTATTTAGTGTTTACCCATAACGAGAATTCACCATGTAGGTGACTATATCCTAATTTGGGGGCGAGAATGAGATATTGTTGGCAGACCAAATGGCGTGGATCGAGTTCGATGAATGAATGAACAATTAAATGAGTTGATCGTTAGTGTTGACGCAATAGGAACCTAATAACTAATAACTGTACATTATTTTGAAAATTAGGTCATTTTTTGTGATTGGAAGTTGAGAAAAATTGTTCATTTATACCCTACGTATCAGGGTCGTATTGGATATTAACCTAAATGTTATACTCCCTATAATGTCTACAATAAACATGTATTATTTTGCAAACATTAAAAGATTAGCCCTATCTATAGTCTAGCATGGAATCTTTCTTGTATGCATAGACATCATTTCGGAATGTACTTGGATTCCTGAAAAGGGAAGGTAAAGTTATTCTCAAAACCCCTTATATCCATAAATAATTCATTTTTTGAAAATTCTCTCCTACTAAAAATTGTAGTCATTAAAAAGTTATGCGAAATAAAAAAAAAATCATGATTTTTGGATTGTGGAGCACAAAGTTATGGTCGTTCAAAGTTTGACGAAATCGAAAAAAGGCTCGTTCGGGGTAGCAAACGACATTTTTTCGAGACGAAGGCGGGACCCTTATGGCGGTTTGCGGCTTGCAAGATCTCGAAAAATTATGTGGAATCAAAAAAAATTCGCTACGATCAGATAACTGAGCACAAAGTTACGTTTGTTTAAAGTTTCGACGCAGGTCAGGCCTTCACCGCGGCCGTTTACTGCGGTGAAGCATTCACCGCCTTTGTCGACAGCGGTGATGCAATCACCGTCTTCGTCGACAGCGGTGATGCAATCACCGCGCTTCTCTGCCGCGGTGAATACCCAAATATACATAAATTGGGAATTATTTTCATAACGTGTGTATTTTGAGAATTCTTTTTAAAAAAATGTGTAACTTGTGATTTTTTCCAAATAGAGCCGGCCCGAAGATACTCAGCCCATAACTCGCCGTGACATTGCTTTCCTTCCTCCCGGCGGCGTACATGTCCGAGTCAGAGAAAGGAAAGGACAACTAATACAAAATATATAGCGATCAGAGAGGGGGGTAAATTAAAGACAGAACTTCCGCCGGCGGCAGCAAACCGATTGCAATGTCGTCGTCGACGCCAAGGCAACTGCCGGATGAACTAGTGTTGAAGATTATTTCCCATCTGGGGACGTTGAACGAAGTGGTAAGATACAGCAGCCTGATGTCCAAACGATGGAAGGAGGTATGGCGATCGATTGGCGGCGGGATCCTGGATTTCGACAAGTCCGACAACATCAGAGCGTATATCCCGACCGAAGAACAGCTCCCCTTCGCTAATACGGTCGACCAAGCTCTGACTTCACTCGCATCTCATCGAAACTTGGACGGCTTGAGAATCGGGTTCGACTTTTATGGGATGGCAGAGCAAGCCCGGAGGTGGATCGAATTCGGGTTAACCAAAACAGTGAAAGAACTGACACTAATCTCCTCCTCGCCGTATCTCCCTCCCCTGACCCTCGATTCCCTCGCCAAACACGACCTCAGCCGCCTCGAGGTTCTCGAATTCCACGGCATGAGGAAGATTCCTCGGGCAGTTGTCCAGCACATCCTCTGCAACTGTCCATCCCTCAGACAATTTGCTCTGCGCAATTGCAGTTTCAGCGAATTAGGAGGAGCGGTACTCGTCATCAATGTCCAATCCAGCCACAATAACCTCCAGAGCTTGAGCTTGGATTTGGAAGCCCCGGGCTCCGAGGTTAGGATCGAGCTCGTCTCTGCTCCCAATCTTCATACATTCAAGTTCAGAGGCTCGCACGTCGAATTTGGGGACAATCTTCCTCGACTTCGGGAGGCGTGGTTCAGCGGGCAGTGGATCCGCGAAACCAGCTCCCTCCCGTGGTCTCGCGCTCAATTTGAAAAATTCGCACCGCGATTGGACCGCCTCGGGCTCCAATTGGGGCCGAATCGCTTTCGTCACCGTCTCGTCTCTCCTGTACCGGAGTGGTTGTTGTTCGAGAAATTGAGGTTCTTGGGTCTGGATCTGTTTATAAATACGTGCTTCGCTCCTTCGAGCTTGGTTGACTGCACCGTCCTGCTGATTGCGGCTCCGGTTTTGCGACAGCTGACGATTCGCTTTGCGAATGCCTCTGATATGGAGAACCAGGAGTGGCGGGGCTCAAGTGCTGCAGAGTCGTCATTGGAATGGAAGCATCACGCTCTGGAGGTGCTTCGACTGCACGGCGTGCATCGGGATCGGACTGCTTCGTTTTTCGTCTCTGCTCGCAGAAGACAACTGGAACTTGCGGCTTGCATCATCATGAGAGCGCCTTCCCTGAAGCAAGTGCTTATTGATACCCGCCACCCGAGCTTGATTCGCCGTCCTGCGGCCGAATTCAGACTTCCCCATGAGGTGGATGAAGATATATGTGAAGCCAGGATGGAGCTGGACACTCAGCTCCAAGGTCGCTCTGCTAGCCCGCATGTTCACTTCACTTATAGGTGATGGTAATGTTAGTTTGTTACCAATCCTCCCCCAATAATATATATTATATCAATAATATATATTATATGGTAGAGTTCTATGAACTTTTCTCCATTTCAAATTTATTGCAACGAGAGTGAAAATAGGAAGGACATTTTTGTCTTTACAATTAATGATTTATCTCATATAAAAAATATCAATATGAGAATTCAAACCCGGGTCTCTTAAAACAAAGACAAATAATTACACTAAACAAATTTGTTGTATCTTTTCGAGTACAAAACATACACAAAGGTAAACTTTGAAAATTGGAGGAATTTTCCATCATGATTAGCAAGCCCACTAAGTCTACCGTATGTATTTTTTTGGTGCTTGATACTTCAATTTTCATAGTAGAGTTTCATGTAATTTTCACAATTTTAAATTTTTTGCTCTCGCCTTAATTTTTTTGCTAAAGGTAGATTGGTAATTGACTACCATAGAAGAAACTAATTATGTTACTGCATGTTGTGTCCTTGAAATTTTCAATTTAAATTTAAATTTAGTGCTTTTTTATCTTTGTTCTTATCTCTTTTAACTTCCTCCGAAATTCCCTCCATCGTGCAATAGTTTGCGCCCCTTTCACTTTCCAATACAAGGACGCCTTTGAAATCAATCTTTTGGTAGAGTTCTATGAACTTTTCTCCATTTCAAATTTATTGCAACGAGAGTGAAAATAGGAAGGACATTTTTGTCTTTACAATTAATGATTTATCTCATATAAAAAATATCAATATGAGAATTCAAACCCGGGTCTCTTAAAACAAAGACAAATAATTACACTAAACAAATTTGTTGTATCTTTTCGAGTACAAAACATACACAAAGGTAAACTTTGAAAATTGGAGGAATTTTCCATCATGATTAGCAAGCCCACTAAGTCTACCGTATGTATTTTTTTGGTGCTTGATACTTCAATTTTCATAGTAGAGTTTCATGTAATTTTCACAATTTTAAATTTTTTGCTCTCGCCTTAATTTTTTTGCTAAAGGTAGATTGGTAATTGACTACCATAGAAGAAACTAATTATGTTACTGCATGTTGTGTCCTTGAAATTTTCAATTTAAATTTAAATTTAGTGCTTTTTTATCTTTGTTCTTATCTCTTTTAACTTCCTCCGAAATTCCCTCCATCGTGCAATAGTTTGCGCCCCTTTCACTTTCCAATACAAGGACGCCTTTGAAATCAATCTTTTGGTATCTCTTGGTACTACAATTTTATTATTGGGGATTTAAGCTAAGCAAGTAGAAGATTTCAACTCCGATATCAATCCATAACGAATAGAATGGAGTTCAATAAATGGAGTTGTAGGAGGATTAGAGATTGAATTTTTGATTAAAACATATGCCTCTTGAGATAAAAATTTGGTTGTACAACAGAGAGTGATGACTATTGGACCTTTAGGTTTATGGTTTTTGCAACTAGGTCGATTCTTTATTCAACCTACTGGAACTGATAAATAAGGAGTGTCTAGTTTTGTGCCTTATTACGTCGATAGAGTCTATTAGTATATTGGAGGTACCCTAATTTTGTCGTTTGCTCTCAAGTTTTATTGGTCCCCTCTTAACTGCGTTGTTAGTATATAGTTGACTTGAATCAACAACTCTCAATTTCTTTTTTATTAGTGGCATATTGTTCCTAGAAGGAGAGCATTGAACTAGGGATGGCAATTTAGACCTGACCCGTTTTACCCGACCTGTTTGGCCTGTTTTGGGGCAGGTCCGACCCCCAGTATGCGGGGCGGGGCGGGCATGTGTACCTCTCATCGACCTAACCTACCACGACCCGCCCCATTCTTGACCCGTTCTTGCCTACATTACATGTAATCTTAGTCAAATTATTTAGGATTTTCTCTTATTACCTCATATTTTAGCTATAATAAACTTGTAAATAAGTGAAAACCTTAATTTCTTCAATAATTTAACTACATTTCATCATATTATGGTTTCTTTCTTGATCTTATCATGAAAATAACAAATATTTCTAATAGTTTTCACCTAAATAGATACTCATTGGGTCGACCTGCCCTGACCCGCGCCCCGTGATAAATTACCCGACCTGGACCCGACCTGCCACGGGGCGGGTATGGGTATCGAGATACCCGTCCTGGACCTTCCCCATTGACATTCCTACATTGAACCCTTTATGTAGGATTGTGAGGTTTAAGATTGAGTTTCAAACTATCAATGGGCTATGTGGGAATTCCAGTGAGCTTTTGTACTCTATCTTTCTTGACAATCAACTAACCAACATCATTTTAATTGGGGCTTAATTATCATTATAAAAATTAGATCAATGATATATTTTTATATTTAATATTCTTATCCTCCGAAAATTCGACCTATATATTCTTTCTATGTATCATCTCGATCGAATAATTTTCAATAAAATTAAATGGGTTGATAAACTTAAATGTAACATAAAAAATACAAATAATCAAATATGAACATTTCGATCAACGGGCCGGATTATAAGCTAGTATTAACAAAATAGACATGGCTCAATTTGTTCTCTTCCTTCTTCCCAGATGTTGTTTTCTTGATTCAAATTAAAGGGTCGGATTGATTTTTATATGTAGAGTGTGGGAAGTTAGAATGTAGAAAAGAAATAAAAGAATAAGAAAGAAATTTTGATATTAGTAATTTTCAATTCTACGAATAAAACTCCTAAAAAAAAATGGTGGAAGATCATTAATCAAAATCCTTGTTTACAGATCGTTTGCTTTGTGAATTTGAAAAATATAAAGTAAAACTGACCATATTGTCGTCATTGGTTTGAGAAGAGAAAGAAAGTAATAGGGGTAGATTTATCACAAATTATGTACTTTCAAGTCCATGACTAATTCTCATCTAAAAACTGAAATTTCTAAGCACATAGAGTCCACAGACTTAGACCTTCAAAGTCCATGAACCCCATAAATTTGTTGCCCTTAAATATATAAATCAAACAATAAATTTTGAAAAAGTCTGTAAGCAAACAACATTTCGTTTGAGATGGAGCAATTTGGATGAGTATATCTAATGGATCAAACTGATACAATTGTCTCATTTTGAGACAGAGACAATTGTGTCAAATTGACTCATTTGGTCGCGGAAAATTTGAAAGGAGTAATTTGGCCTAAGGAATTTTGAATTGGCTCGTTTTGAGGCAATTACAATTGTCTGGGGTGGACTAGAGGCAAGTAATTTAAATTGATTTATTTTAAATGACTCATTTTGCAATTGATCCATCCAAACAACACCAAGAAGAAGTGCCGGATGAACTAGTGCCGGTGATTATTTCAAGAGTAAGGACTTTGAACGAAGTGGCAGCAGCCTCCTGTCTAAGCGTTGGAGGAACATATGGCGATCGATCGGCGGCGGGGTTTTGGATTTCGACAAGTCCGATGAGCTACGACCGCAGGGGCAAGGGTTGCACATCATCGGAGCCACATTTGAAGAGCAGCGCCGATTCACAATTCGGGTCGACCAAGCCCTGAGTTGTCATGTTCATCAAGACTTGGACGCCCTGAAAATAGGGTTCCACTTGGTTAGAATGGAAAAAAGAAATGTGTAGGTGGATAGAATTCGGGCTGTCCAAGAGAGTGAAAGAACTGTCCCTATTGTCCTACTACACTTTCCATCATCCAGATCGTGTCCATCTTCGTTTCTTCACCCCCTGAATTGCTCGCCAAGCACGACCTCAGCCGCCTCGAGGTTTTGGAGTTCTGTAACCTCTCCGAAATTTCTCATGAAGCGGTCAATCACGTCCTCTCCAACTGTTTTTCTCTGCGACACCTCGCCTTGCGCAGTTGCCATTTCCAGCAACAACCTCCAGTGTTTGGATTTCAGTGAAGCTGCCTACTCGACTGTGAGGATTGAGCTAATCTCTGCCCCTCGTCTTCATACGTTCAAGCTTACAGGATACCATGGTGCGGATTCGTGGGTCGAATATGGGGATGACCTTCCTCGACTTCAAGAGGCTGTGGTTTCTTGTAGAGACTACCTATTTCCATGGCCTGCCCATCACATCCGCAAGTTGGCACCCCATTTACAACGCCTCGGGCTTGAAATCATGAGTAGCGACTTCATTCGTCGTCTTCCTTGTAAGTCCAGCTGGCTGCAGTTCGAAAAGCTTAGAGTGCTGGATTTGGTCATAGATATAGGTGAGGCTCTTCCAAGTTTCTTGGAATGCACTGTCCTGCTAAGGGCAGCACCAATGTTGCGTGAACTATCCGTATGGTTCCAAAATGTATCCGATGATTCAAGAATATGGGAGAGACGAGACTTGGTTGCAGAGTCTTCGACGTGGAAGCATCGCTCTCTGGAGGTGCTTCAGCTGCACGGGGTGCATCCTCATGGAATTGCTGTCGATTTTCGCAATCGCCAACTGGAACTTGCTGCTTACATAATCATGAATGCACCATCATTGAATCAAATCGTGATCAATACTCGTCGTCGAGACCCACTCCATGGTTCTCTTGGCAGAGTCATGATGTCCGATCCAATCGATGCTCGTATGTGTGAAGCCAAAATGGAGTTGGAAACCCAACTTCAAGGCCGCTCTGCTAGCCCCCATATCAACTTCACTTATCAGTGACAACAACTGCAACAATACGAAGAACGACAACCTTTCATCATGGTAAATGACACAAACTTCATGCTCACTTTTATGTTGAAGCTCAGATTTCACGACTCTTGGATGAACTTACTATGCATTGGCTAGAACCCTTCTCTTATTTGATCGTGATGACGCAGCTAATGAAGGCTTGTTGCTGAAGCTGGTGATGGGAATGATGATGATGTTGGTGGCTTCTTTGGCTTGGATTTGATGAACCCGCAATTTTAGAGATTGTTTACTTTTCGTTTCAGCTTTCAATCATAAACTGAGTTGTTTTGTATTTCAATCTTTGAGTAATGTTGCTACTAAAGACTTTTTTTGGTGAAATTGCTACCAAGTCTCTAGTGGTTGAACTTTGATACTTCTGTGTTGAACTTTGATATTCCTATTCTTGATTATGAAAGCACTGTAGTTCAGGACTTGATTACGGCTGACAGTTTGATTTCAAAATTTCGGTTCAAACCGAATCGAACAGATAATGCGCTCGTATTGGTTTCAAACCAAAGCGCTCAAAGGCTGGAAAAGCAACTAACTCCAAATCTCCCAGAATCTCCAGAATAAAGCATCTAACTTCCACAAAATAAAGGCTCTCCAACTAAATTCACAAGAAGTTCCCAGGTAGCAACACTTATTTAATCCAGGGCAAGACTTAACAAGTTTAAACCAAAAAGAAAATTTCAGTTAGTTGGAGACAATGCAAAAGAGCAGGACATTGATGAAGTTACCGTCAACTAACTGGCTCCGCACAAGGAAATCGAACTTTCTGCAAGTCATGATGATGTTTCAGCAGAAGATACATCAGCACCGGGATTTTGAGCTTCCAGTAGCTTAGCAAGGCGCTCAGCATGTTCTCTCTCACACTGACTGATGCCCATTATTATATCAAGCATTGTTCCCGTCGTGCCAAAGAACACCAGTGGGGCTAACGATTTCCGCTTTATCCCCACAGGAATTGCTAGCAGAGCGCCTCCTACTGAAAAGAACCACGTTCCCATTGCACTGCACATATTGAACATTTAGCTCCTTCGTCACAGTTCTATCTTCATATAATAGTGAAACTATGTATAAACTTATGAATGGAATGGTCATAGATGAAGCAGAAAGCACATATAGAAACAGCACTGGTGTGTGCACTCTGTCACATTCACCCATAGAAAGCAATGGAACTATCAGTTCACAGATATAGCCATTGGGGAACTGAGGCTAGTGTCAAATGTGTACAAGAAACCAGAAGTCAGGCATCAGAGCCTGATCCCAGTTCCAAACCCCAGACCTCCCATCCATGCAGGGTGCAGCCGAGCTCATTGGCACAGAATTTAGCATAGGCTGTGACGTGCCAGACTACTCGATCTTATTACCAATCGGTGTGGCAGTTCTTCCTCCTTCCAACCCATAGAAAACTTTACTTTCCACTACTTTTTCCAGAATTTCAGTAAACCCTATTTCTCTCAGCAAATATAGAGCAGTCCTAACCACAGAAAACACCAACAGCGTACAGAAACCATGAACCAGAAGATTGAGGAGTACAAAGCATAATACGTATTCTCTTTCCCGGGCACTAGCAATTAGCAGCTATGACACTAGTTAGTCGGAGTTTCCTATGATTTTCCTTAAAATGTTGTGCACACTGAGAATCAAGAGAAATGGGCAGCAGTGGAGGCAAAAAGGAAACAAAGAATGCGAAAGAGAAACAAACAACGACGGGAGAAAAGGAAACAGAAGCTACTTTGCAACTGAACACTCGTCTAGATGTTTTTCCTGCTGCCCCGCCATTCTTGATACCTTCCCCGTGTTTCTGGAGCAGCTCGCTAGTTGATTTTCAGCAGCCTCTGGACTTATTCCCCAATATTCCCTTCAATTCCTGCTCCCTGAATTTCCCCCAATTTGAACAGAGAAATAACTCATCAGCGAAGAAGATGGATTTTTCAGCAGGCGTAATATGAACTTCAAGGAAGGGAATCGAACTAACTGAAAGGACAAAAAGGAGTCAGTAGCGAAGCAGAATCCAACCATGGTTTTGTTTCCCTCGATAAACGAAGAAATGGAGAGGGTCGACGGGGAAGAAGACGGCCGGCGTACCTGGATCAACGAAAACTAGGGTTCCGAAGCTCAGCGGCGTAGTGGTGAATATCTGCTCTCAGCTTCCCGAGCTCGATCTGCTTTCACCCTTTGATTCGGAAATCCTTCTCCTCGAAACCGATCCTGACTTCACCAGTCGATGGAAGGAAGAAGGAGAGAATCTGTTCATTTACATGATCTAGTGATGACTGATGAGTTAAGTAATTGGGCCCGCGGCCCCGAACAAACTCCGCCCAACGCAGCGCCGTACAAGTCCGAGCCCAAGATGGAAAAGGTCAATGAAACGCAAAAGGAAAATAATATATCAGGGAAGGGAGGGGCGAGACTGAATCATCCGGCGGCAGCAAACCAACCAAACCAATGTCGTCGCCGTCGAGGGAACTTCCGGACGAATTAGTGTTGAAGATTATTTCCCATCTGGGTACGGTGAATGAAATCGTAAGATGCAGCAGCCTGTTGTCTAAACGATGGAGGAACACATGGCGATCGATCGGCGGCGGGGTTCTGGAATTCCACAAGTCCGACGAGTTACGGTGTACGAACTGTAAGGAACAGTACCGCTTCGCAAATCTGATCGACCAAGCCCTGACTTCGCTCGCTGATCGTCAAAACTTGGACGGCTTGAGAATAGGGTTCAACTTGTGTGGGATGACAGAGGAAGCTTGGAGGTGGGTGGAATTCGGGTTAACCAAAAGAGCAAAAGAACTGACGCTGATGTCCTACTGCTACAATTGGGCCACTTTCCCTCTCTTTACCCCTGAGTTCCTGGCCGGACACGACCTCAGCCGCCTCCAAATCTTGGAATTCAAGGGCATTGCCAAGATTGATCCAGCAGCTATCGCCTACATCCTCTCTCGCAACTGTCCGTCACTGAGACGCTTTGCTCTACGCGATTGCAGATTCAGTGGAGGAGAAACAGTGGTTATCAGAGTATGCTCGAGCAACAACCTGGAGATGCTGAGCTTGGAGTTTAAAGGACAGGATTGTAACGTTAGGATTGAGCTCAGCTCTGCTCCGAGTCTTCGTACTTTCAAGTTCCACGGAGCAAGTGCCTCACATGTCGAATTTGGGAACCACCTTCCTCGACTCCGGGAAGCATGGTTTGGTGGGCAATGGATCCTCGATGCCAGCTTCTGCCGCTACCTCCCATTGTCGAGCTTTCAGTTCCACATGTTCGCACCGCGACTGGACCGCCTTGGGCTCGAACTCGGGATTAATAACCTTCGCCTCCCTCCGCCAGAGTGGTTGTTGTTTGAAAAGCTCAGGGTGCTGGATCTGTTCATACATATAGATCGTTGCGCTCTGGAGAATTTGTTTGCTTCCACCGACCTGCTGATGGCAGCTCCGGTGTTGCACCAACTGTCAATACATTTCATCAATGGTTTCGATTCAGTACAATGGGAGAGCGAAAACTCGAGTGCGCCAGAGTCGTCGACATGGAAGCACCACTCTCTGGAGGTGCTTCAGCTGCATGGGGTGCACCGGCTCTGTGCATCTTATGTTACTCCTTGCAGAATCCAACTTGAACTTGCTGCCTACATCATCACGAACACGCCTTCTTTGAACCAAGTACTTATCGACACCCGCGACCAATGCTTAATTAGTTCTTCCGTAGCTGAATACAGAGATCTTGATCAGGTTGAAGGAGATATCTGTGAAGCCAAGATGGAAATGGAAACCCAGCTTCAAGGCCGCTCTGCTAGCTCCAAGATTCACTTCACTTATCGATAATAACAGTTGTACAAATATGAAAGAAGCTGATTTTTCATCATGCAAATGACACAATAATTTTGATCACTTTATTTGCTCTTCCTTCTTACCATGGTTTTTTTTTTTTTTTCTTTCGCTGGATGCTGGTGTTAATATTTACAGACGTCCAGATGAACTTGTTTTAAGAAGTAGGGTCCTTTCCTTCGTCAAGTTTATATCACCCTTGGTTGAAAAGACAAAAATGGCTTCTCTGAAATAACTTGGAATGGATAAAAAGACAAAATGGAGCATTATTATTCGACCTGTAATGGATGTCAATCCTAAAAATGCAAACATCTGATGTGAAGTCATCTCATCTCCTCTCCAAGTTACCTCAGATATCGCATGTATCCAAAAGCGTGCAAAATTTGTTTTCAGAGGCAACTCCACAAGTTTAATCAGACTAGATGAGCATGCTGGGGGATTAACAGCTCATCATAATCATCGACAATCACCTGAATCGAGAACAGCACATTGTGTCATTGATTTGAAGAAGATAAGATAAGCTTCGTAACTAAGATGGCGGGAGAAGGAATGAAATGGTGATGATGGTTACCTTGAACTTTTGGCCTCGGTAAGCGTATTCAACAAGCAACTGCTTTGGTTCTCCAGGAGAAGGATCACAAAATCCCATTATCCCTGACTTCTTCACGCCCTTGTGAAGCTACATTGTACGAGTTCAAAAAACCATAAATTTTCAGAAACAGCTGTGCATAAACTGGGTTTTTGGGTTGAAAAATGCAGTTATAAGACTGTACCTTCAGCTGCCCGGAATCATTGACCAAGAAATTAAGAGGAACTGTGACATCGATGAATTCTTCTGATGTTGTGTCGCCATTTGGTATTGTCCTGTCTTGTTTTTGCAATGCTTCCAGACTTCCGTACACTGCTCTATCGATGAGCAGCCCGTTTGCTTCTATTTGCTTGGTCTTCTTCCTGTCTGCCACAATTCGTAATAATTGCTGAGATTTCTCTGCGGATATTCTTGCCTCCCGTACCTATAACAAGGAACAATGAATGTATATTTCTTTTAATTTTGGAAAAATGTTAAACTACCAAGTTGTAGACTTGTAGTAACAAGGATATATAGTTTACTAACCTGTGCCGAAGTTTTTTGTTTATCTTCTAAAGCTTTACCCTTTTCCCTCCAAAGTAAATAAGGCTTAGCTACAAATTTCTGCATTGAGAAGCATAAACATTATGCAAAATTCACCACACGGCATCATTGGCAATGGACCAGTTCATTGAAATTATTGAGGGTAAGATAGTAAAACTTGACGCTATGTGAGATCACACCTCAAGCAGTAAGTAGAGAGATGTTGGAACTACAAATGCTCCGATTGCAAACGCTGGATCGAAATAGGTGGAAAGCAATACCTGACATAAAGAGGTAACATCGGCATTGGAACAAGTGAAATATAAGAGTACATGCTCAAATGATCCTGAAAATGTAAAATTTCACTTACTGGAATAACTAACTTTTGAGACCCACGGCGCATTTCAAATCTCCAAGAGATGCCCTGAGAGAAGTAAAATATAGAACATCTTCAAATACGGTGGGAAACAAACAATTTGCCAAAATAAAAAGGCTACGTAAAATAGCTCATTGCATTTGCGTCATCATGGTTAATATGGTTAGTGCCCTCTATACATTTTTCATGTGCGAAGAAGAGTAAATGTAAATTCTTAGTCCTGTGTTTTGGTACCTGAATTCCAATCACGTACATCATCCGGACAGTAGTTAAATTGGGTATCTTCCTCCCACCACCAACTTCAACCTCAAGAGTAGTACTGCAATCATAATAAAGAGGTTTTTTCTAATCAACAAGATAGTGTATTCATTCTGTTGCCTTTCGAATGATTCAAAGTACCCTTAATATAGAGACCATGAAAACATGACTCATGAACAGAAATCATTTCCATTGAAAACACAATTTCCAGGAAGCTGTAAAATCATCATCCAACCCCCCCCCCCCCACCCCCCCCCCCCCCCCCCCCCCCCCCCCCTCTTTTATTCTCTCTTTTGCACATTTTGAACTCTGAGAAGCTAAATTGAAAGATACCAATGACACTAACTGTTTATCAATTACAGCTGAAGGCAAACTAGGAGCCATTTTTACAATCATTCACACAAGCGAGAAGCAAGAATTCAATCAGTTATGACTGCAAAACTCACAAGTGAAATTCATTAAGAGCAACAACCTGTTGTACTTTCCAGCAATACGGGCATGAGATTCTGAGGAAAAGCGATGAACATAATGAGCAGATGCCCCCAAATAACGCGTACCAACCTGCAGCCGTTTCAGACCAATAAGAAAAGCAAAAGTGAAGAATTAGATACAAAATAGTATCGTCTTGTAGGTTACGAAGCAGAAGAAAAAAGGATCAGAGAACAGATAGAATGAAGAACCAAATTTAAGCCAGTAGTCAAGTCATGCTCTGAAAACAGTTTTCATGTTTTTCATCCCTAACAGTTTTCGCCACACTTCTAACAGCAGTTAACTTATTTCCCCAATAAAGAAAAAATAGCAGTACCTTCAACTCTCCACTTGCAGACATTTTATCATCCTTCTTTTGCCACCCGACAGCAACGGATGACTGATCACCCAGCACAAATTGTATCTGCCAAAACAAATTTAAAAGCAAAACTAAGAAAAAAAATACACCGACAGAGGAGAACTTGTGATAATAGTACTTGTTTCATGAAGTCTTCGGTTTAGATGTAGTTTTTTTATCTTAGCCTACCAAGTGCTCTGCACTTCAATTAAATTGACATCTGGAAACTTAGGACCACAAAATATGCATAAAAATTTTGATAAAAACTTAGTTCAATGCAGTTATAGGTGTAACAGATAGTTCAATGCAATTCTGGCTATTAACAATGACTAGGCAAATGGACAAAGAGGATTACATTCCCATTTGCTGTCGAAGACAGCTGGTGAGTCCAGGTATTAGAGAGATTGATTGAACCATCCTGCAAAGACTTTCGGATGCCAATTGTAGCGGTTGAATGTGAAGATACATAGCTGGCCAAAAATAATAGTACGTGATTGAACAACTTATGTGAAACAAGTTATTACACAATAGTCTTCATGAAGAGTTCCAAGCAAATGTCCATACCGAGTTGTTTGTACACCAATAAGCGATTGTAAGCCAACTTGAGCAAGAAATTCCATCGACTGAACAGAAGAAAGCTGATGTCGAAGTACAGTTGAAGCAGCAGTACCAGCACCATGGTTATTAACTTCCAAATTTCCACCCATTGCAAAATTCGTATGCTTTGACAATGTAGTATTAACTTGACTAGACATAGCCATTCTGAAAAAAATATATACAAGATCTTAGAACAAGTCCCTTTGATAAGCAACTTAATGAGCATAGTCAGATTTCAGAATAAAATTTCAAGCTTGATACTGAAAAAACCAATGGGGAGAGGTGATCTACCCAGCCATGATGCCATCGCCATCCAGAACCTGGGGCAGGGACAGATTAGTCACAACTATTCCAGAAGGTATGAACTGTGCTGCCATCTTTTCTTCTTCCTTCTTCTGCCGCAATCTCTCGAGCTCTTCCTTTAACTCTTCAACTCTATTGGTCCTTGTTGCAAGCTCCAACCCGGCACTCAAACCATCCAAACCATATATATCATATATCTGCCTTTTAGTCTCATCTGATAGCACTTCATACGCTTGACATATCCTTTGAAAGTTCTCAGTTGCTGTCTCCTTCATCTGGAAAAAAGACAAAGTACCAGTACAGAAATAGACTCCCTTAGCAAATCCCTTCTCAGTACACCAAGGCATTTCCAGCAGTACAAAATGTTACCCAAAAGGCAGGTCCAATAATTCAACAGAAGCAGGGGGAAAAGAGTGACACTTTCCAGGTTCTAACTCAGAAAGAAACCAACCCAAAAGCTTGAAACCATACTAATTAACCGCGGAATTATAATCATTCAACTATCTTGTCGAATTTGAAACAGCAGGAGGAACAAATTGTATTAACTTACATGAACGTCTTGGTACTTGTCGGGGTGATAAACCTGAGCCCAGTTGCGATAAGCCCTTTTGATTTCTTCGGTGGTGGATTCAGGGGAGACTTGGAGCACGGCGTAGAGCTCCCTATTGGGAGCTCCTCCATCTTCCTCGGCATTCATCTGTTGGATCCCCCAATTGGAAAACCCGCCTGTTGGATCCCCCAATTGGAAAACCCGCACAAGCCCCAAGTTGAATTTATTTTCCCGCAGCCAACTATCTAGTTGCCCAGAGTTTCAGAATGTGGAGGTTGGGGGAAATTCTGGGGTTTAAGGGTTTTGGGGAGGTTTTAAGGGGAGAGGGACAACGTGGGGCCGGAATTCGGATCCGTCGGCAGTGGAGCATTTGCTGCAGATGATACTGGAACTGGCTTGCCGCCTACGGCTTTCGGCTGACGGCGGTCGATTCCCACATTGCTGCGGCGTTTGCGGTGTTTTCATGAGTTTGTGGTTTTAACTTTTATGGGCCTTATTTTAGGCTGTGGGGTTTGTTTGGGCTTTTTTTTTCGAGTGTATGGGCTGGGTATCTGTAAGCCGGGGCCTCAGTGTCAGATGTCCAGACAAGTGATAACCAGTCATCACCAAAGTTGAATTTTTTGTTATTTTTTGTTAAGAAAATCAAAGTTGAAGATTCAAAGGAAGTTTTTGTAATACCTTAGGTGAAGACTGAAGATCATGTCTACAAGGCACGAGAGAAATAAGAAATTAATTATAATTAATAAGACGTGTAGAACTTCAAAGTTAAATATGCTTACTGTGGAGTACTACAATGATGGGTGAGCTTATGGGAACTGGGAAGTCACATTTATATGCACCACAATACAAAATCTGTGAGATTTTAGGCTCAGAGCGGACACTATTTTGTCAGGAAAAAATTCAGGATGTTACAAGTAATATCAGAGTCTTCCTATATCCCTCTTGAACGATGTTAGGGAAAACGAAAATGTTCAGTAGCAAAGCGAGAGACCGATTGTGTGCATATAGCTCTTTGACCCATGAAACCATCTTCTTCATCTCCCCCTTCTTTCTTACATTTTTTTTTTATTTTGGACCATGTTGACTTTTTGAGAGATTGAAAATTAGGTACGTATTTGGAAGGTTTCATCTCATACTGAAAAATATATTATTAGCAATAATGATATCAAATTTTGACGGAGCTCTGCTCTATGTAGCCTAAGTCTCTAAGAGCCACTACTGCCACCCCTTCAATATTTGGTTAAAGATTACAATCGTGTATGTATATGTTGAGAAAACACTAACTAGTGTCACCACAATTGACTATTTGTTTATACTTATAAAGGATAGGTATATTTTTTTATTTTATTTTGATAAGGGTGATATAGGTTTATTTTTTGTGATTAGGTATTACACTACTACTTAAGGGATCGAACCTTGGACCTCTAGGTTCAATGTTAGTAGTATTACCATTAGACCAAACCCTTGTTCGTTATGCATATTTTTTATGTTCACCCTTTCGTTATTTTAAATCATCACTTCGCTATCACGATAGAGAACGAATTAGGGACAATGAGCAAAAAAAAATTACGAACAGGAGATATTAGCGGGTACGATTGAAATGACCAATGCAATGAGCAAAAAAAAATTACGAACAGGAGATATTAGCGGGTACGATTGAAATGACCAATGCAATGATGCTGTTATTCTAAAATTAAATACTTTTTTTAAAGTAAATACATCAAAAACCATAATTATTTTTTTGTTGTTGTTGAATTTTTTTAGTGATTTGTTTTGGTTTGAGCGGGTCCTCCACTCCAATTCCTAGCTACTCGATCGGTTATTGTACTCGACCTTCACACAACGCGGCTAAGCTATGCATGAATTATGAATATGAAAATTATGAATGAACTCCGTTGCGTGCGATCATATATTCTCAAATCCCCCTGCCACCCAATTTTTTATTAAGTTGATAATAATAATTTCCTGGGCTGTGACTCATTAGGGAGTGGTTTGTCTGCTTAATCATTGTTTAACTCGGACGAGACTTAGTCTCTTTCATCTCCTCCAATATTAATTTAATTTCACCTAAACGTAATCAAGCCATTGCCCACCTTAAAAAAGTGACATCTAGCTAATGTTCTGAGACGTGGTCAAGTATATATATATGGGTCAAATTTGTGTATACTTGAAGTATACGTATAGTTCGGATACTTATATCTGTTGAGAAATTTCTATCTAGATTAAGAATTAAATTGGATTTGAAGAATACTATTATACTTTAAACTTAAACTCGAAAATCAATTTAATAAAATATAATAATTGATGATTTTGATATGCCAAAGTACAACGAATTACATCCAATGGTCAGTTCACTTGGAGTATATGATACTTACTAATACTTAAATGAGAAATGTCTATTGATTGTCTGAATGCTGATAGAGTATGAAGATTGTGAAGACAAAACATAAGATTAATTGGTGTACGTTTCGCAATAGTCTATATTTTCAGAGGCAGCATTGTTAATCTTTTAGTACTTAGTTACTTATTAAGTTGCTCGCAAAAAAATACTTGTTAGGGCTAAGATATAATTAGATGACACAAAAAAATCATGCAAAAAATAATTTGATCTCAACAACTCAAATTTTTATGACAAATTTATGTATAAATCTGCACCACTTTTTATGTCTATTAGAGAATGTCGAAGAGCAGTCTTCTACGAGGGACTTGGCTAGATGAATTCCTAATTACCTTCTATGTTCTTTAATTGATACGTTTAAATTATCATTATTCCCTTAAGGAATACTTTTTTTAGATAATGACTCTTAATGAAAACTTAGAAAGCTAATATCCGGATTCTTGTTTTATAGCCTGAAAGTAAGCAATACAAACAAATAAATATAATACATCAGCCATGCACGAAGCCAATTGTCAACAAAATAACAAACAAGTAGTATAATGCTAATTTATAAGGATCCAGAAATACGGATTTAAAAAGGAAGAAAAGTATTCTATTTCTGATTGGGTTTTAATAATTAGTACATGGTTATAAATTATTATAGTTACTTTGGATGTCTTGACAAAGAGGAAAAGGACATTTCATGGTGTGCTAATTAATTAGCCATGGCACATTCCATGATTGAAGTGTACCGTGTTGTTAATTAGGTACATTTTTTTGTAGATAAGTCATGCTCCGGCAACTTGTATAATTTCTGTTTTATATATAGTTTTGGGTGATTAGCTAAACAATGTAATCCCGATTAGTTGGTTATTAACTACTCTAGCCGGCCGGCAAAGGGAATGCCGCATTAATCCTAAAACAAGTCAATCATCCCATTAAGTCAGCTTATGAACTTAAGGATGAGCAGCCCCACGGAATCTTTTGAAGGAATGATCCACAAAACACTATGCAATATTCATTTGTAGCAAAAATATTTACCCTGTGCAGTCGTCGTATTTGTAAAATTCACTCAACTTAGTCATGTATAATCTCGTAATTTAACTGTGTTCTGCCCCATCGAGATGGAATTTTGAATACTCAAAACCCATCGTAGCCGATATGGTTAGCGGGGTGAAAATCCGTCCCTTGACCCAAGCTAAATATCTAGACCATGTCAATAAGACTTTCTTTCTTCTTCCTCGGTTGAAGAAAAACCGATCGATTTTACCATTTCTGTAGTTGAAAATTCGAATTATTGAGCTCGTATGATTTATTATATGACATTTGAGCTGATCATGATATAGCTAATATAAAAGAACGTGTAAAAAATGTATAAAATTCACACAAGATATCATTTTGTAAGAACTCAAATTATTAAAATTAATTAGTTTATGACATTAACTACAGACTTTTTTTCTTCCATTTTAGTTGCCGACAAACTACTTTATGATGAAAAAAAGGATACTTTTTGTAAAGCTAAATTTTTTGTATTTATGGATAGAGCATGACGAGGATATAAAACCAAAATAGTGGGCTGGGAAAGGGCTTTATCCTCGACATATAGCAAACTATCGTCATTTTCCTCTGGTATCTCTGCGTGTCTTTCTAATAATAAACTGCTAATTAAAAATTAAAACGGCCTCTTGGCTGTGTCTCGGAAGCGGGAAAATTAAAACTGAGCAAATTAATTAAAAATTGCCATCAGATTCCTGTAAATTAATTCATCTGCTTTCATCTTTTACAAGAAAGAATCGGTAGTTCGGTACTTCGGTAGCCAGCAAGCGATTAAGTCGTTTCCCTTTTGGCCTTTTCTACGTTCGGGCGTCGCTTGGGACGTTTCTGATTTGGTGGGAACGAAACGACGAACGTCAGGTCGCCACCCTTTGCGTATTTACATGCACGTCTCACGGACGGTAGGGAGTTGGTCCATTAAACCCTACTTATAACGGAAGTTCAACCACAAAATATTAGTATTGGAGGTTAAACAGATAGTTAGTATTTAACGTTACTAAATGTTGAACTACGATTAAATCACAATTTTGGCGCAAAAAATATACTGTTGAGTCCGGCACGAGCTTCGATATGGTTTCATGGACCACTAGAGACAAAACCATTGGTGGAGGGAGGTGGAAGAGAGTGGGGTCCTAGGACCCCACTTGGATAGATTAAAATCGTTAAATGTATGTACATACTTGTTTAATTTGGGTATATTTAGAATTCAATACCTCATTCATATGGAATTTAATTGTCCTAGTATTATGAAACACACAAATAAATTAGATTATATTGGTCTTATATCATTGAAAACCCCCAATTTTATAGTCCTTATTCAAAAAATTTCTAATTCTACTAAATATGTGTACAAAAACCTCAAGCAAATATCTAAAAAGCTCTTAGTTCAACAAATTTTTCCTATCAATATACAATTTCTTTGTCATCAAATGTTTTTTTATAAAATAGTATTTTATAAAATGTTTGTGTTTATTAGATTTTGATCGGGAACTATTTATTTTAGCTAGTTATTGAAATGTCACTTTTCAATTATGAGTTACACAAAATGTAAGGTACAAATCTAATAATTAATGGTTTGATGAATGACTACTTGACTGGATTTTTTTAAGAAAATTTACTTAATAATTGAATACAATATTCTAAGATTTTTTCGTTAATTAGACCCCACTAAACTCAAATCCTAGCTAGGCCATTGAAAAAAACCAACACCCTTTACGGCTGAGTTTTGAAGTGGTTGATTCGTTATCGGGCCCTATACTGGGTGATTATTTATATAACTGGAACTTTTCGACTGTTAGTAATTTATCTTTCTTTTTTTCATCGAAGGCCCTGTAACGTTGAGCATAAAACATATATAATATAATATAATATAATATAATTAATGAATGAGCGCACTCATGGAAATAAAATCCATACTGAAAGTAGTCATACAATTGAAGACAAAATGAGGAGTTGAAATGTGACTAATAACCCTAAAATATATGAGATCAATTAATTTCTTTTATTGAGTTTATTTAATTTGATAAAGCTTAGTTAACAATCACGGACCGGGGAATCCAAATTTCAGTCTCATTTTAATTTTATTGATCTAAATCAGTGGGGAGGAGTGGTAGTTGATTATTTTTATTTGAGATCAAGAAAAAAGAGGCCAGATTTGAAGTTGGAGCTGATATTTATGGGTACAATTAGGTAGATTAGTCAATATAGATATAGTAATGTTGGGTGTTAATCAAAGTTAAATGGTAATCATAGAAATGCTGAACGCGTCATGCCCTCTGTCCATCCACCACATATATATGCAAAGTGGCATTATGCCCTCATCGTTCTCTCGTCAACTCAACCTTGTCCCTTCCATACCTGTATAGCCAAAATTACTAAATTAGAAGAAATAAAAAGTAGTATAGTATCAATATTCCATAGTATTATTCTAAAAAAAGCTAATACTACCAGGAAACCCGAACTATCATCAATGTGTCATTTGTGTCATAAAGTATTCGATATGACATTCGTGTTCCAACGAATTATAGTTGTGTGTCATTTATGTCCTGACGATTTTGTTGACTGTTATAGATAACGGTTGACCAAACGGTACAGATTTGCTGACGTGGCAAAAAAGCTTGTTGCCATGTAGATGCCCCATCATTAAATATTATTTTTTGTTCAAAATTTAATTATTTTAAAAAATAACAAAAGCACAAAAAAAAGTAAAAGAAACCCTAAAATTATTGGTTTCTCCGCCTTTGTAAGCCGCCACCAGTGAAGACGACGGTGGGTGCAATGGATCCCGTTGGTGGTGGAGAAACCAATTGGGCGAAGAGAGGGAGAGCGACGGCGGAATCGGGAATCACATTGTTGGGTTCTCCACGACGGCAGCGTCTGGGGACATGAGAGGAGTGGAGAATCGTGTTGCGTCTGGGGACAGGGGAGGAGTGGAAAATCGCGTTGTTGGGTTCTCCACGACGACAGAGCCTGGGGACAGGAGAGGAATGGATAAATATCACACATCAGGCGAGCGGGGCTTGTTCTTTCTGGAGGAAGATTCATCTTTGACAAACATCCCACCTCAACTCCCTCAAAGATTCCACCCAGCTGGTTAACCCCCTCAATCTCTCTCTTGATAAAGTTCTTCTATCCTCTTCTCTAAGTTGACCTCCGAAATTGGATTCTCCGTTCGTGTTTGTCTCTCTCTGATGTGTGATATTTCTAGTTAGAATAGAGTTACATAATGGTTAGTAATAGATATGGAGTTTTGAATATTATGAAAAATTCAAAACTCAATGAGCAAACGAAATTAAAATAGCAGGGTTCATATGGCCTAAGTTAAGGTCCTTAAACCCATTTTCTTAAGGAGGATATTAAAGTATTGTGATTGCCTCCTGCAAATTTAGGTAGTTAGGGAGGAGTTATTAGTTAATTAGTTGTTAAGGATATTTAGGGAATTATAAATAATTTAGAGCACAAATATTTAACCATAAACCCACATTCTCCCTTTTTCTCCCTCCCAACCGAACTGTTTCTTTGTCTCTTTGTCCATCTGTGTTCTCAGGTCGTCCCTTTGGTTGCGTTCTCTGGCGTCCCTGTTGTTCCCGACAGCGGTCTTCGTCGTCAGTTTCGGTTTTTGATTCTCCCAAAACATAAACCCAGCTTCCGTTTCCGCCGTCGGACAAGTCCATCGCTCACATAGGTCCGTCGTTACCCCCTTTCGCCCGTCACTCCCGACTTCGCTTCTGGTAGTTCTCTCGCCCGTTTTTGTTTTTAATGTTCAGGATTTTTGTTCATTGCATGGGTTTGGGGTTTCTCTGCATGGGTTTTAGGATTTTCTCGTTATTTGTTAATTGTTTTGTTGTTATTAAGGTTACTGGATTCGTTTTTAATTATGTTGTTTTGCGTTATTAACTTTTTTATGGTCGATTGTTTGCAACAATAACGAAGGTGATTAGTAATTTTTTGAAAGTGTACTATTAATCAGTCTGCGGTCATTATCAACGTTTCTTTGCCCATTATTATTATTTTCAAGGCCGTTATCAACTCTTTGTAACGTGTGTTGGTACAACTCATTGGTATGCTTAACGTTACATACCAAATGCCATTATCAATGTTTTTTTACCAATGCTCAATCAGTAACATTTTATTATAGGTTATTGTTTTTTTTATTAGTTATTAACCTTTTGGTATAAACGTTTCCGCTATCAACACCATTAATATCAATTAATTATTAAAATTTATGTCATTAATTCGTAATTTTCATTTGTTATCTTATCAATGTTTTTAATAACCATTATTAACATTTTGCTCAATCATTCACATAGCAGGGTTTTCCCTCTTCGTATCGACGACTACTTTGTTGTCTACTAAGGTGATTTAAAGAACAAGTCATTCCAGTTCATGAATAGCTTGTCTCAAGAGTGTGATGGAACAACGTACAAGGAGTATGGAGAGAAACTAGTTAAGTACATCGTTGCTTTTTGTGGCTGGATAGTGAATCGTAGCTACAATTTTGAGGAGTTCACATGGGTGGAAGACCTAGAGTTGGAACCTTTGCTTTAGATTCAGAATTGACGACTATCTCCATTTATTTTGATCGGATTAAGAATTGTCTTTTAATCCCTTTTTTAGTAAGACCTAGAGTAGGAAGAACCGTTGACAGAGGACGAGGAAGCGCTTGACAGCGATTGCGGCATCGGCCTACGTTGGGACAGAACATATTGATTTTCACCACCGGAGTCTGATCTGGATGATGGGGAAGATCTAGGGTTGGGAGGCAGAATCGTTTCTTAAAAAGGGAAAGATGACGCTGATTTGGGGATGTGGGATTTAATTCCCCTTTTTTATTCTTTAATAATGCCATTAATGTAATAAAATTCCAATACTGCCCTTTTAGGTAGGGGTGTTCAAACGGATTCGTTACCATGATAACCATATTAACTGGTAGCATTTGGTTAATTTGGATAATTGGTTTGATTAGGTTAAACAATTTAGCTTATTTGGTTTAGGTGGTTTGGTTTGGTTTCAACACTGCTAACCAATGTAACCAATCAACCGATTAATGATACACCTAATATATAACATTATCTATACTTTCATGCAACCAAGCAAATCAAACTTTCGTGATTCCCTATTTTATTTCCATGTGCACAACAAACCAAAACATTATGGGTCAAAAATTAAATGAGCCGGCCTATTTACTAGACCAGAACATTTTGGACAGCTACTAGACCTTAGGATTACGTACAATACCATGAAAGCCACCTCAAACTATGTATAGTTTAAGTGTTATGTAGGAGAGCTTTAACTTCCTCATGAGTGGTATTGATATGTATTTATGTTAAGTGTTTGTTGTAAGCTAACTATATTAGGTGCAGAGAGGGACGGGATACGGTGACAACCAAGGGTACTTTGGGTATGAAAAAAATGAATTTATTAATTAATTATTTTGTATTAATTACATTTTGAAAATTAAATACATGCCTTTTTAAAAAAAATTAAACCGTACAATTAATACACTTGTATCTTTCTCTATCTCTCTCTTTTTTTTTCCAGCAGCCTCTCCGCTCTGACCGCCAAACTTTCTCCGACAGGCAGACTTTTTCCGGTGAAATCCTTCGATCAGACTCACTCCGGCTACCTACAAAAAAGTACCACTTCGTCAGTGCGCTAGTGGTACGCTACCACTGGTATTGGTACGATACCACTACTCACTGGTAGCGTTATCAGCAGTAGTGGTACGCTACCAGCACTAGTGGTACGCTACCAGGGCTAGGGTACGATACCATTACCACTTGTAGCGGTACCATTAGCAGTACCTGTACCACTGGTAGCGACACCATTAGCAGTACCAGTACCACTGGTAGCGGTACCAGTGCCATTGATAGCGGTACAATTGCCACTGGTAGCGTACCACTAGAGACTAGCGCAAAAAAATCAGATCTAAAATATGAAAAATCATAGATCTAGAAAAGAAAAATCAGGGATGAGGAGAGGGGGAGGCATGGGAGAGGCTGTGACCTCGTAGAGACAGTGGTGGTGGGAGGTAGAGGGCGGCAGGAGGGTTGCGACGGGGAGAGGGTGATGGCGCAGCAGTGGTGGGAGGAGGCCGCGATGGCTGCGGTGGTGGGAAGAGGAGGGTTGCGGCAATGTTGAGAGGCAGAGGGCGCGACGGATCGGCAGGAGGGTTGCGACGGCGGTGGTGGCAACCAATAGAGAGAGAGAGGGAAGAGATGGGAGGAAGAAGAAGAAGAATAGGAAGAAGAAAGATGTTGTGAGAGAGAGAGAGAGAGAGAGAGAGAGAGAGAATGTAGGGTTTTAGGTATTAATAGGGGTGATAATATAGTGTGGTCAATTATTTTCGTCCAGAAATACCCTTAATTCAATCTGTACCATTGATTTTAAAAAATAGGCAAGAGAGAGAATGGATCCTATGGTTATAAAATGGGTTGTCAATCTCACAACCCCCTAATGGGGTTGTCACGGTATCGCATCCCGTGCAGAGATGATGAATGATGTATTAACTCGAATGATGATGATAATCATGGATGGTTAGTCTTATTATTATTGCTTATATATAACGATAGTTTATGATAGTAATAACATATGCTTGTGTTTTATTCATTAACAAGATAATTATTTTCATGTAATGTTATGTTATTTGGTTAATCCGATTATCCGATTAACCAAACTAATTAAACTTTGGTTTGGTTAAGACATTTTATTCCATGGTTAATGAAATTTAGGCTTAATTGGTTTAGTTATTACCACGACAATCATTTGAACACCCCTACTTTTAGGTAGTTAGTCAATGATTACCTCCCTCTTTCTCTCTCCTTCTTCTATTGGCTGACAAGGGTTTAAAATCCTCCTTAAGAAATAAGGCTTAAGGACCAGATCAAACCGGGTTCATATGAACGTGATAGAGTTACCTCGACTATGTTATAAGAATAGAGTTTGTAATGTGACTTGAGTCCACTTGAAATAGCGACTCCTTAATTTTAGACATCCAAATTGCCAGATAAATAACTGATAGTATGATCAATGATTTAGTCGTGAAATAACTAGTGTATCTCAAATAGACATATTTCTAACATTGACCAACAAGAATTTTGATATTTAGCCAACAAGCCTATAAATGATTGCTTATTAATATTGTGAGATCATTCATCTTATAATCCACAACTACAAATGTTAATACGCGTGAAGGCGTTATTTGTTTAATCACTCGCCGATGGTAAGACAGCTTAGTTGGTAAAAGGGTTGGATTTCGAGTTTGGGATGTGACAAGGTCCCAGGTTCGAATCCCAGTACCACTTTCTTGGTGTTCCCCAAGGCACCCTTGGTACAGGAGACGAACCGGTGCTAATGCTATATCGGGTAAGCCCATTTGGCATTTAACCGAGTTGGGTCACCAATCTCCCTAAATTGTCCGGAACCAACGGTATGGACATTTTCATAGATAGGATAAAGAGAACAAGAAAAAAAATAAAAGAAAGGAGCCCTCCATGATCTGTCCCTCTGTCTCTTTGTCTGACTCAATCCGCCAGTTTCGAGTTTCGACCCTATCGCAAGAAAGGGAAGGGAAGGGACGCAGCAGCAGCAGTCCCACTCCTAAAGCAAACAATCAAACAGGCTTCTCTCCCCCGCCTTTCGCTTTCCCCTTCCTTTCACAAATCAATAAAACCCCCACCAGTCCACAACGCCCTTCCCATTTCTCTCCAAACACCCTTCCCTCTCCTCTCTTGCCCCATCCTCGAATCCCTCTGCCGTCTTTCATTTACTTGGGTTTATCCACCCCTCTCAACCTACACAAATCCTCTATTAGCCCAGCCTCCCATCCCATTCCTCTCAAAAACCCATTCATCCCTCGATTAAATAAGACCCAAGATCCCCTGCCGCCTTTTCCCAGTTAAAACAGAGAAGGGTCGTCCTGGTCGCCATCGTCATCGTGAAAGGCTCGGTCCAAGCTGCCGGGAATGGCAGCTGGGTGGACTTTTTTGGTGCTTCGTTTGTTGCCAGTTCTCGTGCTGTTGTTTGGATCGGGATTCCATGAAACGGTGGCGTTTCGAGGGGTAGTAGCCAGGACGACGCAGGGGCCGGGGGAGAAGCAGCAGCAAGTGGACCTACTGCAGAAATGGCCCAACCACAGGAACGCATACGCGACGATGATGTACATGGGGACTCCCAGAGACTACGAGTTCTACGTCGCGACTCGAGTTCTCCTCAGATCCCTCGCCGCTCTCCGGGTTGAAGCCGATCTCGTCGTCATTGCCTCCCTCGACGTCCCTCTCCGCTGGGTCCGCGCCATGTAAGTCCTTCTCTTGCTCCCTCTTTCGTCCCCTTCCCTCGTCTTGTCCTCTGATTATTTTCCTGATCGCCGGCGACGACGGCAGAAGTTTTGCCTAAACGGACGAATAGCATTTGATTAGAGAGGTGCGGTGGAAGTGTTCTGAGTCAGGAACGCCCACCATGTGTTTGTTTAATTTCCTGAATGAAGCTTTTACTGCCCCAAAAGTTACTTTCCCCTTTTCATTTTTACGACTGGGGCAAGGGAAAGATATTTTTGTAGCACTGTAGACTTTTTAAAAACTTCATTAGACAGACTTCCCTGACCGTTTGGGATTTCAAAAGATATCTAGCGGGGTTTTATGATTAATTACTGTGTTAACATCTTTTTTTTTTTTGTATTGCTGGGAGGCCGAGGCCTAGAAAAGAGGACACTGTGTTAACATCTTGGACCCCTATTAAAATACAAGTAATTAATGGAAGTTAAGGATTAAGCTACATAGCTTTCTAATCTTGACCCTGTCCGTTTAGGTTACTAACTTACTATTTAGTTTTGTTGATTCTGATATGGTAGATGGAAATAGGTTTATGGTGAATCCGGGATTTTGATTATGCTTAAGGTATTAAGGCATAATTTTGGATTACGGAAGGGGAATATGCTTGCTTGGGTCTAATTTTTTAAGGACATATATTTAATAAAAAGAAAAGTGCCCTTAATTACAAGGGCATGTGATGTGAGAGGGCCGGCCAACCGGCTTCTCCCATCTGTGGAAGAGCGTTTCTTTCTGTATGGTTGAATCCACGTGGCAGGTCTTGACTTGATGGACGGTGAATTCATCTTTTGAGGACTTTCTATTCTATAACCATTTGTATTTGTTTTATTTTATTCTATCCCCCGGCTTAAAATTTTAAATTTCCCGCTGGTCAGCATCGTTTTGGGCAGGGAAAGGGCCATTGCCGCATTTTCTTTGGCATTCCATTTTCCACACAATTTTGAAACCGGCTTTACTTGTTCAAGTGCCTTGATCCTCCTATGGGAGTCTGGGACTAATTCAAGATTTGAACTCAAATTCTACATACTAAAACATTTTACTATGTATTTTTCCAAGATATGCCAAGACCCAAGAAGGCGTAAACATTTTACTATGTTCAATGAACAAGCCTTATTAGGAAAAAAATGGTTTTAATTTCGAAAAAATATTTTGTTTTGAATACATTGTTCATTTTGTCGTTTGGTAAGCATGTAATCTACCCACAGATTTCAAGCTTACATGATATTTGTGATTCCACTGTTTTTCTTGTTTCATTTTTGGACAAATATCATGATATTGGTGCACCATGTAATTCTAGAATTCATGTGACCATGATATCTCGAATTATGTGGGTTCTACCATGAAGTCATGCAAGCGAAATAATGCATTCTAATATTACACAAGTTCTCATAATTCTTCAAATACATGAATTCTACATTACGTGCTTATCAAACTATAAGTAGGCTGTGAGGAATTAATAAGAAACAATTTTATGTGCGCCCTGGGCGACGTCCTCTGTTTTGGATATTGTCGGATACTCGGATGGATTGATGTTTGTAAATAAACTTCTTCTCAATTTCTTGGGAACAATATTTTCTTTCTTGGATACTTTGTCTTTGTTCTTTGGATTTTGAAAAATCAAAAACTCCCAATATTATTCTATTTCGTGTCCTTTCCCCCTTCCCTTGTTTTGACCACTCGGATTCCACTAGGTACTTGGCATGATTCTTCTACTAAATTATTTTTATCATAGTACATGGTTTCGAGAGGACCAAAGAAACGTTGTCCTTGAGGGCTCTGTTTCCTTCTTGTTATCGTTACTTCTACATATTTTTTTTTTTTGGTATCTTAAGCAAGCAAACACGATCCTTGTTGTTAGTACTAAACTTTATTGCTTCAGCAAAGCCAAAAGTTGGTATATTTTTTCCCCAAAGGAAATGAGTTTCATGATTGATAGCCCCTTTAGTGATAGTGTCCAGGCTCAAGACAAACATAGCTTTAGAATGGTGTAAATTGGAAAGAAAAGCTCTGTTCTATCTGTTTTGTGGGTTGCCCACTTTTGTATTAGTGGGGCAAAGGTGAATTTTCAGGAAGTTGCCTCACCACTTTATAATGTTTTTGAGTCATTTAGCACCTTCTCAAAACTTATCCTTTGCTTTCCTATCGATCTATTTCCTCCTCTCTTTGTGCATATGTGAACAGTATAATAGCCTACAATTGCATGGCTGACTAAAATTTCAGACATATTCTGGGTGCATTAATACTAATGAATGATCTCTTAAAGTCTTTATAATCATAAAAAAAATGATATTTAATTGATTATTTGAAAGAGTCTGTAGTTCAGAAGCTTCCTTAGTGTTCTAGTAATTTCATGTAATTAGGTGTAGTGACCCATCAAAACCGGAAATACATCCCACATTCCACTTGATTTTTGGGTCACTCGGGTCTCTGAAAATGACATTCCCTTAGTGGGGGATGTTTAGGATGATAGTCTTTGAAAGCATTTACCATTACTGGACTGCAAAATCGATACACGGTACCTCAGTTGTACCGCACATTTGGAGATATCTAATCTAATCTTAATCTAGCTAGCTACCCACAAACTATGTTTCTTACTTTATCTATCTATGGCAATCCAGATCGTGATTACGAAACCCACCAACCAACTCGAAATGCGGTGAGAGTAAAAAAGTAAAGAACAATTATGATGATGATAATTAGATGAATGCATTTTGGAATCATTAGTCAACCGAATCCTGACATAGTCCAGAAATTTCCCTCTTTTGTTTTCTTTCTAAGTTCTTGGTTTAGTTGATCAGATGACGAGCATGTGGTAGTGGCATGTTTTTATGACAAGTCCTGTTTTTTGTTGTTTTCTTCGATTTTTTTTTATAATGCTGTTTTAATTATATGGAGATTTAAGCAAACATTTGTTGAATCTTGGCGAATTGTCCATTTTCCTTCCTCTATTTAAGTAACTTGTTTTGGATTGAGACTTGTGAGCTCAGCTAACCCATGTGCTCCTGGTCCTGCGGGAGACCTGCTAAATGTGCAGACCAGCATATCTGTTTACTAACGGAAATAGAGAGAAATGAATGTGTAGTGTATATGCTGACAATTCATCGTTGATGCCTTTACCAAATGTACAGCCTATGTTAGAGGTGCGAATGGCTGGTTTGGATTGAAATTGAACCAATATGATGTAGGATGGTACTTAAACGAAGAGAAAAGGATAAAAACTTAATGAAATCTGACCAATTGTGATGGTTCTTCTTTGTGATCTTAGGGAACTTGAGGATGGAGCAAGAGTGGTGAGAGTGGAGAACGTGAACAACCCATACAAGGACCAAACCAACTTCGACAGGAGATTCAAGCTCACACTAAACAAGCTCTACGCATGGAGCCTCGTCGACTACGACCGCGTCGTCATGTTGGACGCCGACAACCTCTTCCTCCGCAACTCCGACGAGCTGTTCCAGTGCGGCCAGTTCTGCGCGGTCTTCATCAACCCCTGCATCTTCCACACGGGTCTCTTCGTCTTGCAGCCATCTGACGTAGTTTTCAAAGACATGCTTCATCAGGTGGACGTCGGGAAAGACAACCCCGATGGTGCAGACCAAGGCTTCATCGGCGGATACTTCCCTGACTTGCTGGACAAGCCACTGTTCCGCCCTCCCGCCAGTGGGTTAGCCGTCAATGGGTCGTATAGGCTTCCTCTTGGTTATCAAATGGATGCCTCTTACTACTGTGAGTAACAAAAGGAGAAGCAACCATCTTTCGAAAAAGATTGCCACTTTTAATCTGAAGTATTCTGAACGTTTGTTTGTTTTGACTGTTCAGATCTCAGATTGAGGTGGAATGTCCCATGCGGGCCTAACAGCGTCATTACTTTCCCTGGTGCGCCATGGTTGAAGCCATGGTACTGGTGGTCGTGGCCCGTTCTGCCTCTAGGCATCCAGTGGCACGAGCAGCGCCGTCAGCATCTCGGGTAAGCTGTTTATATTACATTGTAGAGAAAAAGATCTTATGGAGTGGGGACTATAAGTTAATTGTAAGAACCAACATTGTTATTGGTGAGCAGATATGGACCAGAGATGCCAATGGTGGTGATCCAATCAATCCTCTACCTCGGCATAATAGCAGTCACCCGTCTCGCAAGGCCTAACCTGACCAAGCTATGCAACCGCAGAACCGGCGACAGAAACATCTCCTTACTCCAATCCACCCTCAAGCTAATTATCTCCTTATGGGCAATCCTCGCAGCGTACATAGTTCCATTCTTTATCATCCCCTGCACTCTTCACCCCGTGCTGGGATGGTCTCTCTACTTGCTGGGCACATTCGCTCTCTGCTCCATCGCCATCAACGCCTTCATGCTGCCGACGCTCCACGTCCTGATGCCGTGGATGGGAATCTCGGGGGTCCTGTTCGTGATGGCGTTTCCTTACTACCCAGATGGTGTTGTGAGAGCTTTGTCGGTGTTCGGGTACGCCTTCTGCGCCGCACCATTGCTCTGGGTTTCGTTGAGTAAGGTCATGGCTAGCCTCCATCTTGAGAGAGAAGCTTTTTTTCCTAAGCTTGGGGAGTCATCTTCGCCGCCTTCAGGGTTGAACAAGCTTTGTTGAAGAGGACGGAATGATGATAAAGGGGGAAGTCAGAGTTTTGGATAGGGCTTCGTCTTTAGTTCTTCTGAACTCGTCCTCTGTAATTCTTTGATTGTTGTTGGGGACTTGAAAAAATTCAACTACGTACTGTGAGATGATGATAGAAATGTTGTATTCATATAGAAGAGGGAGAAAGGTTCTACGTTTCTCATGTAAAGCTCTGCCTGGTTTTGTAATGGACTATTGTCATCATCACTGCTGTAACTTCCTTCATTAGCGGTAGCAAGGAATAGAAAGGAATGGCTGGTTGCAGAGACTTTTTTCTTGAGTGTATATTTCTTTAGTTTGGTGCATTTTTTTGAAACTGAAAGAAGCAACAAAAGTCAGAAATACATGATGGAGCAAATGTACCACAATGTCTTTAAGTATATTTCACTGTTGCATCATACTTGCCAAGAGTATTGCTCTGTCAACTATGTCCAGTAGAATAACCCATTGGCGTTTCTTTTCGGAGTCGTTTGAATGAGTAATTTGATTTTGAGGAATCTATAAGTGAATTGGGTCTAAATCCCTCACTTAAAAAACCAGATGTTTGTCTTGTAATTACATTAGTGCTAGGGTTAGAGAAGAAAATGATGAACAAAAGAATTTTGCAGGAGCTTATATAAGGAGGGTCAACTGTTGCTAGAAGTAGGCTCTCGCCCTCTGACGTTAACGAACTCACTGTTGGTGCAGAGTTTGCTACTCTCGCCGGTCTCAACTTGCAGGCTGCAGCCCAGAGGTGGGCGCAGCGCAGATTGTTTTTTTCTGTCTGCAGTCAGCCTAGCAAGCAAGAAATGGGCCGGGCTTCTGTGGGCTCCGGGGGCCAATATGGGCCAACCACATATAGCCCACAAGTACGTTGATTCCTTTCTGTTTCTGGGGTTTAGCCATTGATTATTGTGAGCCTTTGCCAACGAAGAGAGACAGAGACTAGAGAAGAAAGCTGGGGTCCGTCGCCGTCGTCAGGCTCCATCAAGCTTGTCAAACCGGTTTGGCAAGTGGAATAGTACAACCGGTGATATAACCAGTTTGTGCCGGTTCATGCCGGTTTAAAAAAATATTAAAATAATTAATATCCAATGTATTTAATCATATATAAAATATATTTGTGGATAATTTAGTTACAATCCAACAAATATCATCATCTTTTAATTATTATATTCATAAAATGAATAATAAATTCATTTTTTATTCATTAAATTGATTAAAATGATATCTTTAAACTTAGAATGCGTAAGTCGATCATACCGAACATACCAGTGGTGTCATGCCGGTTGAACCTGGTTGAACCGGGTGGCATGCCACCGGCATGATAACCATGGGCTCCACCATATATGGCAGAACCAGCAGACCCAACGTTCGAAAAGGTTTGGATGCCTTTTTACTGCTGCATCTTTGAGAGTCGAGGATGGCGACAAGACGAGACATCAGGCCACCTGGGGCCCATTACCATTGGCAATTTCGGGACCAGCAACAACCCAGAGAAGAGAGGAACAGAGAGGAGAAGAGAGATAATTAACGGTAACGTACGTACTAATTAACACAAGGATAAATAAAATAAGGTTAAATCCATGCCCTAGACCATAAATCGTGATATTATTGTTGTTGTCTGTTGAAGAAGAGGAACCAGCGTGTAGAAAGGTGTCAGTCGTCTCAGCTTTCTGTTAATGGCTGCCAATCAGTACCCTGATAATTAGAACTAATCCCAGCACAGGATAACCTTGTTTTTGTGTTTCGCATAATTATTTAATGATTGCATGCCACTAATTATATATAATTATAATGTAGCACACCCTCTTCTTGTTTAGAATTTGTCTAACCTGTTGATCTTTTTTTTTTTTTTTGTAGAGTTGGGCTAGTTACTAGTGGTAATATTAGAATCTGAGCATATATCACACCATAAAATTTGAAATTTGGATCAACAATAGGAGACATTTTTTTAGTTGACAGTTCTTGGTAATAAATCTGGATGGATACATGCGATGAGAAATATTACATGCGATGTTAATTTTAGCTAAGCAAGATGTCGGTTACTGATAATATATTTTATTTGCGAGAAGATTATGTTATTTATTAAATGTGAGGAGAACAATTACCACAGCATAGCCTCCCTTCACTCATTCATTTCCCCCACCCCTTCTTGTTAACATGATTATACTATGAACCACATTAAGATCATATTCTATGAACCATATTCACAATGGTTGTATTTTTGTTGATTTCAACATTTATTAGGTCCCGTTTAATGTCAAAATGTAAAATTTGTATGCAAAACATAAGGTATAATAATGTTAGACGTACGGGGAGGGTATTACTCGCCGGTACCCGAACATTATGGGCTTGGGAATGAGATTGAAAACCTTTCACGCATAGGTATGAGATGAGTATGAGTTTTGATGTTTGAAAATAAGGATGATAATGGATTAGCCTAAAATCAGCCATTATATATTTTCATCGTAAAAGTAAATTCTGTCATAATGAGGAGATAGAGTATTCTCTCGAACAAAGAAAGAAGAATAAGATGAGAGTTAGAAGTAGACAACAACGTAGAGTGGGAAACACACAATACAATTATATATGGGGCTAATAACAAGGAGAGTATCCAAGTAGAGTCAGATAAAGCCAAATAAATAATACGGAGCCCCCTACACAACAAACACAAAATAACGATTACCATTCTTCACCCAAAAAAAGAATAAAAACTTTCCTCACAAAATTAAAAGGAAAAACGACCGTTGGAAGGGCCAGGAATGTGACAATAACTCAGGTTTGGTTTTTAATATATAAACGAGTGCAACTTCGTATACTTCTTACACCATCTCCTAATAATTCCCCCTCCCATGCTGCCTGACTCAGTCGCTCAGTGACGACTGATTATCTGCAGGATATATAAGCTTATTCTCCTACATAATAATTAAGCTGCCTCTAATTCATCAATGGCTTCCCTAATTATCAACTACTCTACTAATTATACTTATCGTTTGTTTTTTTGCTGTGCTTTGCTTTATTCATTCTTGTTGCATGATTCAGTAGTACTGACTACTGCTTCTTCTTCTTCACCTTCTCCGTCTCCCGCAGCTGCCCCCAACTCCTCGGAGCACCGCCGCCGCGGCCACCACGGCTGGGTCGGGCCGGTCGGCCGCCGGGTCATCACGGTGGACATCGCCGGGTCGGGCCAGTTCCGGTGCGTCCAGGCAGCCATCGACTCCGTCCCGGAGAACAACAACGAGAACGTCATCATCCTCCTCTCCCCCGGAGTCTACATGTAATTATATTTACTAGTAACGAATAACATGAAAAAAATGTTCAATAATATTGTGTAATAATAATTTAATTAAAATTATTATTTAATGTACACAGAGAGAAGGTGGTGGTGCCGGCGACGAAGCCGTACATAACGCTGGAAGGAGCGGCGGGAAGAGGGGCGACGGTGATCGAGTGGCACGACCGAGCCAGCGACCCGGCACCCAACGGCGAGCAGCTCAGGACTTACCGCACCGCCTCGGTTACCGTGTTGGCCAACTACTTCACCGCGCGCAACATCAGCTTCAAGGTAATAGTTCATTTGTTTGTCACGTACGGCCGGTGTCACATTATATATGTAACCTAATTAATCCTAAGGGCGTGTTTAATTTGTGCAAAGTAGAACACGGCGCCGGCGGCTCCTCGGCCGGGGCTGCAAGGGTGGCAGGCGGTGGCGATGAGGGTGTCGGGGGACAAGGGCTACTTCGTGGGGTGCGGGTTCTACGGGGCGCAGGACACTCTGTGCGACGACGCCGGCAGGCATTACTTCAACGACTGCTACATCGAGGGATCCATCGACTTCATCTTCGGCAACGGAAGGTCCATGTACAAAGTAAGCTACCTAATTAACTAGTCACTGTTCATTATACCTACAGTACATTATTCCAACCGGCAGGTAAAGAGAAAGAAAGAAAGAAAGAAAACGAGTGGTGCACATTACCAGCCCGTGACCTCTAATAAATATATGCATGGCACTGACTTTTGCTTCCTTGAAATTTTGTTCCTAAGCTAGAATATGTCTCCTTTTTTATTCATTGCAAGCTCTAGTTTCATACAAGAAAACAAAGGTGGCTTCAGATAATCAGCCGACGAATCACCAATTTCCTCACTTTATTGACTTGTTATACTTCAGGTGTTTAAATCCAAAAAAATCCGTACTTATTATAACTATAAGCAATTAAGCATTGTAAATTTCCTCCAGAATGGTTGGTTGATTATGATTTATATGGGGGATGCAGGACTGCGAGCTGCACTCGATAGCCACAAGATTCGGGTCCATCGCGGCCCAAGATAGAAGACACCCTGACGAGAAGTCGGGCTTTGCATTCTTGAACTGCAGGGTGACTGGGACAGGCCCGCTCTACGTGGGCCGAGCCATGGGCCAGTACTCCAGGATCGTCTACTCCTATACCTACTTCGATGACGTGGTTGCACACGGTGGCTGGGATGACTGGGACCACGTCAGCAACAAAAACAAGTAAGCAAGCAAGCAAACATATGCATTCCCATTCTTAGCTAGACTATGGCAAAATGCCACCGCACAACAATTGACTAATCTGTTTGGTTGTTGATTAACTAACTGAACAGGACGGCGTACTTTGGAGTGTACAAATGTTGGGGGCCTGGAGCTGAGAAAGTGAGAGGTGTATCATGGGCGAGAGAGCTAGATTATGATTCTGCACACAAGTTTCTAGCCAAGAGCTTTGTTAATGGCAGGCACTGGCTTCCAGCTGATGCTTTACTTGCTTAGAATCAGTTGTGATTCATTCTTCCTTCCTTCCTGTTTATCTGTAATGCGCGATTCATTCATTCTTTCATTCGTTCGTTCCAAGTCCAAAGACCAGTAATCCAGTATCTAGAGGAACATATATATAAGAGAAGTTTGTGTTATACAGAGTTTTTGTGGTTTTCTTGCTTTACATGGCTTTCTTGTGATTGTTGATACAGTCATACAGAGAACTGGAGATTGCGTTTGTGATAACTGACAACCGACAATCAACCATGTTCCTTCGTGTGTTTTCGTAATATATGGTGGAAAGCCAGACCAGACTACCTTCTTCATGTAGATGAATGTTTCACTCAAAAGTAGCTACAGGAATAAAGAGTAGAACATGAAGCGAAGATGATTTGATCATAGGCTTTCTTTCAATAAGCAAAGGTATCTCTGTCTGTCTTCCTTCACATTATGCTACAGTTTTGCTGGGACTCGATCATCTCCGGTGTTCTGCAAATTCAAAAGAAGGCAAAGGAGAAGGGCATTTCTTAATACGCATGTCATGACTGTTGCTAAATGAATAACTTATAAGAATGAGATGAGAAGTTTAAGCACTTACATCTGACCGAGGCTAGCCAAATCAAGATCAGGAGCGAGTTCCCGGACGATTTCATCAGGTGGCTGCCCACACTCTTGCATCTTTTGCATGAGATCGGTAATCTTGGTGTAGTTGTTGGGGTCGTTCTCGTAAACCTGGTTCAGAACTTTTATGAGTTCGTACTGTTGGGAATAACGTTCGTATTCTGTCTTGCTCAAACTAGATTCATGGTCCTTCAACCATATTGGATATCTCCCTTCGATTTCCTTCATGGGTTCATGAAGAATCTCCTTTGACAGAAGCTGCTGCATCATGGACTCCACCAGAGATTCCATGTCCTGATCACGGGAGGAGGAGAAAAGATCAACATAATAAGATAATGAAGGTAGAACATTACCGCAAAGAGGCAATAGCTCAAGACATCCGAAAAGATAGAAGCAGTATCACTAAAGTTTAGAACGGAAATGTTTCCACAAAAGTGTAAAATCTGGCACTTCTGCTCCCAAATCTCTTTTATCTGAAGAAATTATTCCCCTTCCAAATTTCATATAGCCTTTCCAGCTCAAGAAGACATGCATCTCAGTTTCTTAAATCACAAGAAAACCCTACAGGGTATCAGAATTGCAAACTGACTAGATTCCAATCTTAAGTTGAGATATATTGGAATTAAACTGACTGCTGTGTGAACTTAAACTGTGACGATAATTCACAACCGAGGGTGCAGCGTTTGCAAATGAAGCAAACAGGAAGAAGCCAGGATTAGTCACAAATACATGGTAAAACTCTGGACAATGATAATATGACACCATCCGGCATCCACTGATGATTTCATAAAAGGAGGAAAGTTGGATAGAAAGGAACATCAGGATCTAGGATAACAATGAGATCAAAATGATAGTCTTAACTCTTAAATGCTAAATTGCCTTCCGCGTACGTCTGTCCTCCATAACAATAATTCACAACCTAGTTCCTAGCCCAAGCACACATCCATCAATTTCACCAGACATCATATAGCCTCCAACTTTTAACTACACAGGCTATTGACAAAGAAAGCAAACCTCTTTTCCATCCTTACTTGGCCAAGAGACTTATCGAGGTGAAGATACATTCATTCTATGAGCAGTTTAAGAGTCAAATCTCTCACTCAGTCTGGACTGTCAAGAGGATTCCAACTATTTGCTCATACCAATAGCAAAAAAACATATCCTACTTACCTAGGAGACCCTCCTTGGCAGTAGCCAGTGCTTCGGCGTGATCGACCACAAACAAACCAAAAACTGAACTCTAACAAGTCAATCACAGCAAGTCAATGGCTTCATTTCCAAATAACGGTCTATACATGAGAACCAAGATCACATCATGAAGCACGATCAGAGAGAAAAAAGTTGAAACTTTACCTGGGTTGAGGCGAGCTCCTCGAACTGCTTAACCCAAGCCTCCATTGCAACATCCTTGTCATCACCCTTTGAATCAGTAGTCACAGACTCCATTCCTTTCACAGCCTCCTTCGTCTGCTCCCTAAGCTTATCAAGCGCCTCCGCCACATGACCAGTGGAAGAATCTCCCGCCGGCGCAGCCGCCATTTGCTTCCCTTTCTTCTTGCTCTTCTTCAAGCCGGGCAATCCCATACCCAAACCCTGAACCCCAGCTGGCAAATCACCAAACCCCTCAACCTTCATCCTCTCTTCATCGCCGTCAGCGCTTCTGCATTACCAATCACAGCTTTTTTTCTAAAATAACATGCCGAAAATTATACTAAAGGAGCAGCACAAATGGAATCAAGCAAGCAAGGAAGAATCGGAACCGCTGTTGTGAGGCTGGAGCCGCAAAATTGAGACTCTGGAAATCATCGAGAGCACCTACAGTGAAGCAGAAACAAAAAAGGTCGGAACTTGAGTCGAGAAATCGCACAAAAACGAAGAAGGGCAGGTGGGTATTACTATCGAGCAGCTGGTCTAAGTCGTCGTGATTGTGGGTATCCGCCATTTTCACAGCCGTCTGCTATTCCGACGGGGAGGGAGAGACAGAGACAGAGAGAGAGGCAGAGAGGAAGGTATATAATGGGAATAGGGGAAGTATGAAATTCGTTGCCTTGTGGCGAAGCACTCAAAGGGGGAGAATTCCAGGAGGAGGAGAAGTATTGGGCGAGCGATGTAGACGATGGACTGATTTTAATTCTGAGCTTGTAAATTTTGTTTAAACGCTTTCTATATTCGTTTCTCACTGAAACGAAAGGGGGACAAGAAATTTAACAATTGTTTCTGCTACTACGTCCATTGTTTGTTTCGCCTACGTATGTCTGTCTGTTTTCTTGTTCTATTTGACCAATTCCCTACGAATTTATACAAATATATTTATACTGATACAAACAAATATTACTATCCACAATGTTTGGAGTTTCAAATTTGAAATTTCCATGCTAGTGTGAATCGAGATATCCTAGATTAACATTTTCTCGTTGTAATGTACATATGAGGAGTACCCAACCGCATTAAGGAAGTAAAGAGTTGTTTGGATGATGAAGTTATGAAATGAGACAGTCTTAAAAATTACTGTCTTGCAATAGATGCATTATTTTACACAATATGTCTCGTGTCAATTCAAATCGATACAAGTAAGACAATTTAAATTTTTTCGACTCAATTGTTACATCTCATTTTGCATTACTAGAGACTATCTCTGACTTAATTACTTCATTATAAAACAAATGAATTAAAATTTCTTCATCCAATTTCATAATTTGTTTAGTGAGTAAGATAAAATGAAGCTACTTATTTGTGGTTTGTAAAGAATTTCTCTTTGTTTTTTAAAAAGGATCTCAAGTGCATTAAGATTTGGGATATCTTCATTTTCAATTGAACATTTATCAAGAAATTTTAATATGTATTTTCTTTTAGAGTTATCTAAAAGGAAAGGCAGTATAATTACGAAAATATTCAAGGCCTTCTTTTCAAGTGTGCATCGTTCTATTTCTCACTTTGTAAGTATAATAGCGTTGTCAATTTCTTAACACTTGAATCTCTTGGAGGATTGCCCCATAGCATTCGACAAATCCTCCACAATGATCATCCGAATAAGTATACATGAATCACCACAAAACAAAACATTAAAGCAGTAATCAGTCAAACACCAACAAAGGAAATCTCGGAGAGCCAAAGCTCGCTGAAAAGAGGATCAAAGAACTCTTGATAAAAGCGGTCCAATGTAAACGAAACTTCACTTCCTACGTCGAAACTCACTAAACCAACTCTACCGCCCACCAATGCTTTATCAGCACCATCAAAATATATTAAGATTGGATTACTAGTATGAATAGTAGGAGGGACGTGTCAGTATGTGTCGGTATATATGTATATAAGATCCATAAAAAAGTCTACGATTCCATTTGTTAAACACATGATATTCGTATTCGTATCGATGCAAACTTCAAATCCTTATAAATGACTTTTACTTGAGGGGATGTGGCCATCAGTATATAATATAAAATCAATTATTGAATCTCTCTAAAAACTCTAATCATCGGACCAACTGAACGGTGGTGCTCTTGTGCTTGAGCTAGTCACCATTCTCCCACCTGCCGAACTGAAGTACATGCAAATCATTATACGTTGTTGTGCATCTAGCTTTCCAAATCTATCGGTATAGGAAAAACTAGATTAGCCGCAACAAGCTTTGAAAGAAATCAATCACAGAAAAAGGCCGTGCCAACAGATAGCCACATGCAAATGTTGCATTTGGACAGAAAAGGTGGAACACGATATGATTACCTCTAATTTCTATATAGACAAGTGTGTAATGAAATGATAACGTTGATGCTCCCCTACTTGTTCATTCCAATTGTGGTAGGTCAGCCGTAGGTGGAATAATTATAACTCATCTTATTAATTCCCATGAAGAAATAGTTTGTTAATTTAGGAAGTTATACGTATATGTTTACATTATTAGATATATTTTCATATATTTTGACAAATCAGAATTATCGATTATTATTTTTAAATTAAATGAATCTTATAGTTAGGGAATGAAGTTGGTTTGTTAGAAGTTAGGGTATATTATAGAGTGATTTGATTCCAACGGTTTAGTGAAAATTTTGTTAACCATGAAATTTTACTGATTTTTAATTTGTTAGTGACATTTAAGTTTAGTGACTACTTATACACTTGACACCTTGAATCAATAATAACCTTTTGCACAAAGAATTCTCCTTCATGTGACTAATCATTACGATGCAAGCAATCAAGGGCATACCCAAGACTGTTTAGGGGTATATCGGAAAACCCCTAAAATTTGGAGGGGAATTAAAGAACTTCCGATAGTAGTTCGACTACCAAAAAAAATGAGGAAAAATAGATGGTAGTCTGTGTGGTTTAAAGTTTAAACATGTGAGACTATAGTTATTAGGCAAACTTGTTTTGCTTTGAAATACAATTCATTTGTTGCTATAATTTTAACATAAATATAATTACAAGCCTCTACAAGCTACCCTTATCCCCGAGTTTGACAAAACCTAAAAAACAAATCCAATTCGGCTATGGGCTACCCCTTAACCCCGCCATACTCTAAAGAGGTTGATAACCTTTCTCACTATTTTGTTCAACTGGACTTTGAGAATTATTATCATTGGGTTAAGAATGATGACTTATTCCTTGGATTATAAGGAATGGTGAATTAACTCAGTTGATGGTGGAGAGACAAAAGGTGAATCTATGATATTATGGGTCTATTTGCTCCTCAAAGTTTTATTGATTTCACTAGTTGCAACGACAAGTGTTGAAATAACTTTTTCGGCTTTGGGTTACATTAAGAACACGTTTCGAAATTGCATGGTCCATGAAACCATACGTTACTCGCGTTTTAACCACAAAATATCAGTATTGGAGGCTAAACCGGTAGGCGGTATTTACCGGTACTAACGATTGAACTACGGTGAAACCACGATTTTGCCATAAAATACCTATGTCACTGACTTTTCCAGTACAATCTTTGGTACGGTTTCATGGATCATACAATATTTAATAGGTGATCGGTTCGTGAATAATTATCTATTTGATATATCGAAAAACATTCGTTATGTAATGTAGATAGTGAGTTTATATTTTTAAAATAATAATAATATTATTATTTTACTTTAATATTTTAAAAGGGACACAACTATATAAAATACCTGGATCCATCACTCCAGACAAAGTAAACATGTACAATGAAATAAGATTATGCACATGAATCTAATTTTTTTTTTTGACAAGGCACATGAATCTATTGAGTGTGAGGGAATTGACATAATACATGCCATGTCATCTACCCATTATTTTTTATATTGTAAACAAATAAAAGCATTCTCATGTAAACTAAAGTGTACATGATTTAATTACATCAGAACAACAATTAACATACTAGTAAGTTGATTAATCACTCGTCTGTATCGCTTTACTACGCTAGTGTAATCATGCACACTTCAGTTTGGATCACAATTCTCTCATTTGTTTACAACTTAACTTAGCAAAAATAATGAGCAGAAGACATGACATGGTATTAGTATATGTCTTCTGTCAAAAGTATACAATTAAGTGACCATTATGTAAATTAACCATGGAATCTAAACGAAAGATAATAAATAACCGACACAAAAGGATTCCGACTCCGACTCCGACTCGGGTGGGTTTAGTGGTTGACCCACCCATTGCCCGAGTAGAAGCCGGACGTTCTCTTCCGTCACATATATAATTGGGCACGACAACTGTGAACCGCCCCCGCCGTTTCGAACCTTTCTCCCCGCCCCCAGTTCCTGCCAAACCCACACCGCTAGGGTTCCGTCTGGTATTCGCCGTGCCTGCAATTACCTCATAGCTTTTTTTTCTTCTTCTTCTTCTGGATTTCGCGCTCGCTGGATTTTGTTTCTGGCGCGACGCACCAATTAGGGTTACTGACGGGCGTGTACGCGGGATTTGAATGGGTACGGAGAGGAAGAGGAAGGTGAGCTTGTTTGATGTGGTGGACGAGTCGTCGGTCTCTGCTAAGCTCGCAAAGTCGGCGGCCAACGGCGGAGCAGCTCCTGGTACAGCCACCATGTTCTCGAACGGGATCTCCCAGAGCGGCAGCAGCTCCGTCAATCGGTGGAATGGAAAGCTGTATTCGCAGAGGTATTACGACATACTCGAGAAGAGGAAGACTCTCCCAGTTTGGCAGCAGAAGGAGGAGTTTTTGGATGTCTTGAAGAAGAACCAGGTTATCATCCTTGTTGGTGAGACTGGGAGTGGCAAAACTACCCAGGTACTTGTGTCTTTTTCATTACTCCTTGTTCTTAATTCGTCGTGAATTGTGTTTGGTTTCGTGAATGTAAAAGTGGGATTTAGTGAAGCTTTGATCTTGATGGGTTTCTAATTAGTTACGTAGCATAAACTGACTTTGAGCATAGGTTTGGATTAACTAGATTTCCAAGTGTTTGTATGAGGTGGAATGCTATAGCTAATGAGAATTGCTTGTTTTCAGATTCCGCAATTCGTTCTGGAAGCTGCTGATTCAGACACTTCGGATAAGAGGCGCAAGATGCTGGTTGCTTGCACTCAGCCTCGTCGAGTGGCTGCAATGTCTGTATCACAACGTGTTGCTGAAGAGATGGATGTCATCATCGGTGAAGAAGTTGGTTATAGCATCCGTTTCGAAGACAAGAGCAGTCATAAGACAGTTTTGAAGTAAGTGGCTTTTGTTTCTTGTCTTCAACTTAATCTTTGTATACCCTATACCTTGTGTTAACACAAACCGCTGTTTTAATCTTTGTTCAGGTATTTAACCGATGGTATGCTCTTAAGAGAAGCCATGACGGATCCCCTGTTGGAAAGGTACAAAGTAATAATCCTTGATGAAGCCCATGAGAGAACTTTAGCAACAGACGTGCTCTTTGGCCTTCTCAAAGAGGTGCTGAGAAACCGTCAGGATCTTAAGTTGGTGGTCATGAGTGCAACTCTCGAAGCTGAAAAGTTTCAGGGTTATTTTAGTGGGGCACCTCTAATGAAAGTCCCTGGTAGGCTACACCCTGTGGAGATATTCTACACACAGGAGCCGGAAAGAGACTACCTTGAAGCAGCAATTAGAACGGTTGTCCAGATACACACATGTGAAGGGCCTGGAGATATACTAGTGTTCTTAACAGGTGAGGAAGAGATAGAAGATGCTTGTCGCAAAATTTCTAAAGAGATTGGTAATTTAGGAGACCAGGTGGGTCCTGTGAAAACCGTGCCTTTGTACTCAACTCTTCCTCCAGCCATGCAGCAGAAGATATTCGAGCCTGCTCCACCTCCTTTAAAAGAGGACGGTCCACCCGGGAGGAAAATCGTGGTTTCTACAAACATTGCTGAAACTTCTCTTACTATAGACGGGATTGTTTATGTGATTGATCCCGGTTTTGCCAAGCAAAAAGTTTACAACCCACGTGTTCGAGTTGAGTCCCTTTTGGTGTCTCCGATTTCCAAGGCTAGTGCTCATCAGAGAGCAGGTCGAGCTGGTAGGACGGCGCCGGGGAAATGCTTCAGGCTTTATACTGAGAGGAGCTTCAATCAGGATCTTCAGCCGCAGACTTATCCAGAGATATTAAGGTCGAATTTAGGGAATATTGTTCTGACATTGAAGAAGCTGGGAATTGATGATCTAGTTCATTTTGATTTCATGGACCCACCTGCACCAGAGACGTTGATGAGGGCTTTGGAGATGTTGAACTATTTGGGAGCGCTGGATGATGAGGGTAACCTGACAAAGCTTGGGGAGATTATGAGCGAGTTTCCGCTCGATCCTCAGATGGGGAAGATGCTGGTGGTTAGTCCAGAGTTTAATTGCTCAAATGAGATCCTCTCTCTTTGTGCTATGCTGTCAGGTATATCCCTTGTTTTCTCATTTTGTGTTATATAGATTTTTTATTGTGCTTAGCGTCGTCTGAATTCTGGTAGCACATGGTTGGGTTTGAAGATCCATTCCATATGGGCTTATGCACAGTTTCACTGTGACTTTAGGGTGGAAGTTTGGTTTGGTATCGGTATTACCCACAGAATAGGAATTTGTGAATATCAAATTACACTCCATTTGCAGTATTATTCTAGTTTGATGTTACCCAACTGCTTACCCAAAGTTCTCGGATGATTTATGGAAAAGATCAAAATTTTGAGAAATAAAGCTTTTAAAAAATGAAGCTTTCTCTCCTATGGCTTTTACGCCTAATTATTAAATAATAAAGTGAAAGAATCCTGTATTTTCAATAGTACTGAATTACCAAAATGCCAAATTAATAAAACCTATATATGATTCCACCATATGGCTTATATTGGGTATTCCATACCAATCCCGAACTTCCATCCTAACTGAGTTGGCTACCCTTCAGGCTCATCAACTTCATGCCTGTGTAGTACCACAAACATGTAGGTGAAGACGATGCGTGCTCAATTAGGTTGTGTCATCAGCAACTCTTGTATTGCTCCCATGCCACCTTTTGTTGGCATGCACCATATAGGATTTTAAGTGCTGATGCAGATAGTTTGCAGTTTTCTCTCAGTATTATATCATCATGAAGCAAATGTTGTCGCGTCTTCTTCGCCTGTAATGCGTCTGCTGACCAACCGTGGGCCTCTTCTGTGATAACCCAAAAATTCTTTCTTTAGTACCCAATTGCTTTGTCCGCCCTAGGGAGGCACAAAAGGCTGCTGATGAAGCCAAAGCTATGTTCGCCCACATTGATGGTGATCACCTCACTCTGTTGAATGTCTACCATGCATTCAAGCAAAACAGTGAGTCCTCTGATTTCCTTGTTTCCTCCGTTGTACTACTTACACATGTTCTCTTTATTATTCACCACATCATTCTGTTTTTTTTTCCCCCTTTTCTCCAATGTTGCAGATGAGGATCCATCATGGTGCTATGATAATTTCATCAATTATAGAGCGCTGAAATCTGCTGACAATGTGAGGCAGCAGCTTGTGCGGAGCATGTCAAGGTATAACCTCAAGATGTGCAGCACCGATTTCAACAGCAGGGATTACTATGTCAACATAAGGAAGGCGATACTAGCAGGGTATTTTATGCAGGTTGCTCATCTGGAACGTACTGGGCACTACTTAACTGTCAAGGACAACCAAGTATGTTAGCTGCTTTCAATCTTTGTCTGCTTGAGATTGTGTTTCTGCATACCAAATTATTCAAAATGGTTTTTGTTTTCTTCTTTTGGCAGGTCGTGCACTTACATCCATCGAATTGTCTGGATCACAAGCCAGAATGGGTGGTGTACAATGAATATGTGTTGACTAGCAGGAACTTCATTCGGACAGTGATAGACATTCGTGGTGAATGGTGTGTGTTCACTCCCTCCTCTTGTTACTATGCGTTGAGTTGTATGCACTTGTGGTTTTGCAGACTAGTTGATTGATGGTTGGATCTCAAATTTTGTTGTGTGCTTAACAGGCTTGTAGACATAGCTCCTCACTATTATGATCTGGATAACTTCCCCAAGTGCGAGGCGAAGCAGGTTCTCGAGAAGCTGTACAAGAAGAGGGAGAGGGAGAAGGAGGAGAGCAGGAACAGAAGATAGATATAAGATAATAATGTCTGCTTGCAACCGATATTTGTGCTAGTCAGAAGAAGGAAAATCAGAGAAATGGCGGTACGACCAAGGAAAACGCTCTTGGACCATTTGAGTTTTGAATCGTCGTCATTGATGAATGCAAATGATTATGCTACTTGTTTTTTCATAGCTTGTTCTCAACGAAACAGTAGTACTCTTATTTCCTTGTCAAAAAAGAAATGACGGATTGTTCCTCCAAAGTACAGAGTTAGTTTTTTTTTATAATATAATTATTATTGTGATATAGATTTGTTTTATAGTTGGGTACTATTTAACGAATTTGAACCTGGAATCTTCAAATTAAATATTACTGGCAACATCACTAGATCAATAATACGAGTTTGAAGAGAAAGTTTAGAGAAAAGTTCTAGAGGAACTAATTAATCAAACAATCAATGGAGAAGTCTGGGTTCCAAATGCAAGAAGGCAAAACTTCTTGCCCATTCCAACTCATGTTGCTTTTACCCGGCTGTTTGACGCTCTGCTTTGTACAGGTGGGCATTCGGTTGGTTCGGTTTCGATCAAACCGAAATTATGAATACCGGGTCCCCGAATTCTCTCAAACCTCAAACCGAATTCGAACCGAATTATAATTTGGTTCGGTTTGGTTTTTCATCCAAAATCGAATTTGTGAAGCTACTTGTATTTTCTCACTTTAAAATTATTTTTTACCCCTAATATAAACAATAAATATCAATTATATGCATCATCAATGATAAAATCAAACTTTTCAACACATAAGTCATAAAACATTTCAAATATTTAAGTCTAAAAACAACTACAAACATAAAAATCCACCATTTGGAGCTTCCAATGATAGTATTTCGGTCGGAAATTTGTAAATGCGGTTTGGTTGAAAGAACCCTGATTTCCGAACTATCCATATTTTCCTTCCGAATTCCGAACCGAATAACATTAATTCGGTTTCGGTTCAGTTCGGGTTTACCGAACCGTTTGCCCACCCCTACTGCTTTGTTTTGTACTCTGGCCGCAAGACATTCACCGATCAAAATCAGTGTGAGGAAATCAAATTCAAAGTTACCGTTGTACTTTATTCGTAAATCAGAAAATGAAATCCATGTTACACTTTCGGATTGGGGCAGAGCATTCAAGAATTTCGCCCTAAACACAACGGCTACATTCTCGCGCTGGTGATTCCCGCAGCCCAGGCCTAGTTAACGAACAAGCCACCGATTCCTCTTCACCGAATCGATTGAAGAATGGGAGAAGACCACAGCAGCGCCGTCGAAGCTCCGCCGCCTCAACGGAGACCGAGAGTGAGGGAGGTCAACTCTAGGTTCATGACTCCCGCGGCGACCTCCTCCACTTCCTTCTCCCCTCTCCCGCAGCAGCACCAGAGATCCACATCCGTACACAAGCAACGCCGCCGTCTCGAATTGGATAAGGACTCCTCCGCTGGCAACTCCGCTTCTCCAACAGTCGCCGCCGCCGTCAAACTTTTCAAGGAAAACGCAAACGGCGAGAGGCAGAATCCGCGATCTCACCACCACCGCCGCCCCGACACTCCCATGGCAACCGCTCCTCCTCCCACATCGAGACGCTTGCCGCATCATCGTCCCTCCAACGCCGTTACGCACTCAGCTGCCGCCAAATTGCTTCAGTCCTCCACCGGCATGTCATCGTCGTTGTCGGTCAATCTCTCTGCCAATCCCAATTCCGGCCCAACCGAGTCTCTTCCGGACCTTCACTCTTCGTGGGCCACCGTCTCCGGTAGAATACTGACGGAGAGAAACATAAACACTCTCTCCGGGCCGGATGACGACGGCGCCGCCGCGAGTACAACAACATCATCATCTTCTTGGAAATTCCCTGCTTCGCCTTGTTCCCTCTCTCTCGATTTACAACGATCGTCCTCTGAAAACCCTTCATTCTTTCACTCGCTAAGAGGCTCGGAGAAATCAGCCAAGATTGGGGGTTTTGCTCTGCCTCCAGTTCCTCACGCTAAGGTCCTAAGCGATGCTAATGCTTCGAGAAAGGGAAGAAAAGCCTCTGGTCAGCAAGAGGGATTTCACTCTATGAAAATGATTCACAACCGTTACTTGCAGTGGAGATACGCCAATGCCAAAGCCGAGGCTTCCTCGCAAGCCCAGAGTAGAGAAGCCGAGGTCAACTGTTAGCTTTGATTGAGAACCAATTCAACCAACCATCAGCTTTCACCATGTCATTGTGTGTGGTACTCACCCTTGTTTTACCAATGCCAATTTTTCCCTTTTCAGATGAAGTTGTATTCCCTTGGTTGCAAGATATCCGGGTTATACAAGTCGGTGACAAAGAAAAGAATTGAGCTTGACCGTTTGCAGCGAATGGAAGCTCTATCCACAGTCCTGGAGACTCAGGTAAGTCTCACTGAAACTGAATTGTGCCGAGAATTTTGTCTTCATTGCCCGTTCTGTTTGCTGGACTCATCTTATTCTAGCTTGCCTTATCTGTCTTAGCTTAATTTAGCTCACCATACATATCTCAGATTTCTTCACTGTGGCGAAACTAGAACAGCGATGTAAAGGGTGTTAGTGTCGTTGTTTTTACATCCTGGTAGGTTTGCACTAAGAATGAGTCGTTGTTCTAATCATCACCACTATCTTCTCCACAGATGCCATATCTGGATGAATGGACAACAATAGAAGCAGATTGTAAGGTCTCTTTATCGGAGACGGCTCAAGCTTTAGTAAACGCCTCAATCCAGCTTCCCGTCGTTGGGAATGTCAAGGTACGACGTTGCTTTTTGCAACATTTCACAACCTCGTATTCAAGTTAAGTAAAGCAAGAAACTGGTTAATTTTTCAGCAGCAAGTTGAGGAAATTATCTGCTGCAGGTTGATGCAAGAGAGTTGGCAGAGGTATTGAAGTCTTCAGGGAAGTTGATGGAATCAATTGCTTCGCACATAGAAAGATTTCTGCCTGAGGTGGGTGACAGTTTGTATATGGAGTTCTTTTCTGGAGTGGTCTGTCATCTAATTATATAGCCGCCATCTATATCACTGCTTCGGATTTGGGGATGCAGGCTGCAGCAACTGAAACACTGGTATCAGAATTAGCTAGGGTGAGTGGAGGAGAGATAGCTCGCGTTCAAGAATGTGGAGATCTCTTGTCTCTGATGCATAAATCACAGGTTTGCTTCTCTGGACTGCAACCATTCACCGCTACTATGACCTGCCTTCACTATCAATGGCTTTTCTCTTAACTCTAGTACTCTATACTAGTTGACGTCTTGGCAAGTAAATTACTTGGATTTATCATCCTCTTGCCAGTTTTGTGACATGAAATTATTGCTTCTAACCAGATGGAGGAGTGCAGTGTGCGAGGCCAAATAATCCAGGTTCGCCAAAAGCTGACTACTGCTGCTTGACGAAGCAAAGTGGCATGCATGTATTGCTGCTGTCTTGAACAAAAATGTGGAAGAGGATATAAACTATATAGCTTGCTTGATCGGTTTGATTTTGTTTGTATTTGCTTTAGAGCCATCATTCTTTGAGAAAATAAACTTAAAATGATCTCCTTGAGTGTTTGTCTATAAATTGCATCGGCTCACAATGGAGTGACATGCAGCATGCTAAAAGAATCATGTACTTTCGTTGTACAATAATTTTCTGTGCAAGTTGCAACTGCTTGAGATCTCCTTTGTTGTTGTTATTAGTATTCACTATAATCAATATCCGCGGCTACGCCGATAGAATTAAAAACACAATAGCATGGTCGTATTGAATTTCATAGTTAATTAGTATGAGGCTTATGTTAATATATGTGTTTGTGATGGTAATAAGAATATGAAGGCGATATGAAAGTTGAAAGTGGAAGCCCTCAAAAGCGCATATCTTAACCGTTTGGAGCAATCAGTTCAACTCACCTCAAAGTACGTCGAAGTGTGTATAAATTTACAGCCTCAACCTCTAAAACGCAAGCTATTCAAGTGTCATACCAAGTAAATGGAAAAATTAAGTTTCATGGTAAGCTCAAATTCAGAAGAGGGTGATAATTCTGTACCTTGTGGTGGATTGGATTTAGTAGATCTTTGTTTAATTTCCATTGTCAAACACAATAAATATTGCTGCTTAGGACATTGTCGTGAGTCCCCAGATCTACAGAAGCTCAAAAAATATTGTTACTTATTAGGGCCATTTTGGGAATGAAAATAATTTCGGGGACTAAATAAAAAACAAAGAATAATTTGGGCATTCCAGTAGTAAATATTGCTTTCTATTCCGGATTCTGTTCTTCGGTTCTATAATCCCCTCCAAAAATCCTAATCCCGGTAAGCCACGCGTCCGCGTCCAGTGGCTATAACCACATCCCAGTAATGGCCGCCGCCGCCGCCTTTGCTCCGGCCACCATCACTCTCCGGTTTAGCTCTCACTCAACCCTACGTTTCTTCAAAGCAAGTTCTAGGTTCCTTCTTGTGCCCCCGAAGCCCCATGTTCTCCCGCCAAAATTCCAATTCCATGGCGCTTCGGTCCCGCTCTCCGGCGAGGAATTTGGTAAGAGGCGCTTCTGCAGTGTGGTTTCCGCTGCCCTTAAGCAGTCTGGGGAGATGGTGACCGCCGCCGATGCTACGGAGCAGCGGGCAGGAGAATTGGGGAACAGAGTTGGGAAGTTCAGGAAGAAGTTGAAGATTGCCGATGTGAAAGGCGGCCCTAATGAAGGTTTGGACCGGGTTGGTCAGAATGTGGTTGTAATGGGGTGGGTCAGGACACTTCGGTTACAGAGCAGCGTCACATTCATGGAGGTAAGGGTTTGAGCTTTGACATATATGGGTAATGGCTTTTTGAAGAAATTCAGTGATAGAGAACTGAAGTTTTTTTCTAGGTTAACGATGGTTCTTGCCTTTCAAACATGCAATGCGTACTAAACCCAGAAGCTGAAGGCTATGATCAGGTAATAAGTTGGAACTGTGAATTACGATTCCTAGAATTAGCAAATGTTCAAGCTAGTAGCCACGGTTTGATCGGAATTTCTCAGTGTTTTGCTCTGGTATATGCAGTCTCTGGTTTCAGTTACATGTAATCTTAGTTCCCCGTTGTTTTCTTAATGCACAGGTAGACTCTGGTTCCATAGTTACTGGTGCTTCAGTTTGTGTACAAGGAACTATAGTTGAGAGCCAGGGGTCGAAGCAAAAAGTGGAATTGAAGGTCAACAAGATTGTTCTGGTATGCTATATGACTTGATTGCTGAATCAGTTTACCGTGTTTAGTGATACACTACTGCTTTCTACTGATACACTCACATTGTTCATTTGATAGGTTGGCCAGAGTGATCCATCATATCCAATGCAGAAGAAAAGAGCCACCAGAGAGTTCCTGAGAACGAAAGCACATCTTCGTCCTAGAACAAATACATTCAGTGCGGTATGTTTATTCTGCTTAACTACGATCCACTATATCGAGAAACTCAGGTTTTCAATTCCACTGTTGTAAACTAACACCCAAAGCGAGAATGACTTCCGAGTTATGATTTCTTCTGGTTGGGAGTATAAAGTCCTCTTTACACTTATTTTTTACTTCTCTAAATCCTGGAATGGTGGTTTATGATTTTTGGTATGATGGATCTTGTCTAGGTTGCAAGGGTAAGGAATGCTTTAGCATATGCTACCCACAATTTTTTTCAAGAAAATGGGTTTGTTTGGGTCTCAAGTCCTATTATCACAGCCTCAGATTGTGAAGGAGCCGGTGAACAATTCTGTGTTACTACATTGGTATGTCTCTCTTTCTCAACTATGCCATCATTTCTAATTGTTCATTTTGCTTGTTTATAAGTTTGTCGTAAACTTGTGTTCATGCACAGATCCCAAGTTCTCAAGAAGTGACGGATTCACCTGTAGATGGCATTCCGAAGACAAAGGACGGACTGATTGATTGGTCACAGGTGAGTTTATATACACGTTTCCTGATGGTACAGCTTCATTACACGAATAGCTAGTTAAAGATGTTTATTTTTTTCAATCCTCAGTTTAGCTTCATCCATGAATGCTATTATGCCTCCAGTGTAATGAGACATTCTTTTTCAGGACTTTTTCGGAAAACCAGCATTTTTGACAGTTTCTGGCCAGCTCAATGCTGAAACATACGCTACTGCTCTTTCAGATGTACATTCTCTCTCAGCATGTTTTTGTTATTGGATTATACCATTCTTCTTGCCACCTTAATAATTTCTCTATTTCTCATCGCATGTTTTTAATCTCTCTCAGGTGTATACATTTGGCCCAACATTTCGTGCCGAGAACTCCAACACTTCGAGACACCTTGCAGAGTTTTGGGTAAAGCCATTTTTGTCATTCTCCTTATAATAATCTTAATATTTGTGTATGAGCCTCTTATAACCCCATTCTATTTTTTCCTGATTAAGATGATTGAACCAGAACTTGCATTTGCGGATCTTGATGATGACATGGCGTGTGCAACCGCCTATCTCCAGTATGTAGTATGTCCCTTTCCAAATCTTCATTATCATGAAAACTGTAAAATGCTTATATCGTGTGTTGAGAAACCAATGGATGCTTTCTGTATTATGTGGCAGGTGAGACATATCCTTGAAAATTGCAAGGAAGACATGGAATTTTTTAATACTTGGATCGAGAAGGGGATCATTGATCGTTTAACAGTATGAGCTCTCAAGTGCAAGTTATATTCTTTTAACCTTCTTGTAAATATGACTTCAAATTTATGCTTGATCTACAGGATGTGGCTGAAAAGGAATTTGTGCAGTTGACATACACTGATGCAGTTGAACTTCTTCTTAAAACAAATAAGAAGTTTGAATTTCCGGTACATTTTATGTTCCTTCGTTGAATTAATCTGATAAAATTCTGGTTATGAAATTGGAGTTAGAATGGTTTGTTGGTGTGGTTTGTAGGTGGCATGGGGATGCGATTTGCAGAGTGAGCATGAGCGATACATAACTGAAGAAGCATTTGGCGGATGCCCTGTCATTATTAGAGACTACCCAAAGGTTCGTGGTTTAGCTTTCCACGTCTTCCCCTCTGCCTCATGAACGAAGAAAAATCGTTATTTGGGTTTACACGAATTTTGTTTACTTCTTCCAGGAGATCAAGGCATTTTATATGCGTCAAAATGATGATGAAAAAACGGTTGCTGCCATGGATTTGTTGGTTCCTCGGGTATAAATCATTACTCTATCACGTACCCTAAACCCACTTCTTCTCCTTGGACCATGTTTGATGATAAAGGAAATTTTTTTCCTGTGCCTTCAAGGGCACTCTTTCAAACATTGAACTATAAGTTATTTACATACAGAAGTTTAGGGTTCTTTTTTCATATTGGTCAGATCGGGGAGCTGGTTGGTGGAAGCCAAAGAGAAGAACGGCTCGGATATCTAGAAGATCGTTTAGAGGAGTTAAAGCTCAACAAGGAGAGCTACTGGTGGTACCTCGATTTGCGGCGTTATGGTTCAGGTTTGCTGCTGCTGATGTTCTTAATTGCAGTGTACTTATAGAGGGTATTGATTATTCTGATGGGTTGCGAACCGGTTCTTTGCTTTCCTGTTATGGTTGCAGTTCCTCATGCCGGGTTTGGGGTGGGATTCGAGAGGCTGGTGCAGTTTGCAACTGGATTAGAGAATATCAGAGACACAATACCATTCCCTCGATCTCCTGGCTCGGCAGAGTTTTGATTTCAGTTAGAGTTTGGCTCTGTTCCTGGCTGCCATGGGATCCAAATCAAAAGACTCTTCTTGTGTTGCTTCGTCTACATTACCATTGTCGTTTCAGCATTTTTTTTTTTTTGCTGTATTTTTCGATCCATAATTTAATTCAGGTAAATGCCACATTTGGTCATTTAGATTACTAAAATGTGTTATGTTTAGTCACTAGAAAAAATTAATATCAATTTTGGTCACTGAAATTACTAAAACAAGTCACATTCAGTCACTCTTCTGTTAGCCTCCGTCCAACTCTGGTCACTCAAATTACTTTTTTTTATGAATGTCGCTCGAATTACTGAAACATGTCACATTTAGTCACTTTCCGTTAGCCTCTGTCCAACTCCGTTAATAGAGTTAGACGAAAACTAACCGGAGAGTGACTAAATTTGACATATTTCAGTAATTCGAGAGACCAAAATTGATATTAATTTTTCTAGTGACTAAACATGACATATTTTGTAATCTCTATAACCAAATGTGGCATTTATCCATTTAATTCTAACACAAATATTTGTCCAGTACAATAATTTAATTGGCCACTTCCTGTAAATGTAATGTAAGCATGCTTGTTAAGGTCAACATACCATTAGATGTAAATGAGATTTTGAGAAACAATATGAGCAAAGTTTTCAATGGCCAAAAACGCTATTTCATTGGGAGTTCGACGATTAATTGACTATCGCATGTGGCTTAGTTATGTTTTTCTACTTTGTTTTTGGACTTTTAGGCATGGTTTTTGTATTGTAGATTAACCCCATCTCGTTGTACAGTTTTGAATTTTGATTATGTTAAAAAAAAGTGTCCCATTTATCGAGTGTGTGGTATTCTATTTTGGAATATTATCTTGAGAGTAAAAGAGAAGCTACCCAAGATGACAACAATCCGATGGATATTTTAATATTTATGCTTGTTTTGGATTGAGCATAGTTTCAAGGTGGGTACTATTACTAATACTAGTGGAAAATGGATTAGGATTTAGGAGGGTTGGATATGCATCCTAATATTGAAAACAATATAAATCGGGTCGAATTTGCTATCTGCCTTTCGCTACATCACTAAGAAAATTGGCATTCGCAACAGACGTTGAATGGGCAAAACTACACATTTCTGAACTATATAATGCAGGAAGAGCTAGGAATAATTGTATTGAAAAAACAGAAGAAACAAAGGCAATTTTATTGTGACAAATAAGTACACCAATTCCATTTTGCCCCACCCTTTTCTTTCTCCAGTTCAGAAGGATCTTTCAGGAAGAGACTTGTTCTACTACCTATCCTTAATTTTCTTTTTTTGGTCTCCCCCTGTTTTTTCAACAAATCAACAAATCAAACTGTACATCTTTCTTCGATCCCTCCCCTCTTCTTCTCCCACAAGGGTTATAACAGACTCGGCAGCCTGCCACCAAACCCTACCCGAAGCTTCTTCATCAATCTTCGTCGCACATTCGAGAAACAGAAAAACAAAAAAGCTATATATGCTTTTAAGATTACAAAAATTGGAAATGCTTAGTTGCCCAACTGAGCTTCAAGGTTAACATTAGGAATGGGGGAAGAGAGAAGATCAGTCGGAATTTGTCAAAAACCAGACTTTGATATGCTTCTTCTCCTCCTACCCGTTTTTGTGCTCTTTCCCAAAAGCCTTTGCAGTACTCCCCTTGTGGTCTGATCGCGATAAACAAAACTTGCTCTGTGTTATGAACCTCCCGGCTGATGCCTTTGTGACTCAAAGTTCAACTTCCTGGAGATCACCAAAGCTGCCACCATTTGTTGGCATCTGAGTCATCGAAGGGTCACCGCCTGGAATCAAAGGGGGGCCTGCCGTCAGTGGCATGCCAAGAGACGATTTGATCTCTGTTGTTGGCCTTGGCGGGCTGAACGATGAGTTGAAAGTACCGCTCCAAGATGCAGTTCGTCGAGATTGAGAGTGGGGCGCACCACTGTTGACATTTAAGCCGCCAACTTTCCCTCCTTTGACAATGTTGTCCATGCTCGGGAATCTTTGCATGGAGGAAGATGTCATACGAGGCTGGAAAGGTGGCGAAGAAGCTGTGGGAGGAGACTGAAAAGAATCAGTCATGGAGGATGTTGAAGGCATTTCACTCGCCGCTGCTGGAGCATTGTTTTGCACATTTTCTGCAGCCACAGCTTCAGCCAACAAATTATCGGCAGACGAAGGTGCAGGTGCAGGTGCAGGAACAAAGAACTTAGTGTTCATGGAGACAGCAGGTTTGGGAGATGGTTTGGGTGATGAGTGGATCAAGTTTGTTCCTGCGCCTCCACCACCTTGGTTGAAGGTGTCCACATACCTGTCCAAGCAGGATAATTATGCTCAGCAGTTATTTTGGATTTGAAATTGAAGGCGCAAAAATGAAAAGATAAACAAGCTCAAAATGGTCTTCATTCCAACTTTACCTAGCACGTACGCCCATTCTTCCACGGGCTGAAAATTGATTAGAGCTGGTGGGAATAGGAGGGATGCCTGAACTATGCTCTTGCGTAGCTGAACTCCGGAATTTTGGACTCCCACTAGGTGGGGAGCCCTCGCTCTTCAGTGCAGATTTCAGGTTGTAGTCCGACGCTCCATTCTGAAACACTGCAGTAGTTGGTGGAGGTGGTAGGGCAGCTTCCTCAGCTGGAGGTTCTACACCTTCTTCCACCCATCTCTTGAGTTTTTCATCGTAATAGAATTTGTTCTTCTCACCTAACTTGGCCTTCACCGATGACCAAGATAAGATAAATTTTTTCAGAGACTTGAATCTCGAGGAATTGCGTTTCTACTTCCAAGTAAAATATAACTCAACTTAACCAACATAAGATAACGTCAGAAACTTGAATCTTGAGTAACTGCGTTTCTACTTTCAAGTAAAACATAAAGCTCAAGTTACCTGTTTATCTGAGCGAGGCCGTAACACTAGACCCACAGTCTTCTGCAGTAGTTGCGAGCCAAAAGCAAAACGACCCAAGCGCAATCCTCCTGTTGAACTAGATGTCTTATCTTGAGAACTGGATGGGGATCCGGCTGTTGATGAATGAGCCTGGCCCTAGCAATAAAGAAATAGCAGTTTTGATGCGGTAAGAACAGAGGAAAGAGACAGAAACATCATCAACCGAGAAATCAAACATTCGCCAACTTGGAGATCAATCACAAACCTGTCTTGGAGTTCTTCCGAAGTCGGGCTCCGATACACTCCTTGAGTGTCTTCCCATTTTATTGCCATCAGCTGCCCATTCACTTATGGGTTCCATTGAAGCAGACGGTGCTAATGTAGACATAGCCATTGTTGATTGACTAGCAGCGACTCGAGGTGCCATCAGTTGCTGATCATACTCATGGCTATGTAGACCATGGGAAGTTGATGGTGCTGGTGGCGGCAGACCACCAACAACACGGTGTGCGGTGCTATCAAAGAAGTTGAGCAGTTTACCGACTAGCTTTGCTGGTGCCAAGTTTGCAGCATATCCACCCTGTAGAGAAATCAATTGGTTAAATACGGTTGGAGGAGGAAGAAGTGACATTTGGTCCAAAATCACATACCTGTTGGTGGATTCTAATCCTTTCTTCAAGGGACGACAATAATTGTTTCCAAGTCTCTATTTCAGGAGCTCGACCCGTTTTCAGAGATTTGGATACTGCTTGACAGTACCTGAATCAACTCTCAACATTAGGAGAATTGGAGAATGAGAAATGGCATATACTTGACAGATATTTTTACCCACTTACTTCAAAGAGTCCGAGACTCTGCCTACTTCAGCCAGCATGTACGCATAAACAAGCTTATATGGCTGAAACGGCTGCAAGATGAACTGGGAGTTACCTTGCACCTTAGAATATTCATAAAGCTCCGTTCTCTGCACAACCATTGATCAAAGTCATTAATAAATATCCAGAGTAAGTATCACAAACATTTCATGAGTCTGCTAGGGATAACTTGTGAGTAGCCCTAAAGGAACGGAATAATCTATCTGAAAATAGATGGAAACAAGAAAAATCAACAAATCCTTTGCTTAATCCTCAAAACAGGAACCAGTAAGGAAGAAAGGATATGAAAAGAAGAAAGCAATGCAATATTTGGGGAAGATTTCATTGTCTATAAAAAAGTAAAGGCGATCCTGGGCCAAAAATGCCACCATCCCCGTCCCTCTCTCCGTGAACCGACTAGTAATAAGAAAAAAGAAAAACTCTCCAATAGTTGGACATGCTAGACCCCTTCCGGGGAGCCGCATTCGGACAAAGACCTAGCAAACCCCTCTCAACTCTACTTAGCTTTGCATCTTCATTGATACAACTCAGTGCTTCACTGAGGCAATGAGGTTCAAAGAAAACGACTTCTGTCATGGTCAAAAGTCAGCTTGTAGTCACAATTCGCAAATAACATCACAACAAACAAGAGAATCTTATATAGCAATTTCTCCAGTCAAAGTACACGTCCCAAACACCCCAAATAAAAGGGCTGCAAGGTGCAGGAGAGAAACATGTTGGACACCCCAGCATAGGAACCTTGCAACTTCAGGATAAGGGATTCTCAACCATCCTATTACGATAAAATAAAAGCTCCAACTCAAGTCATAAGATCATGAACCGAACAATCATTTTTGGGACTACCTCTGAAGTTCTCTCACAGTTCAGTGACCTTACAGATGGTAATATTTCCAAGCCTTTAGGAGACTTCTTGCAACAGGACTCGGAAAGATTCAATCTCAGGTACCAATAAAGCATGCTAAAACAGGTATTAAACAGCATAAAGCTAAAGCATACTTATATTGGTGAAAACAAGCTAAAGTAATCTAAGTGCACCTGAATAGCCTCCGGGCTAGCAAAAGTACGAGGATGCTTCCAGTGATCTGCACCAATAAGACACAGCCTTGCAGTGTCTGAATACGACTCAAAGTTCGCTTCGGCAACTAAATAGCATATATGTGCTGCTACGATCTGTACAATCACCTCAAGTAAGATTGAGCAAGAGAATTTCCAACTAGCAACAGCAGAGTGATGAGGGAAAAGAAACAGTGTACCTCACTTCTATCCTTCCACAGACAGTCTCCAAGATGTACGATGACAAGCTCATCATCTTTCGTTCTATTTGCAGTTATTAAAGCCAAATTCTGTTCCCAATCATCAAGCATGCTATTTGCTCCAGTCTGTGAGTAATGACCAATAACAGAGAACAAATACATGTTCAAATGACATTACTCTACTTTTCACTTGCATTTGTTCACATAACCTAGAAAATCTACACCAGATGCAAACGATGAGAACAGAAACAGAAGTTCATCAGTTCTCTCTGTCAAGAACCAGTTAATCCCAATAACTCGAGTTGTTGGGAGAGGTTCAATCGTGGATCATATACCACAACACTAATACGCCCCCTCAAACGAAAGCCACTCACAAGGGCTTGAAGTTTGCACAGGTCTGAAGACAAGAATACCATGTGCTTAACAAATGGGGTCACCGGGAATCGAACACAAGACCTCTCGGTCACAGAAGGCTCTGATACCATGTCAAGAACCAGTTAATCCCAATAACTCGAGTTGTTGGGAGAGGTTCAATCGTGGATCATATACCACAACACTAATGGATCATATACCACAACACTAATGCTCTCCATTTGATAGACATGAAAAGGGACTGAAGTACTTCTAATTTTCAGGTACATGTCTTGCACAACCAAAACCAATTGTGAGACCTTCTTATGGCACTGCGAGGTACCTCGACATGCAGGGTTCATGCGAACTAGGTTATTATCTACCCTTCAGGAAGTGAAAGCACTGGACAAACTAGTTGTGCCATCTTTATGATTTCATATAAGTACCTGAAGTTATCCTGGGCATGCATTCGCACTTGGAGAACCAGAACACAATTCTCTTATTAATTTCCCATCCTCTCACTCACATGTGCATATATGACGGATAATTCATGTTCCTACTGAATCATTTAGTAGTCTAGCTGGATACCAGTCTACATGGAATAGCAAAATGGAGCCAATATTATACACACACCACTACTAACCTGCAAAGATTGTTGAGTACCAACTGCAGCACCGAAAGGACCGGCATCAGGTCTAGTACCCGAGGAAAAAACTTCTGCTGGTTGCCCAGCAATAAGAAGGCACAATGTGCGCAAAGGTGATCCTGGCAACAATTGCCGTAATGCCATCTGCTTCACAGTATCAACATAGAACTACATTCCAACAGGAAAATGAACAACAGTCAGCCTACCAAGATCAGGGTCCACACGAAAAATGCAAGGCAAGCAGAAAGAAGGATGTACAACCTGATCTCCGAGTTGTGATGCAAGCACAAGTGCAGGTCCCCACAACTGACCTTCTTGTGCATATTGTAAAGCTTCTTTTTTCCGACCAGAAACCAGAAGATTTTGTACATCAGAAGCAGTTGCCTATCACAAAACAAAGTTCTTTCAGAACATGCTAGGAGCTCTTTAATCTGAAAACCATTGCTATATGAACTAAGTAATACCCGAAGTTGTGATTCAGATGGCAAATTTAGCAAGCAGTGGCTAAGAGTACCATACTCATTGAACTGCTTCTTGGTAGATGAAAAAAGTTTTGCAACAGCTGATTCTGGAGTATCACTTTCCTATAAGAACAGAATGTCATTGTGATGGGACAAGTTAGCATTTTCAAGAACAAGCTTTTAGAAAGAATATTGCAGTAGAACAACATAAACGCCTGATATACTCTTGTGCAACATGGGTGTTAATCATTTATTTCGCTGCATATAAGATAGTACTATTTGTGAACGTTTCACAAGAAAAAACTTGTTCAGGAGCAGTTCCCTGGGTACCTCTACATAGGCCAAAACCAAAGAAACGTTAAGTTTGTAATACAATCTTTCAAATGTGCAAGCATTTGACAGGCCATCATCCAGGAAAGCCAGTTGTGGAAGAAAAAAATGAGCACAGTTCAAGAAATATAGGAGCACACACAACCAAACTTCACATTTGACAAGGCATTGCCTGTCCATATAGATGGAATTTACAAAATTAATTCAATGAGCTACTTTTGAAAGTGAAGAAGATACATTAATTACCTTTGAAGATGTGTCTGATCCAAAGGGAGACCGAAGTTTTCCATAATGCTGACAAGCTATTTTAAGCAAAGATAGGAGAAGCTTCAACACTTCGCCTTTTCTGTAATCCGTATCAGGGGATTCACAATTGACAATCCTCTCATCAATCCACTTATTTAAATCCTTACTTCCGACATTCCCACCCACCAGCGGTCCAGGGAAAGATTGTTGGCAGAGAGGGCGGAAATAAGTGCAGGATGTGCCTCCAACAGTTGACATATTGTCAGTGCTATTTCCAGAAACAACCTCCATCAAATTCATAACAGAAATTGAACACCCACCAGCATCCTTTTCAGACAAACAGAGCGACAGAATTAGCCACAAAAGCCCAGAAAAAGTTTGTCTCCGATTTAGCGAAGAATCAAACAATTTAATCATTATGAATCGTGTTTCTGTCCTTTCTCCAGTTTAATGCTTAAATTAACAGAATTGCTCAAAATAAATTAAGAGATGAAAAGGACTCACCTGAGCGCCAAATGAAGTGTTCCCAAGGGTACTATCCTTCATTAAAACAAGCTTTCCACCAAATCCAAAAGAAACCAGTGCATGTGGAGGACGGCCAGCAGAAGATCTTCCAGTTCCTGGCTGATAAGAATTTTGCTGACTGTTCTGATATGATTGCTCAGTAAAACTTGCTGGCTTTTGACTGGCATAGAAGTCATTTGATAAACTCATCTGCTCAATCTGCTTCAAATTTCCCTGATTAAACTGCTGATTGAAGTTGCCACCATAATTTTGTGAACCCAAAAACCCATTGCCATCAGGATGACCTTGCATTGTCTTCTCATATGAGGGAACAGTGCCCAAGGTATTAAAGGAATTTTGATTGTCAAGATGATTGCTCATGGACGCATTGGAGCTGTAGGAGTTATGCAACTGCTGCTTTTGGCCAAAATCTGAATTGAAATTGGTTTTGGGACCAGTCTCAGCTTGCCACATGTTAAAGCTTCCAGGTGACTCACCCCCGCCGACTTCCTGTCCTTGGCTTGTGTAACCATGTGAATCATATTTCTCTGCTTGCCCAAATTCCCCATATGCATGGCTTCCATTCTGCGAATAAGAACTGTTGAAACCAAATCCATTTTGATTCTGTTGCTCATGAGCTTGGGGAATCACTGGTTGTACTGATGAAACATAGCTCTCTAGTGAACGCCATTCTTGTGCAATTGTGTCATAATACCAACCCGGATATTGGGGATCAAAATACATATGTTCTGGATAACCATTATTACTTACTTGAGATACCTGATTCCAGGTAGACACACTCGCCGTTGTGCTTGTCTCGGCCATAGTCGCAGCAACAGAATGTGAGCTCTGCTGCAAGAAGTTAACCTCTCCCTTGCCATCAGCAGCAGCCGGCCATTCACTTCCCAAATTAGCATTGTGACTCTCTTCGAGACCACCTCCTGTTGCACCATAACCATCTACTTGGTACCACTGCCCAGTGTTCATATCAAATTTCCATCCAGGATACATACTTTCCCAGTACTGAGTGCTATTGACATCCTGACCACTTACATTTTCCTGCAAATAACCTCCATGACCTACTGTACCGTCTTGATACTGCTCATAACTAACAGAATTGCCCAATTCCCCGACTACATTAGTTTCTACATTCTCGCTACCACCAACTTTTGCAGGAGAATCATCAGAATGCCCCTCCAGCTCACTGAAAAAATCAGAGTACGACCCATGATTCCCATTTGGTGCTGAACCAGCATATAATGAACCCCATCCGACCTCCTTAGCTCCTGACTTCGTGGATTCAGCTTCAGTAATTGGATCTAGATCAGGTGCAACCTCCGGTTTCAACCCATCCTTACTAGAATCCGCCGCATTGCCAGACCCTGACGAGTTCAATGCATCACTCTCCTCCGCTGGAGACCCAGAAATCCCAGCAGGTATATCCCCCGAATTCTCATCATCTCTCACCTCCTCTACAACTCCACCGTCCCCGCTGCCACCGTTGACGTCCTCAATGCTCAGATTAGCAAACGCCTTGGCCTCATCGGAATCACTCCCCTCCGAGAATTTGCTCGCTGGGGCGGCATCGGAGCTGGTAGGCCCAAAATCATCGTCGACTAATTGGTCGAAGAAATCCTCGTCGGTTTGATCCTCCATCACTAGGAATGGAGGATTGGAAGCCATCTAAAAATCAAGCCTCGAAAAAAAAAACACTAAAAAAAGATTCCGACACGGAAAATTACCAACGCCCAGACTCTCCCCCCCTCCTCCTCCTACCTCCCAATCTCGGGACGCGAAGCTCCCTCGAGATCCGACACTTAAAACCCTAAATCAAAGCTGTACAAACACGAAATTGACAAGATCTAGGGTTTATGAAGCACGAGGAAGAAAGGCGTCAACTCCGAAATTCCGCAACGCACATTGGATTTCTCAACAGCGTGGCACCACCACCATCATGATCAGGAAGAAAGGACTTACGGAATCGCGGATCAATTGGAGAGGATAATTCTTTTTGCAGAAGCTGGATTGGCGAAGAAGACAATTCAGGGATTGAAGCAAGATAGCGAGCGAGAGAGGGAAGGGAGGAGAATGGGAGAGAAGCGGCCGATTTTCGCACCAGCAAAAACAACTCCTCCAGACAGGAGAAGAGAGAGCTTCGTTTTTTCTTTTTTTTTTTTTGTAATTTCTCGTTATTTATTTTTCTTGGTTTATTTGGGCTTCTATTACTGCCTGTTATTTATTTTTCCCTTTTCTGTTTTTTTTTTCACATCGTGTGCTCGTGGCACTTGGCAGCCTTAAGTTTGCGGTTTTTAATATTGTACCCAAGTAAACTCAGTATTGTCTCTAAATATTTCTACCGTTAGATTTACCCTTTGACGTGCATCAACGCGTGGGGTTTCTTTAGTGATTTCACTATGCCTATGCAGTAAAAGTAAAACGATGAATGATATTTTTTTTTTTTGGTAAATGAATGATAGTATTTTGAGTCTGTATACTTTGCGGGTTATACAAATGAGTCATTGCATTATTTTTTCTTGTTAAACCATTCTTGTGTCGTGATGATGTACATATTTTTTTTCATGTTTATTCGGTTTATTGGATGTGTTTCTATCATGGTTGTCATGCCAGCCGGCGTGCCACTGGTTGAATCTGGTTCAACCTGTACCGGTCATAAAACCAGTATGACATAATCAGTATGACCGGCATGATCGATATACGAATCTCTAAGTAAAATGATCCTATATTAGTGAATTTATTTGATAAAAAGTAATTTATTATTTATTATATGTGTTCAAAAGTTAAATATTGATGTTATTTGTTGGATTCAAGTACAAATATTTAGGTATTGACGTTAAATGTTGTGCTTAAATATAAGTATTTGTAAATTATTTGTAATATTAACCGGCATGAACCGGCACAAACCGGTATGTACCACTGGTCAAACCATTCCACTTGCTAAACCGGCACACTGGTACAAATCGGTTTGACAACCTTTCTATAAATAACTTTATCAAAATATGCATATGTTGAGATTGAGTTAGTCCGAGGCTACATCTTTCATGGCGTATTTCTCATGTACATTGTAAACTTGTGGTTTATGATGCAATTTTCAAATTCTTTATTTTCTCGCATATATACTGCCAATTGCAACCGTATTTTAAAATTTAACCAATTCGACATTAAATATATTTTTCCATCTCACACGAATACTTAGTCATCATAAAGATAAATCGACTTTACTAGGAAGGGATTTGTCTGTTGGGAAACACATAATATAAGTACCAAGTTTTAAGACTTATTTGAAGGAACATTTAGCTTTTTTGTCATTTTTTAAGACTTATTTGAAGGAATTTTAGTTTCACCGACACCACCGTGGTTCGAGACGACTATGTTAATTCGGGCCGGCCCGCCGTTTGCGACCGACAGTGAGTAAGCTACCGTCACCAACAGCAACTTTTGTGCCCATGTGACGTTGAGGCCCGCTAAAACCTGGCCCAAAAAGAGCCCACAGTACTATAGCCATTTTCCGAGTTGACCGAGACGCTAAAAGTATGCTTCTTTGTCCTGTTTGCATAACAAGCAAATGCCAACCCTTAAACTCACTGCAAGCAGATTAGTTGCTGAAAGCCTGAAACTAGTTCTTAAAAAAAGGTTAATTGCAAGTTGGTCAGTGAAATTACTAAAAATGTTCATGTTTGGTAACTGAAATTATTTAATTCCATTTGTGATCACTATAATTAATCAAACAGTGTAAGTTTGATCACTCTCCGTTATTGTCCGTCCGCCTCCGTTAACACCGTCGATTTTGTGCTGGCGTGGCTAACAAAAATGTCTAATCAGCTAATTTTAATAAATAAATAATTCGACCCGCTACCCAATCCAACCCACCCCTTGACTTAGACTCGTCCTCTTCTTCCTCTAGTTGACCTAACTGAAAAAATTCCTACTCCCAAATTAGATCGCAAGCATACGTTCCCAACTCCCAAATCTCTCCAATTCACTTCCACCCTCAGCGGCCCATCCCTCAATCCCAAGCTCTCCTCCTCGCTCTCCGTCTTCTCAACCGTGCAATTCTCCATTTCCTCCCTCAACCTCGCACCCAAGGCTGCGGGAACCGCAGCTTCGTCGTCCTCGCCACCGCGGGGCTCAACGCCAAATCCACCATCCTGGTGCCGGAGAAGTTCGGATAGATAAAAAAAACTATCCACCTTCCTTCCCCAGAACCCTAGATCGGAAACCCTATGTTCTGCTTGTTCTTCTTTGTCGCGCCTCACCTCCCTCGACCCATAACTTATTCCCAAAATCTCCAGATCCAGTTTGTCATTGTTTCTATCAAAACCCAGATCTAAAAAACCTTGCTTTACCTCCTATCTATGTCCTCCCAAATGACAACCCAGGAAGACCTACTGGTGAACGACCCCAAATCCATTAATTCTAGAGACAACCCAGATTTTATCAAAGATAGTCAATAAACCCATTAATTTCCATATGCTATGTCTCTAGAAATACAATGATATTCTTGCCACAGCCATGAGAACGAGAATAATTAATGAATCGGAGAGCTAAAATCCAGCATTGATATCCCCTTATTGCTCCGCTATATAGTACGCCAGAGCAGAGATAAAATCCCCAAAATCTGTTGGAGGAGAGACTAGTTTTGTTCTTAATTGGTGGGTTTATTGACGCGAGTTTGATGGGTTTGAGTGGTTTAATTGATGGGTTTGATTTGCAAGGTTGGGTCTTATGGCTTGGTGGATTTAATGACGTGGCGGCCGCATTTTAACTTTTCAGATTAAATTTTGATGATCCATCGCTTCTGTTAGTCACGTCAGCATAAAAATTGACGGCGTTAACGAAAGTTAACGGAAGGTAACGGAGAGTGACCAAACTTGAAATGTTTGATTAATTCTAGTGACCACAAATGAAATTAAATATTTTTAGTGACCAAACATGAACGTTTTTAATAATTCTAGTAACCAACCTTGCTATTAACCCTAAAAAAATCCAATTCCAAACTGGTTCTTCTCCAACATATGCCACGATGCAACAATTTCTACCTATGTTGCAAAATTCCAGTGAATGGACAGGTAAAAACATATAATCCATTTCCGTTCAAATTTCGAGACCAACATTAGCTAATTTAGCATGAGCCAAAATTCGTACGCGTTGGTCTACAATTCTCGTGGCGATTACTACATTTGGAAGCAGAAGACCCTTCTCAATACTCCTCTTGGCTAAATTTTGTCTGTCTCAGCCTTGCCTTATAACTTCACACACAACAGCCTAAGGATAAACCTCTCGCAATTGATAGGCACATCACTTGATCTCAACACAAACCTCGGCATAACTTTAAGCAAATCCACATTAGTGAACTGAGCAAGAAATGCAAGTGTGTACGATAAAGAAGAAACTTACCCGGTGTCTCTTAGGAAGTTCGTGCAGCCAAAAGCTCCACTCTATTATGAACTTGAACGCAAATTCATCGGTTGTTTTATGAAATTAGGAATATGAAATATGTGGGCCCACGTGCTTTGGCATCAAAATCCGTTGGTCCCGCAAATTTGGAAGTTCCACCTCTTGAGGTGAGATTTGGGTGATAGATTAAAATCCATGATGGTAGTTTACCCTTCTATCCTTGCTTAATTTTTTAATTACAAATTTTTCCTCCTATTTTTATTTCAATGGGTATGCAACTATAAACGTTTATAATGTCGTATTTTATTTAAATATGAGAATTTATCATTTCGTTTGTATTTTATTTTATTTAAATATGAATGTGTATGTGATTTGTTGGATTCAACTATAAACACCTTATGCTCATCTTATGCATTATTATTTGATTGACGGTAGGATTCTAAAATCGATGAGTTAGCAAAACAATGATGAGTTGTAGCAATAAGTCGAGCTATTGGTTGCAACTGATACATAATATTGTGTACATTATTAGATGCATTTTTAATTTGTGATAAATTGTGATACATTTTTATATTTGTAGCTGAATTTTTAGTCCATAGAGTAGTGGTAAAGAGTAAAAAATTTTCGTATGTATTGGATTTTGTTTTTAATGAAAACAAGGATTATAATATACAAATATAATTAGATAAGGGTAAAAAGGTAATTTGTATTTCTTATCCACAAATCTAATCAAGCAAAATCCATAATAAAATCCAACAAACAAACAATAGACTTGTTCAAATTCATAATGCCACCAAATCTATCATATATCCATTGCTTTCCAAAATGAAGAATTTTTCAAAACACTCATCTCGAGCCCATGGGCTTGCTTTATTTGTTTGGATTTCTATCCATAGGGCCAATCTTAATCACTATAATTTACCGGCAACTGAAGTAAAATCCAACTTTAATCACCGTCTCGTTGTTGGTCACCAAAGTTTATGATAACTAGTAGTCACCAGCTGGGTTCACCGTATGGCTAGGGAAATCACAATTTTGCGGGACTGAAGTTCAAATACAATGGAGTGAAAATCACTTGGATTACCAAAATATTTATAGGTTGATTGTGCATAAATAAAAAACTTTATTATGTAGCAAATTATAAACCAAATTACAATTGTGAACCAAATTAAAATATTTTTAACAATTGATGGTCTGAATTAAATTGTATGATTATGTTTGATAAATGATTTCTTAACAGCATGGTTTGTTTTTCCAGCCCTATAATGTACGCAAAGCTGGTGTCTACAAAACTAAAAAAAACTAAAAATCCCTCAACTAAAATAATAAACACTCAGCAAACACGAACTTCCAACAAAGAATCTAGAAATTTTCATTGCATACTAAATTTGGATACAAAAGCACTAGGCGAAAACAAGGGGGGAAAGACAATAAACCCTCTGATTACATATGAACAAGCAAAGAAAGAAATAATCAACCCCAAACTCATCACAAATCATTTACACTCGGTAGGAAAGCCCTGCGGGAATCGCTTCAGATCAGTACAGTAATTATAAATCATGAAATTCTTCTGAACCCATCTCAGCCTCCTCCTGGCATTCGCATCCAACGCATTCGATTGCCAGTCTCCATTCGCAAACTCCCCGCTGCTACGAGATCGGGAAGAAGAAACAGGGGTGACCTGGAACTTCCTGTAGTAAGCAGTGAATGGAGCCTTGGACCAATCAGCCTTCACCAACCCTCCACGCGTCGCCCAATCGTCGGCATTCCACAAGCTCGAGTAAATCCTCATCGCCTGATTCTTTGGGAACGGAACTCCCCTGTTCTCGGCATTGTTGAATACCCTGATCGGAGTGTTGTCCACCAAGAACCTGCACAATAATAATATTTAGCCACGGTTAAAACTCTAGCTTGGTAATATAGCGCAAAGCAACTTAGCTGCACGCGTCAGCCTCAAATAGTATGGTTGATTTAGTGGCTTACGTAATGTGTTGAGGCTTCCAGATGATCGAGTAGGTGTGGAAGTTTCTGGTGGGATCGAACCAGAGGTAAAATTGTTGCTCTCTGTTGCCTTTTCCTTGAGTAAACACGTTGGTGTGCAATATATAAGGATCTCCGCTCACATTTCCTAGAAACTCGAAGTCAATTTCATCATGAGTCGGGCCTTGAGATGACAACTGCATGAAAAAAAAAAAACATAACACAAACAAGAGATTATTAGCGCAGGAGAATAAAAACGGACGCTTTTTGGTATGAGCTAACCAAAACCAAGAACAGAGCTCCCCTGTTTTCCTCTCTGTTTCCATAACTTAAAAGAAAAAACGTTCTTTCTTTTTTTCGGGCACAAGTTGAAGAATTGGGCTTACATAATAGGCAGTGACGGTGCCAGCCGAGTTGCCGGCGACGAGCTTGAGCTGCATATCAATCCGGCCGAACAAGTACTCCTTTTTGGACACAAACCCAGAGCCAGAGGTCTTGTCGAGAGACAGAGACAGCATCTGGCCGCCGCCGAATATCTTGGCCCTCTGCCCTCCCCACGTCAAATCGAAGTCCTGGTAGAAGTTTCCACCGTAGGCTACTCCCATCAACACGGCCAATTCCACCATACAGATGGCCAGTTTTTGCCCGGAAGAAGAGGAAAAGCTGCCCATTCTCTGTTACTATTTAAGTATCCCCTGTTTCTCTATTTGGTTTGTGTTTTGAGATGTGAAGAAGGATTGAAGAGATGGGTTTCTATATATACACGAAGGGTTGGGGGGATGAGAAGTGAAATGTGAAGAAGATACGCGTGATGGTGGCGCGGGGGTAAGGGCCGTGCATGGGTTTTAGGTTTGTGGAGGTCAGAGAACAGAGCAGCTGGTGCCAGCTATGGTTATTTAGAATTCCTGTCCAACGAATAGCTGGTTTTTGAATGTATCACTTTTGTTTGGAAGTGGGAGGATGGAATGGGGACTATTAACTTCTGAGTTTGGGAACTTTGTAGCCATTGTTATTTTGCCATCTAGCAACTTTAAGTAATTGTCTTATAATTAATGTAAAGCTAAGTGAGTAGGGTTTGGTTAGTGCCTGTTGGAGAGGAAACAATGGGCCAAGGTTCTTGTGAGAGATATGATATGGAATAGTGGTTGGTAGATTAGTACTAATTATTGAGGTTGCTATTATCATTGTTCTCCTAATTCATGATTATATTTCCTTGAACCGAATATGTTGTTAAGGGTATAAAAAGAAGGGAATTATTCTTCATTTAGGACCACCAAGCTACTAGCTACTTCCACTCATTAATTCTTGTTGATACCTCATTAACATTAACGCAACGCTAAAAATATACATTCATCAAAATCGTCACTTAATTACTGTACACCACCCTCTAACCAAAATCATTAACAAATTTACGCCATAAGCGAATATTCCAAACACATACATATATATAATATTATGTCATGATTGTGGAGAATAATACACATTCTCCGATCAGATTGTATATGCTAAATCATCTACTAAGTACTAATCAGACTCGTTAATACGTTAACTAAACTCGCCAGTACAGTATTACTGATCTTATATTATAAATCTCTGTAACTTCTAATTGTAATCCACTACCTAAAGTATGTAGAACCATGTAGAAGTACAGCATAGCTAGGTTATGAAGTTCAATTTTTTTTTTTTTTTTGGGTGGGATGAAGTACAATTTTAGACACAGCTGTTTCGGTTTGGAAGTTTATGGTGGTGTATGGCTGAATTGAACTATTTCTTATCCAGAGGACAAAGTAGGGCAATGCTTTTAAAGCATGGTCTTCCTTCCTTCCTCTTCTGCTCCATTACATCTCCATCTCCATCTCCTTCAGTTTGGGGAGAAGTACTTTGTCAGCACAACTCTCCAAAACTTCTGCAGCTTGTATTCCACTAGTACATATGGCAATGGCAGCGGTGGCCAAATGTTGGTCCTTATTACTACCAAGCTAGCTACCGCTCTTAATTAGGGTTGAGAAAATAGACCAGACCGTTAGAAAAATCGTGGTCCAAACCGTACCGCACAGTTTGGTCTGGACCATAGACCATTAAGTATGGTCTGGTCTGGTCCATGTCTGTATTATTTTATGTTTTGATCTCTTGGTCTGGTATGGTCTAGACCGCAGTTTAGCAGACCAAATCGTGGACCCAACGACTTGTCAATACTTGTTAACAGTTAACAGCCCATTCGACCACTCTCTCAACTCCCACAATGCACCCAAGTCTCAACCTTAATTTTGTGAATCTCTTCCCTCCTTCATTCACAACCACATTTAACTAGAGAGTAGAGATAATCGTGCCTCCATATGACATTAGGTTAATGTTTATGACGTTATGGTGCAAGTTGGGATGCTTTTACTTTGTATCTTTGTTATGTACTAAGATTTAGGGTATCAAAATTATTCATGCATGTTAAGATTAATGTTTTAAGGCAAATAACAATTATTTTCATAGTTATTGGTTCAATTTTTTGTGTGGTTGACTAAACAAATTATTCATTTTTCGTTGAGTGTGGTCTATTCGGACCAGACCAGACCGAACCAGACCGCACATGCGTGGTCTGGACCAGACCATATAATCTGTGGTCTGGTATGTGGTCTATACTTTAGCCTCTCGGTCTGGACCATAGACCGTATATATAGTCTGGTCTGGACCAGATCGCACCGTTTTCCAGCCCTACTCTTAATAATGCACAAGTCTTTAATTTCTATCTAAACGATCGAGAAAGCCAAATAATTAATTAGGAAGGCAGAGGAGGTAGCTCGAACATAAATGACAAGAGACAAAAAGGCATCATAAACCAGGCCGATCCGATTCAGTTGTTGGACCAATCATTTTGATGCCAAGGATTCAATGATCAATCGACTCCCACAGCTCACTGATGGACCGCCAGCTCGATAGATAGGCACACTCTAACCTCCCCAATATCTCCACCTTTCGTTGTATGTATGTATGCGTGCATGAACTAGCTACTAGACGTATTTTAAATGATGTGACTTATGACCCAACCAAGTCTTCTAACAGTTCGGATTCATCGAGATTCTACAATCCGCGTTTAACGGAGATCTTGCTTTGTGTTGAAACGGACGCGATCATAAAATCCAAAGTCAATTTATAAGAGACAGTTAATCGGTTTTGTATTATATAGTAAAAGTAAAATCATGATCGATGTAGATATAGTCATTCAATCAACTACGTTGTTCAGCCTTCGCCAAATGATTCCTAATCATGTCATGTAATCATTATCACGAGGAAATTTATGTAAAAGGAGTTTCTTATCGATTTTAAATAGAGTGAACTAATCATACTCAATTGAATCATCTCTAAGTATATACTCCAACCCGATTCTAAATAATTGGCCTGTTTTTTTTTCCCCCTAGATAAACTAGTCAGACCGACTTATCAAAGGTTTGAAATTTGAATCCAAAAGTTTAACCCCATACACAATTGTAAGAGTTTGCCAGTTGGGTGAAATTGGAAATATGGGTTCGTTTATTGACCAGACCCCTACATTTATTTTAGAAGAAGGAAAATCCTTGCCTGCCTCGGTGGGTAATTGGTTGTATTGATGGAAGGGGAATATGGGAAGAATTTGGTTCCAGGAGAGAAGCAATATGAACCAATCCATGGACCACTCAGGCACTTACCCTGTTAAAGCCGTTGTGAAAAATGGAATTCAAATATATGTACTTTGCCAAATATTGTCTTTCAATTTTTGTTTTTTTTTCACTTGGTTTGATTATACATTATTATCATTTTTGAAAGAATTTGATTACACATTATAGTTACAAGTAATTACTTATATATAATACAATCGTTATTTCTTATCCTTACTAGTTTTTATAGTTGTCCGAGAAGTTAAATTTTAATACGCCCCTGGGGGTGTATATTATCAAAGTAACGCAGCAAACGATTCAATCGAAGAATCGATTGAGCTCGAATCAAGAACGAAGCGCTCTTAATACGAACTTGGGATAAAATGGAACCAACGGACAATTCCACACCTGGGGAAAGCTTGTATGGTATAAAAGGGTAGATGCTCGACCACGATTGAAGAGAATATTCAATCGATACAAAGCTCACAAGCTTGGAATCCACCAAACTCAAACACAAGTCGCAACTTGCACAAAACCAAAGGTTTGTTTTTCGATTAATCAAAGTCCGACGATTACAATGCAAAAGACGAGTTTAAATAGGCCTAGCTAGGGTTAACTTTCGTACAAGCAACTCATAATTACAATCTAATACAAATAAGAACTAAAAAGTAGCAAAAATGACCTAATCCTAATCGAATAAGGAAAACAATTCTGTTTTTACAAAGGCAGAATTTTGTAACTTCGTACTAACTTCGCGCCTTTCGTTCGAGGCCTTCCCGAACTCCAATTCTTCATCCAATTCCTTCCCTTTGTTCAAAAACATACATAGTTTCATGTTGTGGAAGCCTTTGGACTTGAATAAGATCCATACTCCTCGAATTAAGCTCCAAAGTAGGCTTCACAAAACAGTTGCCAGACACAACCATTTTCTGGCAGTTTTCCAGTTTTGATGTAGCAACTTTGAGGCCTTGGAAAACAACCTTAATGACATCTTCTGGATACAAAAAGCATACCATTGGCAAGATGGCAACTTTATCTACAAAACAAACTATCAAACTTGAATTTCCACCAAGACAATTGAGAGAACTATGCCTCCAAAGTATGTACCCTGAACACGGATTTTGACACAGCCAAATTCTGCCCTTCTTCTTCCCAACTTTGATGGCTTCTTTGTCAAATAACTGTGACGTGAATGGTTGGCAATTTGGGATCATATCAAATTTGAACCATAAATGTCACGATCGAAGTGAATATCTTTACAATTACCTAAAATGGTCATGTCAATGTTAAACATGTGCAATTTGTCACATAAGATTAGTAGTTAGGGTCGTTATTGTTTTTTTACATTGTACTTCTACCATAATGATTTTGAATGTTTTAACTATTTGGCATTCGTCTTTTCACGACTGGATCACTAGTATCAAATTCGATAGTTTCCTAAAGAAAGTCATTGCTTGTTCAAACTTGAAAGACTTCGAGTCGATAAATTATTATTATTTTTTTTTTTTGCAAATTTTCAATAGGGGCACTGAATTAAGGGGGAAAATACATCAATTACAAGTGGAATTTATTTTTGGAAATGAAGAAAAGAAAACAATTTGGTTCCACGTAGACTATACAAACTGGAAAAGAGCCTTGAAAAAAATCTAACAAACACCATTAATCAAATCATTTGCACTCGGTAGGAAGGCCTTGCGGGAAGCGCTTGAAATCAGTGCAGTAATTATAGATCATGAAGTTCTTCTGAACCCATCTCAGCCTCCTTCTCGCACTCGCATCCAACGCATTAGACTGCCAGTCTCCATTCCCAAACTCGCCGCTGCTACGAGACCGGGAGGAAGAAACAGGGGTGACCTGGAAGTTCCTGTAGTAAGCAGTGAATGGCGCCTTGGACCAATCAGCCTTCACCAACCCGCCACGCGTCGCCCAATCATCCGCATTCCACAGGCTGGAGTAAATCCTCATCGCCTGGTTCTTGGGGAACGGAATTCCCCTGTTTTCTCCATTGTTGAATACCCTGATCGGAGTGTTGTCCACCAAGAACCTGCATAAATAATAATCATTATCACTGTCAAGATTTAGCTCTTTGCATAATAATAATAATCCAACAGTACGATGAGTGATCGGATACTTACGTGATGTGTTGAGGCTTCCAGATGATGGAATAGGTGTGGAAATTCTTGGTTGGGTCGAACCAGAGGTAAAATTGCTGCTCCCTGTTTCCTTTCCCCTGAGTAAACACATTTGTGTGCAGTATGTAAGGATCGCCGCTCACATTTCCCAGAAATTCAAAGTCGATTTCGTCATGAGTTGGGCCTTGAGATGACAGCTGCAGCATAAAACAGAGCACAAAACATGGTCGAATCAGTTGTAGAAGAAGAAAAAAGCCAAGATTATGATAGGGGGGCAAAAAAAAAAAAAAACAGGGGAGGAAAGTTAAAAGTGAAACAGAGGAAAGCGGTTTGGTTTGGGCTGGCATTGCTTACGTAATAAGCGGTGACGGTGCCGGCGGAGTTTCCAGCGACGAGCTTGAGCTGCATATCGATCCGGCCGAACAAGTACTCCTTCTTGGACTGAAACCCAGAGCCGGAGGTCTTGTCAAGAGACAGAGTCAGCATTTGGCCGCCGCCGAAAATCTTGGCCCTCTGCCCTCCCCACGTCAGATCGAAATCCTGGTAGAAGTTGCCGCCGACGGCAGACCCGACCATTGTGGCTAGCACAGCCATAGAAATCAGCAGGGTTTGAGGAGAGGAGGAGTTACCCATTTTGAGATTTAGGGTTTATCGTGGAGGGGAGGGATTAAGGGAGGGGGAAAACAGGGGAGGGAGGGATTAAGGGAGGGGGAAAACAGGGGAGGAAGGGTTTTTTGGTTTGAGCTGTGAAGAGGATTGTTGGGGCAGAGGTGGTATTTATATGGAAGTGGGGAAGAGGGGAATGGTGGATTTGAGTGGAGATACGCGTGAGGCAGAGCAGGATGCCAAGTTGCAGCTGTTGCCAGCTTAGACATCCAATTCATGAATGTAGAGAGAGAGCTTTAGAATTAGAGTAAATACAACTTTGGTTTGTTTGGGTATGGGGATGGCTTCCCCAATTCCATCTCACCCCTTCTTCTTATGAGAGTAAAAGCCATTCAATTGAACAGAATCTTAATGTTAATGATCGGAAGTTTCTGTGTAAAGTAAGTTTTACTAGTGATTACAATTAAACTCGACTATTTAAATTATGAGTTACCGATTTATCGCTGATTGGATCATTTACACGTCAAATAACGATGAAACGTATAGCTAATGAGATACGTATTCGTATTTTCAACAGATTCTCACGTACATCTAACAAGTCTATGCTCCTACTTAATGAGTTGATGAGCCAGGGAGAGTTTTTTCTATTTGAAAATGTGTTGGGGCTTTTTTGGGTGAAGGTTGGAGAAAGATGCCTGGGTATAGGAGTATACATGGGTCGGTTGGTTGGGGTTTAAGTATTTTAATCACCCGACCCATGTACTACGGTTTGGGAATTATCAAACCCAAATCCACCCAAAAAAATTTAAACCCTACGGTTTGTTTCTAATTGGGTTGGGTCGGGTTGGCGATATTTTTAAGTAAAAACCCAACCCAACATAAAATATATAATTATTATACACCATAAAAATATTTTATAACTAATAAAATTTCACAACAAATAAACCGAGGTGAAAGGTATCAAAATTCACAAATGTTGTTTGAGTTTTAATAAAATGTGATTTACTTCAACATATGTCTAGTTTTTTTCACGATATTTGTTGAAATAGGCAAAAAGGGTATAAACAAATGCATCCATATTATGTTATTCTATTAAAATTGTACACAAGAAAAAGGATTACGTGAATCATAATTATATTCAATTTATGTCTAAACTTTAAGTCAAAGAATGCATTAGATTAGAGAGACCATGATAGAAAAACATGGCGAAATATCTTAATTTTCACATATGTATGGCTATATACGTCATATATATTTTTTAGATACGAACTCATACTAATAGTTGGAACACGGGTTGGGTCGGGTTCTACGGGTCGTATAATCCAAACCCAACCCAAAAGAGGCGGGTTGTAAAAAACAAAACCTCACCCAACCCAAAACCTTCGTTTTAGCGATAAATACAAGTGGGTCGGGTTGGACGGGTGGGTCAGTTTGCGAGTGTGTTTGTTCACCCCTACCTGGCTAGCATCTTTATATGTGTTATACAACGTAGAACACTTTCATGGGAGGGCCTCAGTGGAGAACAGAAGTGTGTTTTGCAGAATCCTTATTTTAGGGGGATTCGGTAGGGAGGTAGGAGAAAGCGGCCGGACAATGATTCTGAGAAGGAATAAATAAAGCCTATGTTGTTACTTGTTAGTGAATATATGTATGATTTATTAATTTTGTAATCCTTCCTTCTTGGGAAATCATTGGGTGGGAGTGAGAATGGTTGTGGATGACAGCCTTGTAATTTTGCCGTGGGGGAATATATTGGAATAATGATGGCAATCATTAGTCCATCCTATTTAGAACCTATTGATTTTATTGGTTTAAAAACCGTAAAGCATAGTTGTCGTGCTGATGGCATGTCGGTTGGTTAAATTTGGTTTAGTCGATGTCGGTGATGCAATCAACGTGAACATCACGGTTATAATCGCTATGATCTACTTATGAATTCTAAGTAAAATGGTGTTATTTTTTGAATGTAATTATAAAAAATTAATTTATTATTTATTTCATGAATTTAAAAGTCAAAAGTTGATTTTTTTTGTTGGATTGTAAATAAATTATCCCCAAATATGTTTTATATATGATTAAATTTATTGGATGTTAATAATTTGTACATTTTTTATATATTTTGTTAAACCAGCACGAATCAACACAAACCGGTCAGCGGTCATACAATTCCAATTGCCAAACCGGTTAGACGAACTTGCAGTAAAATAACACAGAAGTCGATGCAAATCACCACTAAATTGATACAAATAACATCAACTAAATATTCTTTGCTAGACCTATGATTTCAAGAGTCTGTAATGCAGAACATTTTATAATCAACTTTTACGTGTTTATCAATATTAACATGTACAAATTGAGTGGCCATTTGGGTTTCAATAATTTGTGTGTCCATTTAATTAGGGTAAATACCCATCGAAAGGTTTAAATTTTACACCTTTGAGGCAGAATTTTTGTTTTTAATGCTTAAACGTATAATAATAGGATTTGGATGATGATTGTAACATATATCCTCAAACTAACCGTACACGTTACCGATTTATATGATTTCTAATAAAATATAGAATTGGCTTATTAATAATAATAATAATATATAAAAGACATTTATCACAATATCCTTATCCAAAATACTAGAGATAGCTAGACTTTGCTTGCATGGGAGGAAGTAGGAACCATGCCATGGTCCATCTTTGCTTTGGTTCGTCACCTTTTATCGTGGCTTTAAGCTGCTGCCAAAGATGGGAAAACAAAATATGGGAGTTGGGACCGAGACTGGGCAGCTAGCTAGCGCCTCGCTGGCATGCATAAGGTTCCAGAAATATTATTATTCGGCTAGATTCCATCCATATCCATTATTGGTGGCCATCTTGTCGCTACTCCTCTATACGATACAATGTAGTTAAAATCGTTATTTAAAACTTAAAAGATTACGTTTTTACATTTTATAAATACCAAAACGCTTCTGCGTAGAATCGGGCTTGTCCCTTACAAGTGTAGTCAAAATCTTCACATTGAAGCTTAAAATCTTACGGTTTTACGCTTCTAGGTCACCAAAACGTTTTTACGTAGAATCACGCTTTTGACTGTATTGATCTTACATATTTCATTTTTTTAAATGCTACATTATCCTTGAGTTCGGCCACCTATACACTTTGTTTCGATGAGGTTATATTATCTTTAGCTACCACAGTTTCTGGGCCGTTATGATAGTTATTAACGACGGTAAGCAGACTGGAGACTAGTCCGTCACTATATACGTTCAAAACGACGGGAATAAGCCGGTGATAAGTTAAGCATATAACTCTATAAGTGACCGGCTGACCGCTTACCTTAGGGATTGGAGGATGAAATTTAAGTTATGAATTCTAAGCATTGGTTTGAAAGTTATGATTTTGGAATGGATGCACTCTTACATTAAAATGTATTGAAATTTAATTGATGGTAAGAATGCATGAATTATAAGCAGGTTGGTATTCGGGGTAATGACCCGGTGTGTACTCCGACACACATCCACCTGAAAAATTTTATGAGAGCCCTAGTTTTAGTCTGTACAAAAAATTTGAAATTTAGAGACTCCGACACAGCTTCGATAATCGTAACCGACACCAGGGGCGGACCCACGGGTGTTTAGGGGTGTCTCCGGACACCCCTAAATTTTGGGAAAACGATTATCCAACCCCCGGTAGTAATTTACGTATTGACAAAAAAATTATAATTGATAGTCGGGGACACCCCTAAATTTAAAAAAGTGATTATCCTACTCTCATCTTTTAGTTTGAGTATGAGAATATAAGTCGTAGTTTGGGTAATTCAAACCTAGGACACTTTTATTATTAATAAACATAATTTTCATTAGGCTACAACTCATATGTTATTCGATTTTAAACACTGTGTAATAGTATAATGTCATTCTCTATCTCTAATTATTTTCAAAATCTAACAATTAAACAAATTTCAAACTATCCTTAATTTGTATTGATTTATGGTTGTACAACAAGTATTGAAAGAGTCTTTTCAGCTTTGGATTACATCAAGAACAAGTTTAGAAATTGAATATGTGATCAGTTCGTGAATGATTGTCTAATATGATATACAAAGACAATTTTTTTTGAATAGTGTAGACCCCAAGTGTGTTCTACAATCATTTTTTAATATGAAAACACATTGTGAATTTTTTCAAACGCTATGAGTAAATTATTTCTTATTTAAATATTATTTATTTTTATTAATTATTTTAGAATTATTTGTATTTAATTTATTTTTTAAAAGAGAACACCCCTATGTAAAATTTCTGGGTCCACCACTGACCGACACATGCACTTTCATTATGCTACAATAAAATTATTGTTATTGCAATATGTAAATATAGGTCTGACTTCAACGATACACTCACAGAAACTAATTGGTCATCCAAACCCAATCTTAATTGCTCTCTCGCTCTCCATTCGAATCGCCCCTTGGCTGCTGATAACACCAAGAAAAGAAGGCTTTGATATTAATTACCCCTAATCTTCATCAATTCAATAGCGAGTTTGGTGTACGTGTGCCCTAACTAACCAAGACCGATCGAGAATTTCCAGCTGATTTCAGGTTGAACCATAATACATACATGCAAGGAGAGGTGGATGCATGAACTAGTTAGGTCCGATGCACCGTCGCTAATTAATTCTAACCACCGTTTGTTTGACTGACGTATACCCAAAAAGATTTGCCCACTTAATTAATTGCATCTCCTACACCGTAACCACTGTTAGCACTCTATAACATCAATTATTTCGTGTCTTCTCCTGCTATATATACAGGTTTTAATTCATTTTATTTGATTTAAGCATAGTTATCAAAAAGGTTTATTTATTTATGCTTATACCGCCTGCGGGCTGGCAGCTGATATATCTTATTCCTCCAGCTGATTTTCTGCCCTGGTCCTCCACAGGCACGCACCAATTTTTCTTAAATTTTCCGCCAGCAAATGCAGGGGGCTGTTTATTCTGAATTTAATGAATATGCATGATTCCCAGTACCCTTGATGGTAATTCCTGTCTACTACTTTTTGCAGGAATTTTCACAAGATGTGATTGAATTTGGCTCCATATATATGGCTATATCTTTCGAATTTCTCAAAGAAAATTAATTCATATTTTCAAGAGATG